TCACTTTTTTTCACAATGAATTGAATAACTCATAAGTTTAACTCTCCTATAGTTATCACAATTTTAAATATTCCATTTATTTTTGTAAATAAGAGCTAAAGGGATTTTCCTTCAATCATTAGGCATTCTCTCAAATTATAAAAGTTCATTAAGTAACTTAACTAACCACTGCACTTCTTCACCCTAATATTTTTGCACTTTAATAAAAATACAATTGGGTTCACTGATTTTATTATTGTTATTTTTTAAGTTCTTCTTTTACTTCCTAACGATGTATTTTTGGATGGAATAACAATTTTTGTTCTTTTTGAAAAGCTTGATATCATCTTTTAAAAAAAAATGATAATATTTGGGCCTGCGTCCCCCTCTTAAGTCAATTCCTCTCTCCATAAGTCGTAGCTATGGTCCTGTTTCTTAAATGGGAGAAAGCCGCTATGATGCTACATCAATCGAGCATCTCAAATATTGGGATGCGTTATAAACCAGTCGACACAATAATTCAAATGTCAATGATTCATCCAGAATTAATATAGTTATGATTAAAATAATATAAATTAATTAAAATATATAAAAATACTCATATATCAGAAACCTTGAAAAGAGTAATATTTAAATAAAAAAAAATTAAATCACAAGCAAATAAAAATATTCATATATAAATCACATATAATCCAAAAAAATAGAGTTTTTAAAAGTAGAAATATAATAGATTACTTTTTTTTAATGCATTTTTAACTCAAACAATATCCCTTCAAGTTCATAAGGAGAGAGACAAATATATAAAATCCAACCCATTCAACTCAGTTCATTGATCTGGGTCAGCCAATCCGGATAGGATTTTAAAAATAAATATCATTAATAATTTAAATATTGATTCAAAATTTGTACAAAACACGTAATATGGAGCAAATTTCCTCCTTTAAAAGATACTTCCTCCATCCTTTTATATAAAAAATTTTTTAAAATATTTTTTATCCCTAAATATAAAGGGTTGTTAGCATATCTTTTAATAAATGAATCATTATATTTTATTCAATTTAAAAAAAAGTACTCTCATTTCTTTACTTTAAAAAAATTTATTTTTTATTTACAATAATTACAAGCAAAATTAAAATATTACTATACTTTTAATTACATAATTAATTTTTATTACTTTACATGACTCAATTAAAAAAAAATATATATAAAAATCAAGGAAATAAATATAATAAAAAAGATGGGAGGGTAATTTCTGCTCATGGTTGTGGTAAGCAGGCATAGTAAATTTCATGTCGTCAAGCGATCATGTCAGCGGCATTTGATATCACATATTACTGCTCACCGACTTCACAACCTCAGCATTTAGTTTCAACCTTCAACTACTTTGTACATCTCCATCAATCGACTCAGGTTTTATGGCATTATTAATTAAATCATGTTAACATTAATAATTGGATATCTCTCCTCAAAGAATTTCACACACACAAGACTTTGGTCGTGTTTTTTGTATGGAGTTTGAGATTATTCTATTCCGTCCCAAATTGTAAAATTATTTTAAAAATAATTTATTATTTTAAAATACAAAATAATTTAATAAAATAAGATTTCATTAAATGTATTTTTCTTATATTACCCTTCTTTTTTATTATACTCTCTCTAATTAATCATTTGCTATTATATTAAATAAACGATATCTTTTAAAGTTTATATTTTTATTTTTAAAAAATAAGGTTATATAATTTTCCGCTAAAAGCATGCATTTAGAAATTTCTTCTTGAATTTGCTCAGCCAAAACATCTAACATTAGGTCAAATAAATAAGGATTCAAAGATAATATCTAATGCAGTATAATTTTTATGAGAAAGTCTTTTGCCTCGCCACTAGATGCTTTTATTCTAGTTGTTGCCCCTTTACACGTGTCTCTCGTATAGCTCGAATATAGTCAACTTGGATACCATTATCTTTCAATGCCTTTTCTTGACATATGATCATAAACTTTTTTTTCAAATTAATAAAAATCACATGTAAATCTTTAATTTTTACATTTATATTTTTCATTAATCTCCTTAATAAATAAACGCTCTTATAGTTTCCCCTACCTAATATAAAGCCAAAACAATTCTCAAAAATACCAATTTTCATCTCACTTATGCTCAATCAATCACTTTTTTTCACAATGAATTGAATAACTCATAAGTTTACTCTCCTATAGTTATCACAATTTTAAATATCCATTTATTTTTGTAAATAAGAGCTAAAGGGATTTTCCTTCAATCATTAGGCATTCTCTCAAATTATAAAAGTTCATTAAGTAACTTAACTAACCACTGCACTTCTTCACCCTAAATATTTTTGCACTTTAATAAAAATACAATTGGGTTCACTGATTTTATTATTTGTTTATTTTTTAAGTTCTTCTTTTATTTAACGATTATTTTTGTTCTTTTTGAAAAGCTTGATATCATCTTTTAAAAAAAATGATAATATTTGGGCCTGCGTCCCCCTCTTAAGTCAATTCCTCTCTCCATAAGTCGTAGCTATGGTCCTGTTTCTTAAATGGGAGAAAGCCGCTATATGCTACATCAATCGAGCATCTCAAATATTGGGATGCGTTATAAACCAGTCGACATAACAATTCAAATGTCAATGATTCATCCAGAATTAATATAGTTATGATTAAAATAATATAAATTAATTAAAATATATAAAAATACTCATATATCAGAAACCTTGAAAAGAGTAATATTTAAATAAAAAAAATTAAATCACAAGCAAATAAAAATATTCATATATAAATCACATATAATCCAAAAAAATAGAGTTTTAAAAGTAGAAATATAATAGATTACTTTTTTTTAATGCATTTTTAACTCAAACAATATCCCTTCAAGTTCATAAGGAGAGAGACAAATATATAAAATCCAACCCATTCAACTCAGTTCATTGATCTGGTCAGCCAATCCGGATAGGATTTAATAAAATAAATATCATTAATAATTTAAATATTGATTCAAAATTTGTACAAAACACGTAATATGGAGCAAATTTCCTCCTTTAAAAGATACTTCCTCCATCCTTTTATATAAAAAATTTTTTAAAATATTTTTTATCCCTAAATATAAAGGGTTGTTAGCATATCTTTTAATAAATGAATCATTATATCTTTATTCAATTTAAAAAAAAAGTACTCTCATTTCTTTACTTTAAAAAAATTTATTTTTTATTTACAATAATTACAAGCAAAATTAAAATATTACTATACTTTTAATTACATAATTAATTTTTATTACTTTACATGACTCAATTAAAAAAAATTATATATAAAAATCAAGGAAATAAAATATAATAAAAAGATGGGAGGGTAATTTCTGCTCATGGTTGTGGTAAGCAGGCATAGTAAATTTCATGTCGTCAAGCGATCATGTCAGCGGCATTTGATATCACATATTACTGCTCACCGACTTCACAACCTCAGCATTTAGTTTCAACCTTCAACTACTTTGTACATCTCCATCAATCGACTCAGGTTTTATGGCATTATTAATTAAATCATGTTAACATTAATAATTGGATATCTCTCCTCAAAGAATTTCACACACACAAGACTTTGGTCGTGTTTTTTGTATGGAGTTTGAGATTATTCTATTCCGTCCCAAATTGTAAAATTATTTTAAAAATAATTTATTATTTTAAAATACAAAATAATTTAATAAAAATAAGATTTCATTAAATGTATTTTTCTTATATTACCCTTCTTTTTTTATTATACTCTCTCTAATTAATCATTTGCTATTATATTAAATAAACGATATCTTTTAAAGTTTATATTTTTATTTTTAAAAAATAAGGTTATATAATTTATTTAATGAGTTTTATTGAAATGCATATTTGTATAAACATTTTTGAAGCCTCAAGTTCGTTATGTATAAATAAATTTTCATATTCAATTATTAAAATATCAATATTTAATTTTATTTGTTCAGGATCACTTGTTTTTTTTTTTTTTAAAGACCAACCAATAGGCTATTGATACACTTTGACAATGTATTGCACAATATTATATGTGTGTAGTTGCTATTCAAAATAAAAAACAACAACTTAGTTTTAGGTAAATAATAACTTGATAATGTGTTAATTAAATTAAACTAATTAAATCCCCTTGGAATTCTTTTACTCTCTCGTAGAAAACAATTATTTGCTAGAGTTTAAGTTAAAGATAATCTATCGAGATCCTAATGGCTTCGTGGCATTAGCACCCCTCCTCTAATCCAAGAGGTTGTGCGCTTGAGCCCCGAGTTAGGCAAAAAAGTGATGGATGTGTATTTTCTTTAATGGGATAGGAGTGTAAATTTGAGTGAGAGTAGCCATAATGAGTAATTCGTTACCCAACAAAAAAAATTAATCATTTAATTTTTATAATTTTAATCTAGTTATAACTCGATCTCTAAATTTAACTCATTATAACTTAGTCCATAAAGTTTTAACTCGAATTATAAATTAATTTTTAAACTTTGCTTCCTACAATTTAGTCTTTGGAGTTTCTACCTCTTAAATATTGATCCTTATATTTTAAAAAATAAAAGTATAAAGGTTAAAAATATTTTAAAATATTTATAATATTTATAAAAATTAAAAGGCTTTAGTAATTTAATATATCAGTAATAAATTTTAAAATATTTTTAATCTTTATAATTTTATTTTTTAAAATATAAGGACCAATATTTAAAAGGTTAAAACTTCAGAGACTAATTATAAGAGGCAAAGTTTAGAAACTGATTTATAATTGAATCAAAACTTTAAAAACTGAATTATAATGAGTTAAAATTATATTTAAGAACTGAATTACAATTAGATCAAAATTATAAAAACTAAATAATTAATTTTTCAAAAAAAAAAGTCAAAGGTAATGGAAAAACTTGCTCTGTGCCGCCCAACTACATTATTAATGGAAAAAAGTGAGCATGCAGTATGTGTTGTGTAAAAAAGATTACTGCAATTGACAAATTGAGTCTAGTACCATTATCCGACTTGGGTCATGCAGTACGAACAAGGATCCACGAACTTCATCATACTTCAGTCATGCACAGAGAGAAACTCATAGCTAAGATTTCCAACACCTAGGCATTATCTTGAGAACTACGAAGATTATGGTAAGTTTGATGAGGCTCTCATATATCTCGAATATGGCGAATTTAATTACCATCTTCCTGTATTATTTCTCCTCTGATCTGGAAAATTCAAATTTTGATTTTGACTCTTTCTCTTGTGTCGATGATAAGGCTATCCCGGTGATCATGGTGGCTCTAGTCCTCGTGATGACTCCTCTTATTGTGGGTCTCCTGTGCACCGCTCACTTTATGGAGGCGGCTAAGGTCATTCACCGGAACCACCATAACCACCTGACGGAGGCGGCTGAGATCCTTCACCCTATCGAGTTGGCGGATCAGATCGTTGACGTCGGGCATGGCGGTGGTGATCAGCCTTTGGAGGTGGCCGAGATAGTTCAATGGCACAGGGGCAATCACTTGATGAACATAACGGAGATGATTATCCAGCACCACATGTTGGCTTACTGGTTCTAACCAGTGAGAACTGAGAAGAAAATATATAAGGTTGTGGAAGTGAGCTACTACATCATGAGAGCTCCCAAAGGTTGTGACTTGTGAAGAAATGTTATGGGGTTATTGCAAGAAGTATATTTAGGTACGTGATAGATTAATGCTCGTAGTGTGTTTATATGTGTAGTATCGCGGCTTCCGGTGGACTTGTTTTTGCGTCATATATATAGACTACTCAACCCTTTTGTTGATCTGAATATAAGAACGTTAGTGTGTCTGAACTCTGAAGAGAGAGAAAATGGTTAAATTATATATATATATATATATATATATAATTTTCTTGAAATTTAGGAAAAGAACCCTTTTAAAGGATTATTCCTGTCATAACATATCCAACAAATGGATCCGCGGAGGAGGTACTTTAATTGACAGCAAACAACAGCTACTCTAAATAAAACCACCTAACTACTAACCTTTTGCATGCCAGAATGGTGTGGCGAGAAAGATTTAGGTTTTACTTTTTTTGTTAATTTTAGACCAGTCTCTTTTTATATATATATATATATATATATATATATGCATCCTCACTAATAGAGATATTTCTCATTGAATAAATTGTAGCAAGAAATTGTCGCAAAATTTCTTACGAAAGTACAAACTTTGTAAGTTTCTCGCAGATTTTTCACTGGAAGATACCTGAGAGAAAAAATATGTGAGAAATGTGTGATAACATTGGCGGGAACATTAGCATGTTTTGGTTGGAATCGGTGCCATATTTTCTTACGGAAATATTTTGTAAGAATTTCTCGTGGCTCCAATTTATGTCCGTGAGAAATTCTCACAATTTTTTATGTGTGAAAAACGAGCTTCTAAATTATTTTGCTTTAGCTGCATGATAATATTCAAAAACAGTTGTTACAAAAAAGTAACACCCCATTGAAAAATAACTTGTTTAAAAGAAACTATCAGTGAATCAATACGACTTGTGTATTGTGACTTCCTACCAATTGCCAACACCGTTTTTAAAAATATATTGATTAAAACAGAAAAAAAAATCCATGCCTTGTCATTGCCACAAGGTCATATGGACATAAGAGAAATAAACCATTCAAATTCAAATATGCACGTTGCATAGCCATAATATTTCGTCCTTCAATTTCGTACAAGAGTAAGTAGAGTCTGACTTGGCCCAACCAAAAACCAGACCAACTCGGGTCGGGCCGAGTTATGAATAAAACAAATTGGTCCGAGAGTGTTCCGGGTTGGACCCGACGCACATTGGCATGGCAGGGCAAATAAAAGTATTTGACCCAGTCTCACCTGCAAACACCCCTATCTCTGCTTGTGAGATTCCCGGATCTTAAACAACATTGAAAAGGTACAATTTTTCCTTTGTCAAAATATTTCTTTACTCAACTAGTGGAATAGATTGGCATATGATTTTTTTTTTTTAAAAAAGACGTTGATGAGAAAAGGACAGGTTCCAGAAGATCTGGAATGTTGGAATAGAGCTGGACCAAATAAATGGTAGGAAAAAAACACGAGAAATGGAGAAGAATAAGGAAATGAATGCCACATAGTTGTCAAAGAGCAATGCTATATCCACTCTCAGCCAAGAAAAACACAACACTCTCTTCTTCAATCCATTTTAACATGTCCCTTATATAAGTAAATCACAAGTCTTTCTGATCTCTAATTGCGAAGATCGACGTGTGGCTAAATTGAATAGCGATCGAGTCACAAAGTCATCTGCAGCAAGCTGCTTCTTTAACTTTTTGTAAGCTAGGAACGGGGTGCGTTCGCGCGCGTAAGAGAGAAACATATATAATGCATCATCAAGAAGTCAAAAGCAATTTATCTGGTGCAACTACAGAGAAAGAAAAGGTAGGATCAAAAGGATATGAATGTGATCAACCCCTTTGCCCTAAGCCCAGAAAGCTTCCTCCTGCAGTTCCTGAGTTCCTCAAGCCACTCAGATGTAGCACACACAGGTTTGTTCCCTAGTTCCTCAATCTAATACAAATATAAAATTCATATCCAGTGGTTATGTTTCTGATTTGGTTTTCTTTCTTTAACAGTCAGCCAAAAGGCAATGAAGAAAGTAGAGTTCTGAACATGATCACAGAAAAGGTTCTGGCTTAGATTAGCTTAATCATCAAAATGATTAATGATCCTAATAAAAGAGCTTAACATATGTGATGAATGCATGTTTGTGCAGAATACACATGAGAAGGAGCTGGTATGCAGTGCTGGATGCTTACCTTCTTGTTACTCAGGCTCTCCACCGCGCCGGACAGAAAACCCACTGATCCATGACGTGGAGTTTCTTCATCAAATGGACATTGTTTCGCCATTTTCACGCACCAAACTCTCTGATAAATGTGCTTTTACCTCTGCTTGATCCAACACCGACGAATCTGATTCTCAAAATCAGCCGTCAATATAGAATACAAAATCTACAGCAAGCTGTACTATTTACAAGCCATGAACAAAATGGCTGATCATTTTTCATACTCTGTGCAGTACATAAGGGATCTACCAAGTTGTTCTAACGAAGAAATGAACACTTGCAAAGGATATATATATATATATATACCAATTGAGAGATAAGTATTCTTTTTTTGTAGAGAATAATAATTAGTATAAGTCATATATTGCGTACGGGAATCCTGATATGTATATACTGTGAGCTGAATAGACTTTGAATGTATTTTGTATAGACTAGTGTCTATTATGAGCCAATTATGTTATCATCGTCAAGATCAATGAATGGCGGATTAAAAGAATACAAAAGTATTCAATTTTAAATAAAAGTATTCAATTTTTCTTTTCAAATAGATCAACCGCACCTGCAAATGTTTGCAGGGAAAATCGTTGTTAATTATTGGGAATGCTGTAATAAAATTATAGTATTATGACTTCATCAAATATATTACTATTATTATTATTATTATTGAAAGTCAACTCAAAATTGTTCAAAAATTAAAAGTAAATTTGGAGTTTGGACACGTGATTAGCTGTAAGCAAATAAACTTTTAAAAATATTATATTTTTGAAATAAAAAATTATTGATTTTTGAAAGCTTTCCAAAACAAGTTTTGATTTTTCAAGGTGCTTTTTGTCTCTCTTGAGTCTTGAGAAAACCACGTTTTGGAACCGAAGACGAAAACAAGCGTAACTTACAGGGAATGGCAGATATAGATCAAAGGGAACCGAAAAAATTCAACGGTAAACGTGGCTTTGATCCCCGCCAACCCGCCGACCGTTATCAACTGTCAAAGACAAGCGTCGTGGGGCCCACGCACTTGTTCACGTTGTAGATACCTACCTGTGCTAGCTTGACTCCCTCACTCTCCTTCACTGCCGAGTACTTCAAGATCTTACCCCCGCTTCACTCTCAAAATCCCAAGATCCTCTCTTTATGTGTGAAATCCAAATCTCCAAACCCTAATTCTCCTTAGTTCTACTTAATTCGCTTTCTCTTCCAAGATCTATGTTCTCGATTTCAGTTCTTTTGGGGTTTTGGCTCTCATTGACGAAAGAATGATTATATTGGGCAGAACCATCCTCGTCTTTCTTTTATTCTGGAGCTTCTGGGCTTCCTGCCATGCTCGCGTCTTCACCTTCACGATGCACCATCGTTTCTCCGAGCCTGTCAAGAAGTGGTCGGAGACCACCTCTGGAAAGTTCTCAGCGGTGGATGCCTGGCCTGAGAAGGGGAGTTTTGAGTACTACGCGGGGCTGGCCGATCGCGATCGTTTCTTCCGTGGCCGCAAACTTTCCGGTAAAGATGACGCACCCCTGGCATTCTCTGATGGCAATTCCACATTTCGGATCAGCTCGCTGGGTTTGTATGTTTCTTTCTTTTTCTGTGTCTTTTCTTTTTAAATGCAACTTGCATATATATATATATATATATTGAATAATTATTAATCTAATTTGTCCCCTTGAATTAGTCCTTGTTCTTGGATGTTGCTCCCTCATTTCTTTAACTTTCTCCTTTCTTTTGTTTGTTCATGCAGTCTGCATTATACAACAGTTCAACTGGGGACACCAGGAGTGAAGTTTATGGTGGCTCTTGATACAGGAAGTGACCTGTTCTGGGTACCATGTGATTGTACCAGATGTGCAGCAGCTGATAGCACAGCTTTTGCTTCAGTATGTTCCCTTCTACTTATTAAGATTTGATACTAGAAATTCTGGATATTTGCAAAGAAATTCTGGATTGCTTATGGATATTTGTTCTTGAAAATGAAAATATGTTGTAGCAGGATTTTGATCTTAGTGTGTACAATCCTAATGGTTCTTCAACGAGCAAAAAGGTCACTTGTAACAACAGTTTGTGTGTACACCGCAATCAGTGCCTTGGGACTTTCAGCAACTGCCCCTATATGGTCTCTTATGTCTCTGCTGAAACTTCCACGTCTGGAATACTTGTTGAGGACGTTCTGCACTTGACGAAAGAAGATAATCATAATGAGCTTGTTGAGGCATACGTCATATTTGGGTTAGTTTCATTATAATATTACCGAAATGATCTGAACACTGTTTCATCAGCATTCATACGTCAGTCTAGTGCTTTTAGCTTTCTGGCTCTTCTATCGTTTTTCTTCTGTCACTTACACATACTAGAATTGAAATTAACACTTGTGCAGCTGTGGACAAGTTCAAAGTGGATCTTTTTTAGATGTTGCAGCTCCTAATGGTTTGTTTGGGCTTGGCATGGAGAAAATATCAGTTCCTAGCATGTTATCCAGAGAAGGTTTCACAGCAGATTCATTCTCCATGTGTTTTGGACGTGACGGCATTGGAAGGATAAGTTTTGGGGACAAGGGTAGTCCTGATCAAGAAGAGACCCCATTTAATTTGAACCCATCGCAGTAAGTGGTAATTCCCTGCTTACTTGTTGTCACTGACTTCAGGAATCAAAATAGTACTGCTGCTGCTTACGGATGCTTGTGAAAATATTAAGTCTTATGCTTTTACCTATCTCACAGCCCTACCTATAACATCACAGTCACTCAAGTCCAAGTAGGAACAACTCTAATTGAGGTGGAATTTACTGCTCTTTTTGATTCTGGGACATCTTTTACATACTTGATTGATCCAACCTACCAAAGGCTTTCTGAGAGTGTAAGCACTGAAAAGGGACCAGTTCTGTTTAAATACGGCTTAAATATCATTTGACACTGGACCTTACCAAAATTGTTATCTTTGCAGTTTCATTCCCACATACGAGATAGGAGGCGTCCACCTGATTCAAGAATTCCTTTTGAATTTTGTTATGATATGAGGTCATAGAATCATTAGTCCAACTTATATTTTGTGTGTCTGTCTGTATGTGCGGATATAACCTCTGAAAGCTTAATATGCTTACTTTGTGGACAGTTCTGATGCAAATACAAGCTCGACACCTAGCATGGGCTTAACTATGAGAGGAGGAAGTCATTTTTCTGTTTATGATCCAATAATTATCATCTCTACTCAGGTGGTTGTTAAATCCGTGCACCTCTTTACTAGGAGCATGCTTTTTAAGCTTAGGATAAAACTAAAGTTGTGTCTTCCCTTCCTAATTATTTTGCAGAGTGAACTTGTATATTGCCTAGCAGTTGTCAAGAGTACTGAGCTAAATATAATCGGACGTAAGTTGTTTTCTCTTTTTTCCTTCTTATTACATTCTTAGATCATATATAGAGTTAGTATGCCATGAAGTTGAAGTAAATTGAGTAAAACTGAGGCATGCTTAACTTGTGATACGAGATCAAAGTGACAAAATATGGGACTTGCCCTTGCCTTGCATACCAGTAAATGCGTGTTGATTAATGGAATCAGTAAATTATTGTCAATTTATTGCAAAATAAAACATTTGCTTATTCTCATCAGTCTTTCTCCCAGAGATGATAATTCTTAGCCCAAGTGTATTTTGATGTTCATTGCAGAAAACTTCATGACGGGCTACCGGGTTGTATTTGACCGCGAAAAGCTCATATTGGGCTGGAAAAAATTGATTGTAAGTGTTATTTTTCTTCTCATAGTGACTGTTCTGTCCAGATCTTCTATACAAGAAATGATGGAGATATTGAGCTTTACAAATCTCTCTCTATATGAACTGTTTCTCCATTTTATTGGGGGTTGTAGACTGGGATTTATCTTTCACATTTTGATACCATTAACAGGTTATGACGTTGAGGATCAAGTTCCAGCGAAGCCACACTCAAATAATGTGCCTCCTGCTGTAGCGGCAGGGGTTGGCATTGGCAACCACTCTGCACCAAAATCAACCACAAAGACCCGAACCGATTCTCAGAGGTCAAGGGCATCACCTTCTCAGTTCTCACTACAATCGCACTTCACTTCTGTCTTTCTTTGGATTTCTCTTTTCCCTTTTTTTTTTTGGGTTACGTTGTCTATGACCATCCATTTGTTTGATCCATTGGAGGTTCACGGTAAATAACGAAGTTTAGTCGGCAGCCAATGTTTGGAGATAGTTGGGCAACATGCTATAGCCTAATATGAGCTCAAGGATAAGCTTAAATGGCCAAAAATTTAATTTTAAAAATGAATGTAAAATGGTGAAAAAAAGTTACTACTTATTAGTGGCCCAAAAAACTCAAATGAACGCAACATGCAACCCTGAGTGGTTGTTGGCCACAGGATATTTATTTGGATTTAGACCAAAATAGATCCTAATTATGCAAAAACATCATATGAGTTTCATAGGAGATCAGGATAATGTTGGTGAAGCCAATTTTAGAATCAGTGTTGCAAATATGGGAATTGTAAATCAGTTACATAAGTCTTATAGGTCACTGCTAATGATTTGTAGCTCAAAATTATCATATTTACAATTTTTCATTTGTTCTGAATTAATATTTACAACTTATTTTATTATAATTTTTTTGTGACCTAAAGGGTTATTCCACCTAAGATCATCTAGTGGGGTGAAGTTTTCATAAAGAAGATAATTAGAGTAGTGTTCAGGCTATTATGACAATAGGGTGAGATTATATTATAATCGCATTAAAGTGTGATTTATAAATGTAAAGGGATAATTAGGGTAGTGTTCAGGCTATTATGACAATGGGGTGAGATTATATTATAATCGCATTAAAGTGTGATTTATAAATGTAAAGGGATCTCTTTCTTACCAAGCCAATATTCTAGGATGAGTTCTTCTTTTACATTCATGCTCACAACAGATTTGTCACCAAATATTTACATATGATATAGGTAAAGATAGATTCGGACTAGATTTCAAAAGGTACATGATCCTCCTATCAGTCGTTGCGTCAAATTCAAATCCCCTAGTTAAAGGAAGCACCTAACAGTCAATAATGATATGTATAGTAATTTTTTTCTTTTAAAAAAATGCAACCTGTTGTGGCTTATGTTTAAAATTCTGTAAAATACACAATAAAATGTCTAACTAGTTAAAATATATTTAGTCAACACAGAACGCCAATATCTTCCATTTTGTTTCATGCTTATTTTTCGTAAAATTGTTCAAATACAACTAGAGTTCCATTAAAACTTTATTTGCTTTCCCCACTCTTTAGAGTATAAAGACTCTGACATCGATTTGTCTAATAAGAGAGAACGGCAGGAGAATGGAGCTTAAAATGCAAATTGGCTCACAAGAGATTTCTACGCTCCATCAAGGAACATCTGCAGACCTATGCTCAATGTCCATGTTGTGAGTTTGGTGATCTAAATGGTAAATAAAATGTATTTTTGGTTGGCCAAAAACTAAATATACTGTATTTTTTTTTAAAAAAAAAAGTCCCGTGTTTTTACTTGAAAACTATTTCTTGGCTTATTTTTACCAAAATTAAAATTTTAGCTATTTTTAAAGAAAAACTAAAATCGTTAACACGGTCATGGATCATGGTCTATCTCTATCCTGTTATTAAAATGTGAGAGTCATTTGGAAGTCCCACCCCACAAGGCTAAATATACTATAATCCCACCAAATCTACAAATAATTCTGAAATCCCAAATCCCATTAGAAAAAACAAGTAATTTTTTCATTTTAACAACAACCCATTTTGCATTAATCCTTAATCCTTATTAAATTTGGAGAATTACATCCAATCCCCTCTCAAAGGAAATAATCACATATAAAGACTAATAACAAATCCCATTAGAAAAAACAAGTAATTTTTTTATTTTAATAACAACCCATTTTGCATTAATCCTTATTTATGATTAATTTTTTTAAGAGGGGACTGGATGTGATTTTACTAATAAAATTTCCAATGTCATTACTTGAATGCCCTGCTGCCTTAAAAAACAAAAGGAGAATGAAGACACTTTCAGTTCTTCGACCTCCGCCTTCTTCCCTGTTCTTCGACCTCCTCCTTTCAAACCCACCATTCTTTTTCAGTTTTTGTATAATAAAGACCAACGGCACCCCCATCTCTGATTCCTCTTTTGGACACCACCACCACCACCACCACCAGCATTCTCTCTTCGACACGTCTTCCCTATCACGTCATCATTGCTTTTCCCTCCATCGCAGCCATAATCGCCGGTTTGGCAAATGAGGCAATTGCCTTGTGCTTCAAAAAAATTCGTTTATTATTGCTGTTAAATATTACTATTAATTACATCTTTTCATTAAGAATTCATAATTCATAATCCTGTGTTTCACTGTATCTATCATTCTCATTTTCTAATATCAATCAGCCATTGGGTAACATTAACATACCGCCACAATATATAGAATGGACAAGAACCACTTTGTTAGCATCTAACAATTCTCATTGCTGCTATCATCATTTTCTTTTTGAAAGAAAATATTACCCTATTGCATTGTCACTCATTTGCCAAATAATTTTTGTTTATTAGAATTTTTAGCTTGCTACCTAATTGAAATTAAAAAAAAAAATACTAATAATAGATTTAAGATGGTGGCCACTTCATGTGTATTTGTTACACTTTTTTACGGTTTATATTACTTTTTATTTGAAATTACGATTTTTTTAAAATTTTTTATAGCATTTAAAATGATACAAATGTCAAATAAAAAATTTGAATATACTAAGCCTCTCAGAATATTTGTCTCAGCCCCAGAATTTCTTCGCACGCCCAGTCGCCACCACAGGCACAACCACCTCATTCAATATTCTCCCTCGACCCGCTCCATTCAGTCAATGTTGGAAACTGCGGGCCCGGTGGCTTAATAACTTTTTGCGATCTTGAATTGGACTCAACCTGGGCCACTGATCACACTTCTCCAGAGGCCTATGAATTTCAAGGAAGTAGTGAAAGGTCAAAGAAGCTTATTCATTCAGCTTCATTTATAGAATTACATAAGAAAACAAAGTTATAATTTAAGGACCTTGGATTTCATTATTATTTACTAAATCTTGTGGTGGGATTTCCTAGTAATTCTCCCAATTAAATGGCGCTTGTAGGCTCGGAAGACTGAGATTTTTAACCCAATGGGGCTAAAAATAAGAAACTTCCCCTTGACTCCCTAACAAGTACTGGTGACTCTGGGACTTTTGCCCGGGCCGACTGACTCTTCACTCTTGACTCTGTCACGCGCAAATATTCTCTGCATACCTCTCGGTCTCCGTAAAATTGGGTACTTCAACTCGTGGGACCCACCTCATCACTATTCTTCGTCTTCCGCGATACGTGGAGGCTTCCACTGTCACTACGGAGTCGTGACTCGTGATCCTGCATCACACCCATCTTCTCTGAGTGGTGTCGTTCGGTTGCCTTAACAAGGAATTGTGGATTTTTGTTTATTAAGAAAAAAAGAAAGAAAGAAAGAAAGAAAACTCTTCACTCCTCAACTCGTGGGACACACTCATGGCGATGACCCCATGTCACCATTCTCCGTCCTCCGCCGCGCTTGGAAGCTTTGACTTTTCTTCCTAGACATAGTACCATGACACTACCCCAAACTTCCCTCTTTCCCAGCCTCTCTTTCTCACTTCGTCTCCCGGACGACCTTAGGCTTCCTCATTTATTTCTTCTCGTTTCTTTTTTGTTGTTGCAATAAACAGGGCAAGCCTCACGGCTTGAAAGAGTAAATTACAGAAGTCTAGGCCACCCCAGCAGGGGTAATTCCTCATTTGTTTCTACCTCCTAGGCTTCTTCATCTCGGCTCAATTCCGTCAACAGTTTCACCCAATCATGGCTTCGCCGTTAAGTTCTGCTTGTGGATTGCTCCTGTTCATGGTAATGTTGAGCTTGGGTTCACGAAGCTGTCATGGATTCCGGACCCTCGGTTTCGCTATGCACCACCGGTATTCGGATCCCGTTAAGGGAATTATGGGCATTCACGACCTACCTGCCAAGGGAAGTCGAGAATACTATGTGGCCATGTCTTACAGAGACCGCCTAGTCCGAGTTCGTGGACTCGCCGGTGTGGATCCTAAGGCTCTGACGTTCGCCGCCGGCAACGATACTCGTCGTATTTCCTCCTTGGGATTGTATGTCTTCTTCAACTATTGCTCAGTTACTCCATTTTTTGATTTATTTTTCATTATTTATATCAGAGAATTTGGCTTAATTTGGTTACAATATATATATATATATATATATAAAAATTGTGGATGTTATCCTCGTGAAAATTTGTGTAGGTTTTAAAAATACACAATTAATTTGTGTAATTTTTTTTGGGATGAATTTGCGTAATTTATTTCGTCAAAAAAATTCATTTGTGTAATTTATTAACTGAATATAATAGAAGCCTGGCTAATTGCCCCATTTTCTTTCCGATAATCTTATCTACAGTATAAACAACTTAGATCCTATAAATTTCTTTTCTCCTTTTACCTCTTATATATATATATATATATATATTGGCGAACGTTTACCTCTTATATAACTTAGATTCTTTGTATCTTTAAATTTACCACCTTCATTTACGACTTTCTTTTCACGGATGAAAAAAATTAATAATAATATATTTTCATCAATTTTTTTTTATTAATTTGAAAGATGTTTAGGACCGGAGGGAGTAATTTCTTTATTTTTTAAGACAAGTCAGTTTAATTTATCATCTGTGTTGGAAAGGTTCGTAATAGTATAGTTTTATTTTAACAAAAATCGAGAAATATTATTTTTTTATTATTTGGTGAAATAATTATTATTTATTATATTTTCATATTTCCCACATTTTGTTTCGAAAGTAGAAATTTGCTGGTAAATCCAAGTTTTGCGTAAAAGTAGGAGGACAGATTTCAGAATATTGTTGCCAATAGTTTTTTTTTTTTATTAAGATAGACACAAATATAAAAATATAATTTATATTTATATATACAGAGAGCGAGTGGCTTTGGGGGGGGGGGGAACAGGGGCAAACATCATTTTCGGCCCCATTTTATTAAGGTTTATATATATATATATATATATATATATTTTTTTCCCAAAACATTGGGAGACTGGCACTGCCCGACCTCTCCGTCCCTGATCCCTATTCTAAATTTTAAAAAAAATTGAAAAAGAAAATCAAAGGAATCACTTTTTTTTTCCCTTTGCTGCGTCTATGAGAAACAAATTGTTCACCGGATATAATTCCGCAAGAAAATTGGTCCCAACTGAAATATTTTCCCGCATACATTTAACAGAAAATAATGCATCATGTGGAAATTTTCTGGAGTTTCTTTTGTCCCTGGAAGTCATTTCCCACGTCCTCAAAGCACTATATTCAACAACTGACCAATGAAATACGTTTTTTTGTAAATACTTTACACTTATTATATGCACCAAACATCAGAAGAGATATAATTGTTTTTTTGGGAAGTTACTTCTGCAAATCATGGAATTGACCAGTAATATTTTATGCCTGTGTTGTGGAATTCAGTTTGCATTACGCCAATGTTTCTGTTGGGACACCACCTGTATGGTTTCTTGTGGCATTAGACACTGGTAGCAACTTGTTCTGGTTGCCATGCAATTGTACCGCCACGAATTGTGTGCATGCCTTGCGGACACCAAAAGGGAAGGTACATATCTTTAATAAATTTCTAAAAGTTTTGACAAGTTGCACTGATTACAAGCCATGAACAATATGACTTGTCGCTTCGTGCAATGCCCGAAACCCCCCAGATCTAATCTAATATTTGTTGCATCTTATGTTCCTAGTTTCTTGTTTTCATGTTTTTCCACTTTTAAATACTACATATTACATGCTCACATGTCATTTGTTATCTTCATCGTGTCTCACAAATTCACACTGATATTTGTCATCGCAACATGTCTTCCCTGGTGGTCTACGTTCATGCTTTTACAAGTTCTAAGGATAGAGGCGTAATCGACTATGATTTGAGGGGTGTCTTACAATGTCCTTCATGCTAAACCAAAATGACACTGATTTCTTCAGCACTTGCATTTTACAGAGATTGAAACTCAACATCTATGATACTCATGCATCCTCAACAAGCAAGAATGTTCTCTGTAACAGCACCATATGTAGGCATAAGAAACAATGTCCTTCATCTGACAGCAGTTGTGAATATCAAGTTCGCTATCTTACAAGGAACACATCATCAACTGGAGTCCTAGTGGAAGATGTCTTGCACTTAATTACGGATGATGAACAGACCAAAGAAGTTGAGGCACGTATTGATTTTGGGTAAATAACTCTCTAAGACCTTATTCAAAATGGGATGATTTCTTATGATAGAAGCCATGTATAGTCATGGAAACCAGAGTTTTTTTTTTTTTTTTTTTTAAGATGATATGAAAGTTATTTTCATTGCAATGGCTTGTGTTTGATTCTTGCTTGCTGAAGCTGCTTGAGGTTCAATTTGTTGCAGATGTGGTATTGTTCAAACAGGTTCTTTCTTGACTGGTGCAGCACCGAATGGTTTGTTTGGGCTTGGTATAAGCAATATATCAGTGCCAAGCATATTAGCTAAAGAAGGGCTCACTTCAAATTCTTTCTCTATGTGTTTTGGGGATGATGGTGTAGGGAGAATACGATTTGGAGATAATGGCAGCTCAGACCAAAGAAAAACACCGATCAACCTTGAAGCATTGCAGTAAGTGGTCATTCTTTTCAATGTTTTCAAAGTTGGATTGATCATTAAATCAGTAGACGCATTTGTTCATAGTTTATTGACTAGTTCTGCTCGAACTGGTGGTACTACTAGGTTTGACAAATTTTTGAGCTAATTTTTTTTCTTGGCTAACCAAATTGGTTTAGAGACTGGTTCATTGGTTTCCCATTGGTAGAATTAGATTCTCATCACATGGATTCTTTTATCTTTTTTCTTGTTATTAAGGTAGGTGTCTTGGATTTTGTTTAGATTAAACTCTTTCTCAGAAGAGATTTTAAAGATATGCTCTCCAATAGTGACCGGTTTCAAAAAGTTTGAACGTAATTGTTAAGATGAACTCTTATTTCTCCTTCCAACTGAATTAATCTCTTTGGTTATTTTGGTATATTAGAAGCCACTCACAATGCATGCAGAGGACATCATTGACACGTGAAAATCTTGCATCTATTTTTCACACTAATTATACTAATTTTCTTTCGCAACTAATTTGTCAGTCCAAGTTACAATATCACTATCACTCAAATTATTGTTGGAGAAAAAGCTACAGACTCCGAGTTCAATGCAATTTTTGACTCTGGAACTTCGTTTACATACCTAAACGATCCTGCTTATGCAAACATTACGAGCAGTGTAAGTAATCCGTGTTCACTGTATTTTATGATGACATCATTTTGTTTCCTGTGCTGAGTCGCTAAACTTTTTTTAATTTGCAGTTCAATTCCATGGTCAAAGGAAAACGCTATCAATTTGATTCTCATATTGAAATTCCCTTTGAGTATTGTTATGAAAATACAACGAGGTTGGTTTATCTTAAGTTACTCTTCAGTTCTTTCAAATTTTCACTTTTTTAACAATTTTCTGTCTTTTATGTGATCTGCAGCAATCAGACCAGACTTGAATTTCCCTCCTTGAATTTGAAAATGAAAGGGGGAGACAATTATTATGTTATTGATCCGCTTGTTTATATTGTTTTTGAGGTAAGGAAGATCTGACTAGTACATGATATCAAGAATTTTTTACACACGTTCTTTGTTAAGTTAAAGCAATAGAGGTGAAACTAACCATACGGTGCACAAAAATCTTCTATGTAATAAACCTGTGCGAAGCGTCATGTTTACAAGTCGTAAACAATACGACTTTTTGCTAGGAAAAAGTCGACACATTTTATGATGCACAAAATCCCACCTAGACGCATCATACAATATAGAACCCACCTGATATTTAACTAAAATGGACGTATCACTGGTTTTCACCTTTGAAACACTTATTTTGAAAGGTTTTTATTGGTTATTCATACAAGTTCCTGACACATGATTATATGATATATCATCTTTCTTCTCAGTCTTCTAATTCTTCTTGTGGTCTCCAGGATGTTGAAACCGTCAGCACAGCGATTTGCCTCGGCATCGTGAAAGGTGATGATGGTGTGAATATCATAGGACGTGAGTATCCAATTGATACACTCCTAAATAAGATACATGGTCATGAAAATTTTCACTCTGTTCATGTATGTTGTTGGAAATTTAATTCTGTCAAATCATGACTTTAAAAAACAGCATCCCGAGATACAACATTGATGTTTTACAAAGAACAGTCATTGCTAAAAGCATTAATGCATGATTGCGTAGCAGACATATATGCCAGTCAATAGTTTTCAGTTTGCTATATTCATCTTACTTCATGATGCAGAGAATTTCATGACTGGTTACCATATAGTCTTTGATCGTGATAACATGCTTCTGGGTTGGAAGAATTCCAGCTGTGAGTATAGTTTGGCTATTCTGCAACGAATTTTTTTGCGCGCGTGTCAAGAATTGTCTTATATTCCAACGAGATGTTTCACTCAGGTTATGATGACAAGGTCTCAAATGCATCAACTATAAACACTGCACATTCTCCGGCAGTTTCTCCTGTTGTTTCGCCTGCTGTTTCTCCTGCACGTTCTACAAAAACTGAAGCCACAATTAACCAGTCTGACAGTTCAAGGCCGCAGCAGCCTAATCACTCATTCAAGATCAAACCTTTTATGGTCACATTTCTTCTGGTTCTTTTCACAGGATTTGCAATTTTTTGATCACTCTGGTCGAATTCGAATTCTCTAAAGCATAATTCAGCCAAATTGAGAAGAGAGAAACAAAGCAAGGGGTGAAACTTGAGTTTTACAAAAGCAGGTTCTACCTCTCTGTCTTTCCCTTTCTCCTGATCAATTTGTATATTGAAGTTCTCAGCTATCCATTTTATTTTTATTTAAAATTAATTCACAGAGTGCTCTTCACATTCACAATATATATATATATATATATATTCAGTATTGTATTATTTGAAGTATAGGGTAAAATACTTTGGCTTGGTGATAAAGCAAAATTTTTTTCCGTCCACGTACGTGATTAATGTATTTTGACATTGACATAAATCATATAAAGGCTTCTGTAATTTTCCTATCACCTTTTTCCCCAAAGCTCTTTGAGATGTGGAGAAAGCGGTGATCTGCATTTTTATTGAACTCTACTTGTCATTTCTTCTGATAGGTAAGATTAGTTGCAGTTATATCATGTATTCTTGTTTTTGGATTGAAGTTGAACCATGGTTTGAATAACTAAGGGAAAATTGCATTAAAGGATCGTTGGAGTATATTATTCCTTCTGTCTCTATATTAAGATGTTTTTAACTAAATCACTCAAATTAATAAAAGTTGGTTATCTAATTAAAAGTACAGCTACTTTTCAATTTTGTCGTTAATTATTGTAAATAAAAAATGAAACTTTTTTTCAAAGTAAATTAATGAGAGTATTATCTTTTTCTCTTTTCAATTTAATAAAGGTATAATGGTTCGTTTATTAAAAAATATGTTAACAATCTCTTATATTTAAAAACAAAAAAAATTCTAAAAAACCTTTTATATATAAGAACGAAGGGAATAAATTGAAAAAGATCAAAGTATTCTGAATTTATTCTAAGGAGTCTTTGACATTACATTTATCAATAAGATCGAAGAGAGAGAGAGAGAGAGAGAATTAACTGTTTTGAATTTCAACTAGTAGAAATATTGTTTTGACAAACATATGCATAAAAAATTGACAGGTACTCATAAAGTTTTAATAAATACAAGTGTTGAAAATAACAAGTATAATGTTTAATAAGCATGATAGTGAAAATGACAACAAAGGACATTGTTCTCACAAGCATACATAAAAAATGATAAATAGTCATGACATTTTACCAAGCGCAAATGTGAGAAATAACAAATGAAATGTTCTGACAAGTATATTGTGAAAAATTACAAGAGTATTGTTTTGATTGGTATGGATATAATAAAAAAACGACAACTATATCAATTTATCAATCACGAGTATGGAAAATAATAAGAATGATGGCAAAAAATAACAAGCGTAACTATTTTTGTCTTTTCTCCTTTGATTTTATTATCAAATATAGGGACTTCAAAATAAATTCAAAATGCTTTGATTCTTTTTTACAATTAATATGCTCTAATAGTTCTTCAACATGATTTTTTTAGTAACTTAACATTTCATTTCCCAATCTCACCTTAAATTCAAATTGGATCCTGTCTATTGACGCAATCATGTATCAGGAGAGAATAATACGAGAGTGACTCTTTATGTGACTTATACATAATTTTTTGTGTTCCACATATCCGTGAAGGTATCCAATCTTTGGTTAGCTTAATTTTGAACTTCGAAATTCCCCTTTCTTTACTTACTCATGGTGTCATTTCCAAGCTTCTTTTTGTGTTCCGATGATAATTTCCTTGTTTTGGTATAATAATAATAATAATAATAATAAGATGATGGTGATGGTGATGATGGTGATGATGATTTTTTGGTTCCCTGGCTTTTGAAAATTCAAAAACAAAGTTTAGTAAAAGAAGCCAAGTCAAATATGTATGTTATCTGGTCATATCAGGTTAGTATGACAATTGAAAGACTCCAATTAAACTTAGAGTATTTAAATTAGAATACAGATTTTATTTTATTTTATTCTGAAGGTTTTAAAATCTTTTTTATTTCAACAAACATAAAATGAAAAATAAAGATAATTTTCTAATTAAAATTGGTAGGCTTTAAATTTGGATACCACTCGTCTTTAAAATCAACATCGAATTCAAATCTAGCTCATCAAGAGGTTAGGAGTGACATAGGCAAGGCAACACGTCATTTATCACAGTGTGCGCAAGGTTTGTTTTATAAATAAAAAATAAAAATAATATAGAATAAAATAATTCTACATATAAAAAATATCTATCATGTGAGTTGAGAAAGTAATAAAAACTTTGATATTTGATTATCTCAATTTTTGTACATCCTTCTCTAGTACAGGATAACGGATTATGTACTTCTGGATCCTTATTGGACAACTATTTCTCACTGAAACACACAGGAAGCTTCATTTGGGACCTTGATTATCAATTGGGAAAGGAATATAACAATTAATAATAATAGCAAAGACCTCAATTGACTAAGTCATAACAAAGTTGAAGACTTGCGATTTAAGTTTCATGTTCAGGCAACAAAAATAACAACTTGGATAGCTCAACCTCAACCACCAAAGGCATTCCTATCTAACAAAAATCCAACACACAAAGTCTAAAGGCTGATTCGGTTGGTTCTGATCAGTGACCTTCCAGCTCATTCAAATAAAACACATGGATATTAGGCTCAAATCCCCATTTGCACACAACTCCAAAATGCAGTACCATCCCAGAAAGATCGTACTAGCCTCTAACATTTCATCGCTTCTCAAATCAGGACAATTTCATAAAGTAATATAATATTCACTATTATGCTGCAACAGGCGTGATACTATAAGCTTACCAGTCATCATCATTATCCAGTCCGTCAGATTAAAAGTGTAAGCTGCATAATTATCTCTCAAAAAGAAAAGAACATCAATCATAATGACAACTATAATAAGCCAATTCCTGTGCCGCTCATTTACTAACCATTCGGGGGCTGTGCGCTTTTTATATCAAATCTCAATGATTTAGATTTAATATTTCAAAAAAAGAAATGATTCAAATGTCAAAACTCAGTAAAATTTCACCCAACAAAAATAAAAATAAAAATTGAGCAGTTTAAAATTCCTCTAAATACTTATGAAGTTGAGGAGCATGAGAGCAGCAGAGAATCCAAATCAGGCAAGAATCCTGTTTCTCGACCCATCATTCCTATACTTTTATCTAGTATTCGGTCTCTACGTTGTCTGGATTAAATCTGAAAGATTTAAACGTGATATTTAGAAAAGATAATGATCGAGATGTCAAATCTGAACTGTTAAAGTTGAGTGACAGAGAGCATGTAGAAAAGTGATGAGTAGAGAATCCAAATTACTAGAGTAACCATAAGACGCCACAAAATTTCAGAGTTTTTTTGGGCTTCTACAAGTACCCTCACTTTCCTTTGAGTGTGTATCTAACATCGCAGGTACCAAGACACTACAAACCACCGGAGGTTTTAATCTTCAGTCTACAATGTATTAAAAAGGGTTGTCTTTTGATAATGATGATGCTTAAACGTTACTACATATGCAGGCTTGCTTAATTAAATGATTATTGATTGGGGCCACATATCCCCCGTCCATAACTAATCTAGTTTTCTCTCTATAAATACACACTTCATCAATCTGCATTCTCCACAGCCAAAAGCTGAAGATTATCAAGTCTTCTCGTTAAAATGGCTATCATAATTGCAGTCATGAGCTCAATTATTATGTTCTCAGTTGTTCCTATAGGTAATTCACTTAGCTTGAACTACTATGAGAAGACATGCCCTGATCTGGAGTTCATTGCTGCTAGGGTCGTGAGGGAAGCAACTTCTAAGGACAAAACTGTTCCCGCAGCACTTCTTCGAATGCACTTCCATGATTGTTTCATTAGGGTAATGACATTAAGAATCCCTCCCCATTTTCTGCCCTCCCACTCTGTTCGTTCCTTTTACTCATATACATCTTCATTAACTGACTGAAACTAATTTTCCCCCCTAATTCCAAAGGGATGTGATGCCTCAGTGCTGCTAAACTCAAAAGGAAACAACAAAGCAGAAAAGGATGGACCACCAAACATTTCATTGCATGCATTCTACGTCATTGATAATGTGAAGAGCGAAGTAGAAAAGTCATGCCCTGGTGTGGTCTCATGTGCTGACATCCTAGCACTAGCAGCAAGGGATGCAGTTTTTCTTGTAAGAAAACGAAGTTTTAGTATAGATTTGAAAAGCTATTTTGTACTTGGCACTGATATGTTTGGTTAGTTTCAGTGAACTTGCAGCTATGGACTCTCTGATGCATATCTTATTGTAACTTTTTACAGTCTGGAGGTCCAGGTTGGGATGTGCCTAAAGGAAGAAAGGATGGCAGAACATCTATGGCCAGTGAAACCAGACAATTACCAGCACCAACCTTCAACATATCACAGTTGCAGCATAGCTTCTCTCAAAGAGGTCTGTCAACCGAGGATCTGGTCACCTTGTCAGGCAAGCAACGCTAAAGATCCAAATTGCCAATACTTCTTCATCTAAGCATATCCTATTCCAGTATATATCTTTTTTCTTTGAATAATATTCCAGTATACATCTGAAAAGTGTTTCGAGTAATATATATTTTGACTCAATGTAGGAGGACATACTTTAGGTTTCTCTCATTGCTCATCCTTCCAGAACAGAATTCAAAATTTCAATGCTACACACGATGTGGATCCTTCATTAAATCCATCCTTCGCTGCAAAATTGAAGTCAATTTGTCCTCTGAAAAATCAAGCAAAGAATACTGGCACCACCATAGACCCTTCTTCAACTACTTTTGATAACATATATTTCAAGGCAATCCTCCAAGGGAAGAGTTTATTTTCTTCTGACCAAGCTCTGCTTGATACCCCAAAGACCAAGGACTTGGTGTCTGAGTTTGCTACCTCACGAGAGGCCTTCTTCAAAGCTTTTGCCAATTCAATGATCAAAATGAGTAGCATCAATGGTGGGCAAGAGATTAGGAAGGACTGCAGGGTTGTCAACTAGGATGTCTATCTTAACGCTCAGTCCAATTCAGGGTAAGCTACGAATTTGAAAATAATGAGGTATGAAAGCTGTAGATCATACCTGATGTCAAGAAATTGCTTATCTGATGATACTGATAAAGGATTTTTATCTGATTGTAATGAAGCTCAAGATCTTTAAGAGTTAATCTATGAATTGAAGGTAAAATATGCCTGGCCACTGGAAGTGCTAACTAAGATACATACTCTTCTTATCCGTGCCATGAGTTTCTTCGCAAAATTATGAGCTCAAGATTTCTGGTAACACATCCTTGTAACTACCAGAGAAGATATGATTTGCATCTTAATCCAAGAGAACAAAATTCTAATGATCTCATTACCATCTGAGAGAACAAAGGACATTATTAAATTAAAGAACCTCTTCAATGTTGTCATATGCATAACATTTTATAACCTCGACTGAATTAAACTACTCCAACTAAGGAAACATGGCTTGAAAGTGAACAATACGATTCAGAAACCTAAAGATGTGGTGGGTGTTCAAGCATCCATGCTCTTTTCTCCTTTTTTCATAACCACCACCATCCCTCCTCCTAAGAAAAACTATTTTTGAGCAGACAACTTTAAATCATTCTTTTTTGCAATAAAAATGGTTTTGTCCTCTGTGATATTTCAGCCTGATTTCCTTATAAACACTTCCACTCCAACTAAGGAAACATGGCTTGAAAGTGAACAATACGATCCAGAAACCTAAAGATGTGGTGGGTGTTCAAGCATCCATGCTTTTTTCTCCTTTTTTCATAACCACCACCATCCCTCCTCCTAAGAAAAACTGAGGGAGAAGTGTTTATAAGGAAATCAGGCTGAAATATCACAGAGGACAAAACCATTTTTATTGCAAAAAAGAATGATTTAAAGTTGTCTGCTCAAAAATAGTTAGAAGATTCTGAACCAATTGACAGTAGCACAGGTACAAATTTGTTGACATCTCTGCAAATTTTGCAAAATTGATTGCCTCATAACTCTAAAGAGTGGATCAAACAAGCCAAAATTGTACATTAGAAGCTAAAAAATAGAAATAACGGCAACAGCAATGGCAACGGCAATGCCAAAGAATTCCACATCATATAGAATCTTTGCTCTCTCCACAAAGAAACTACTTCAATACTCAGTCCAATTTAACGTCAAGCAACGAAATCTAGAAGGAAGTCCACTACTTCCAAGATAAGGTAGAGAAGGACTCTATCTGATTAACCATTTTAGAATAAATTGTGATTAGTGAATAAGTAAACATCAACTTACGTGGTTAACTGCACCACTCGATATTATAGATATGAAGCTTTAAAGCAGCACACACCAGTATAACAACAGTAATGCCATTGTGTCACCAAATAAATTCTGAATGTCACTTGTAAATTATTAGCCACCTCAAGCTTTATGTTTTCACATAAGAGTAATTTCTGCCAATTGAATGTTACCGCTTAGCATAGATGCCTTGCAGGGTGGTAGGAAAGAAAACCCATCAAGAAGCTTGACACACTTCAGGCCCCATTTTACCATTAAAAACTCAATAAGGTGATGCCCACTGCACATGATCTGATGGACAATTTAGAATACAGGAGAAAGCCAATGCATCTCAAGCACAAAGCATAGAACAGATTAAAGTATACCTCCGATTATGATATGATGTTATAAAAACTGAGCCAGGAGATTTTTGAAGCAGGAATGTCACGGTAGCAAAGAGGTCATCAAAGGCTGAACAATACGAAAAGAATCAATATTCCAGATCAAATTATATAGGGAAGTTAATAAACAAAAGAATGAAGATTTTTCACCATTTGAGTCATACAAAACATCAGCCCCAAGAATAAATTTGGGCTGTAAACGGAATATGAATGAATCCCACACTCCCCATGTCAATCCCAGAACCTACAAAGTAAAAGGAAGTCCTTTAAGGAAACTAAGAAAGAATGGCAAAATAAAATTTTTGAATCTTGGATGAGGTATATCAGATGTACAAGGCAATGGCAATTGGGCTTGGAGATACCCCCTATTAGAGAAGTCACCCGAGAAACAGAGAGGGTGAAATCATGTTTATGCACACAATCTGTAAAACAAGGAATAGTTGAGACAGGAACTGAGGTGGTGGCTTACATTGCACTTAAGATTATTCAAGGCACAAACTTTACGCATGTTGTCAAGTACCTGCAGCTCCAATACAATTAACAGTCAGCTCACAGATATAGAAGTTCCAGCCATGGTAGATAACAGTCTAACAAGGTGGAGTAAGAACGATGCTTCTTTTTATCATGTAATATTTCTTTCTTTCAGGCTGTCTCCAGAGGCCAGATCAGCCCATCAAATAAATTCACATTTCCAGAAGAGAATAGTTTAAAACCCGTGTTACTATCAGCAATATTTTTAGCTTCATGTGCGAAAGGAATAAAGGCTCTCAATTGGCTACAATGTTTTAGTCCAGATACTTAGCAAGAACTTAGCGAGTCATCAATACTGAACCCAAGACAGCTCTTCTAGCCTACAGAACAATGCCAAAAAAAAAAAATTAAGTGCAGATTTCACGGTATCAATTTGTACGTCCAACTCCAATAGAAACAAAAGTAAGACAAAAAAGGAGTATTTAAAACATTTCACTGTAACAATCAAAATTATGCAAGCAATGACATCCAAGATCTCAAACTGCAAGTGCAAAAGTCATTTTATTACCATGCTTAAGTATGATTGATAGACTTTAAAAGAAGATTAAAACAATAAGCAATACCTCTAATCTACTGGAGTCATCTGTAAGGGTGACATCAGCTCCCACTTTAGCAGTAACCAAGCCAGGCAAGGAAGTTCCAGCGCCAAGCTGCGTGAAAACAATCAAATGAATAACAGAGCGACTATAGGTCAATGCTTGAATTAAAATCATACCTCAACAACAGTAGTTCCAGCAAACCGTTGCCTTTGTTGCCAAACATACTCGGCTAAGACTATACTGCAAGGCCAGACGAAAAGGCCATAGTCTTCCTTCATATTCTGCGTTAAGTCGCCAACAACATGGACATAACACTGATATGGTTACGTTTCCAATTACGAAGAGAATCGAGTATCCGGGAAAAAAGGGGACCTCAATGACGGAGATGCACAATTCAGGCTTTTCAGGGTCGTCGCCGAAATTGTGCCAAGAAATGGTCGTCATGTTGGGAAGCGCTGCATCATCCGAGTCATGGCCTTCCATATCTCAAGTTTTCGAAATGTCGCAGTGTTCCCCTGCTTCACCTACTCCAATTCAGCGACTTTGGAGGAAAATAGATTTTATTGAAAACTAGTATTGCACGGGCGGGATGTCATCCAATCTAATTAGATTAATTCACGTGTGTTTTAAAAATTATTTTCTTATAAAATAAACTATATTTTAAAGCATCATTGTTGTTATATATTATATATTTCAAATCAACATTAATGTGTTATTTAATTTTTTTACTAAGTATAGTCTTTAGCTAAATTGCATTAATTTGCAACCAGTTGAACCAATAATAACTGTAAATGATATAATCATAATTAATTTTTATAAATAAATACAAATCATAAGCAAAAGTTTAAGAAAATAACCATTGCAAGGTATAACACGAAAAAGAATTGCAGTCCATTTTCATTAATGTTATGAAATATCTAATTAAATATAATATTAATTATTCTTGAAGACGTTACATTATTTTTGTTGTTGATCAATATTTTTAAATTTTTTAAGTCTTTTAGGTGTAAATTTATTTTTATCTGACCAAACAAATTACATGTATGGAGGAACTTATAATGATTGATGTCTTATTTTATTAGTAAAGTATTAAGTAAGTTATTCAATGTTTTTGGACTATGACTATAGTGAAATGTTAGAAGCATATAAACACAAATAAAAAAATTGACATTATTTTGTAATTTAATGTTCTAAAAATATAACTTCCTCCCCATGCCAAAAATGAAATTCATGCTTAGTAAATAAAAACACTTATACTTTAAAAACAAAAGGCAGTTTCAACAACAAAAAATTTGTGAATTCAAAGCACTCATTGATTTCCCTTTCATATTATAATTTTTAGTTAATAATTAATCATGTTCTATAAAATTGTGATTGTTTATTGCTAAAACTATTATGAGTTAAGTAACTAAAAATACGTTTACTGGATATTCTTTTGTCATAAAAATTAGTATCGTAAATTTTAAAGATGATAATAGTAAAAGAAAATTGGGGGAAAACAGCATTAACAAATTAAGTTGCTATAATAAAATAAAGAATGTAAAAGTTATTAAATAAGTCCGTGCATTATGCAAGATTCATTCTTAGATTTGTATAATATTTTTATGTCTTCCATATTTTATACAATTCAATTAGTAACCTTACGTGGTCATACGAATAAAGGTAATTTAAAGTGATATACAAAACTAACACATCAAATAGTATATAAAGACTTATCCTCTAACCTCATCAAAGTACATTTTCGGGAAAAAAAAAAACGCAAATGCAGTCCCATACACTTATGACAAGAAAAAAAAATTCTATTTATTATAATTAGACTACTTTTGTGTGTGTGTGTGTGTGTGTATATATGAATATGTATGTATTTATTGCTTCACTTGAAAAAAAAAATTCCAGACAACTAACAGCTCTCATCTTGTTATCTAATTAACTCACTATTCCCCATTTAATTCAATCATTGATGCAAGATGGGGGAGGGGGAAACAAGAGGAAAAAAGAATAGAGGAAGAAAGTAGAGACAAAAAAGGAGAAAAAGTAAATCAATATCAATTTTTATTCTTTTTTAAAAAAAGTATATAACAAATACATTAAGATGTTATTTATAAGCCATAATTTAACCCTAGAAATAAAAGTGTTAAAAGCATAATATTTTATAAATCCTAATAATTAAATGCTTAATGAACAAATAGGACCTTAAATTATTGCTCGAAAATTACTCTAGACCATAAACTCTTAAAATGTGCAACATCATTCTTAAACTTTTAAATTCATAATAAAATAAACCCTAATCATTAATTTTTATAACATTATTACTGTTCACATGTACTGTTCACGATTTATTTTCTTACAAATTTAAGCTTGACTGTTACAGTATTTGCGTGAATAGTAACATCATTAAAAAAACTATCAGTCAGGTTTATTTTGTTATGAATTTAAAAATTTAAGATTTATTTTATATATTTTAAGAATTCAAGGTCTAGAGTAATTTTCAAGCACGAATTCAGTCTTATTTACTCATTAACCCATAATTAAATAATACAAATATTCTAAAATAATTTAAAAGATAGCCTAGTAATATAAAAGAATACATTTATTCAAATCAAATCCTAAAACCATTCTAATAAAATAAAAATATGAAATTAATTAATTCCATATCCCATCAATCATCCAACATAAACCATACAACAATAACAATGGAGTAATTCAATTATTAATCAAAAAATAATAAAGTATTTCATCATAAATTATGCATGTAATTTACAATAGATGGGTTTTAAATAGCATAAATCAAATCAAATATACTATATTGACCATTTAAAAAATAAAAAAATAAGGAAAATCATTAAAAAAATAAACCAAATCAAATATAATATTTGAAGTTTCTATAAAGCACTTTCTACAAGATATGACATAGATAACGCTTTTAAATGCTTAAATCTTCTTTAAGCACTCCATGCACATTTTCAATAGATTTTCTAAAAATCACACAAAAATTATTTATAACTTCAAAAACAAAAAAACTCAATTGCAAGTGATTTTCTATATTTGAACTATATAATCAACAAAATTCCAGTATCTTCGTAAATGAAAGTCACTAAATCTAGGAAGGAAAAAATGTATGCTATTGAGTTTTCTTGCTCCTTGCTTGTTTGCCTACTCTTTCCACCAAACCTGCAAATGGAGGAAAGATGATCCAATGGATGGCATGTTAGACTTATCAATATGTTGCAACTATACATACCATGCTTAATGACAGCAAGGAATCCATCCTCTGAGCAGATCATGGCAGATAAGATCCAGGTTGATCCATGGATGGCATGTTAGACTTAGTGTTATGATCATACTAAACCTCCCAAGCCTCACTTTCAAATGGTAAGTGGACTTCGTTGTTTCACTCCCGTCCTTGCCCTTGAAAGAATAATAGGCTGCTGCTGCCACTTGAGACACCAGGCAAAAAGAGTACTTAAGGAACCAGTTGCCTGGTAAAAAAACTACAATTCCAGAAATGTTAGAACTTGGTGGTAAGGACCAAAAGAAAAGCAATGGCCTTTTTCAAACAGTAGTTAAAACTTCATATAACATCTAACGTTTAACTTTATTAAAGAAAGTTTTGAGCTTGCTGTGAAGTCATAGCAATAGTTATTGTAATAGTTCACAAAAAGTCTCACAAAGCAATAGTTAGATTACAGTAGAGATGGAAGCATATCGTAACTGTCATGGCATAATATCATACTTGTAATTGAAAACTTACAAGATTATTACACCTTTAAAAGAAATGATTATTTGTAGAATAATATGCATTTAAACACTAAATAATGAAAATAAACATTAGTGGCTCACATTGATCAAAATAGAAGTCTTAACACGATAAGAAATAAGGGGAAGTGGGATAACCATCTTACTAGACAAGTGTGCTTTCATGATGGATGAATGTCAACAGAGTGTACAATCCCAGCAGTCATTTTTTGATCCTTGCAACATTACCGTCTAGTGAAAATCTTTGCGAATGTCAGCTTACAATGGTATAGTTTTGCCAGATATAATACGATTATATTTGTAATAATGGTATATCATACCAAAACGAATTTGACAGATTCCAAACTTGAAGATACTTTCAGGTACATTACACCACAATGATTAAGCCTCAAACTGGCTACTACTGTACAGCCTTACCAAACGCATCATCATTGTACCATAGCAGCAAGCTTTATTAGCACATCTCTAGATGATATTTAAGGGCAAAAGCAATTTACAAAATAGCGGTAATGTAAATTAATATAACGGGAAAGAGGCTCATCATAGCTATAATTCCTTACCTATATGTCCTCCCTTTTTTCACAGTACACATACAACTATAGGACTACTTAATGATTCAACATGCATTAAAAATGTTCAAAAAGAAAACGAATTGTTGGGACAATCATATGACCCTCAATAGAAAATGCCAGAATGAAGATTGAATCCATGTCCACTGATGGTGGCAAACCAGGCCCCTACTATCAATACCATAAATAATTCTTCATATATTCCAGACTTCTCTGACTTTATTTTATAAATAGTTTTAATTTTTTTAATGAAAAGGGAAAATTCATTCAAAAGGAAACGAAATACAGAGTACAAAACATCTCTCCGATTTTAACACAGTGCAGTTCGAATAAGGATCACGGAGGCAACCATCCGTCCCACATCTAATTGCATCACCTACGCATTCCTCACCAAAATATGAGCAGCAGCAACAATATAATGAAAGGACAATACACAGAGAACTCGCAAATTGTACATTACCTCATTGTCGACATCACAAAACTGTGTTCACTTGACACTAATCACTGGAAGCCATGTCGGAACCCATAAATGGAAGTGGAGATCCTAGGCGCAGCGACAATGTTAACGGGTTCAGCCACTTGATTCAACAGGGTCATGGAAGGTTGAATATAGATCTGTCGCAGAGTGAAGGGTGAGTAGCTACGGAGGCTTCTCCATCATCGTGGGTTCGGATGGTAAGGTGGTGAAGGTCTTGGATTAAAATGTGGATTCCAATCTTGCCCTTGGTTTATGAAGCTTCCGCCATCGTGTTGAGTGGATGGAAGTGCCCGTTGACAGTCATGAACGGTTGACTCCCACCAGAAAAGGACGATTGAAGGATCATCTTCCGCATCCCCACCTATGGACGGACATGTAGGGGTGCCTAGTGCAAATGCATGAAACATAGAGGATATTAGAGAAGCGAAGGTTGAGTAGCAGACAAAATTCAAAGCAACTAAGGGAAGTAAGTGAACATATGAACTTGCTAATGGAGATTGGAGAGGCCAAGAGAAGTTGAATAGGAAAATACGTAGGTAGCGTTTGGTTAGAGGGGAGGGAAAATTTGGAGGGATTCAGATCTCCCTCCCCTCCTCTCTAACTAAACAAAGCCTTAAGGACAGAGGCTATGGAATTGTTCTGATTAAAGAGTAAAGAGTGAATGAATGAAATAGGCAGGCGATCGAAGAGGAAAATTTGAATTAAAAAAGAATCCTTATAGAACATGCTATCAGGAAAACATAAAAAAATAACAGGAAACGCAACCCAATATGAAAGGTGAACTATTCATGTTCTTTTTCATCTGAGTATTTGATGATTAAAAAAGTAAAAACAAAAAAAGCTTACGTGGTTGCCACTATTCATCTACGGTTCACAGGAGGATCACAAATTTATATAGATATCTGATACTTTAAAAAATAAATTCCAATTTTTTAAAAAATTTTATTACATATTGATATTGTCCCCGACTTGGATGCTAGACTTGGCACAACATTGTAATATAATCAAGGTTAAGGAAATAAGAAAATTGGATTGAAGTTGTTAGTTTAACCAACCCAAAAAAAAAAAAAACTGAAAAATCGATGACTTAGGGGCCTGTTTTTTTTTATTTTTAAAAACTATTTTTTGATTTGAAAAATAAAAAAATTAAAAACTTATTTAAATATGTATTTTTGATTTAATTGTGTTTAAAGCTATTATTATTATTATTATTAAAAAAATAGAAAATATTTCAAGTTATTTTAATTTGTTTTTCGTGTTTTTAAAAACATTGCTTTGTGATTATTAAAAATTATAATTATCTTGATCAATTTTTATCATAAATAATCATCATTCACTATTTATAACTATCACTATCAATTTATTTTTAATTATAAAATTATTTTTAAAATTAACATAACCAAACTAATTTCATTTTGTTTTTTTTTGAAAATCAATGTTTAAAATTGTATTGCAAAATATTTTTTTATAATAAAAATAGAAACCAAAGATGCTCTTAATACAGTTTTTAAAAGCCGGTTTGATTTTTGTTTCCAAATTTTTTTAAAAAATATTTTGTAGTATAGTTTTGAAAATTGTTTTTCAAAACAAAATAAAAATGAAAATTCATTTAGTTATATTAATTTAAAAATATTTTCAAAATTAAAAAATAGACTAATGATGATAGTTATAGGTGGTTAATGATAATAGCTTATAATAAAAATTAGTCAAAGTAATTGTAATTTTAAAAAATCAAATATAATGTATTTTGAAAATAAGAAAAATAAAATAAAAACTAGGAGTGTTTAACTTATATTAATCCCGATTGGCTCGATTCTGTCCCGATCATATCAGAAAGGGTTTTGTCTCTACTAAAAAGCAATCAGGATAGGACTTTAAAAGACAAAATAAAAAAGGAGTTTGAGATGGGACGAGACACTAGATTGTCTTTGGGACGTCTTGTTAGTTTCGTATATTATATATATTATTTTTTATTTTAAAAATATATATTAAATATATTAATATAATTTATACTTATTTTAATTATATCAATTATAATTTTAATAAGTGCAATTCTTATTTAAAATTAAGTTTTTTATATTGATAATTTTAATGACACAAAACAAGCAGTACATGGTAATATATTTTTTTATAACATATTAAATATATTAATATAATTTATTCTTATATCTATCTATTAAATAACTTTTGTTTATACTATATTTCTTACTTTATTTTTAAAAGAGTAATTACATAGCATATTTCAACTAAAAAAGAAAAACAATAACTTGATGTTGCATCTAGTTTGTTTGTTGTTATCACTCTTATATCTTATATTTTTACTTATAATTACTATCATAATGTGTTATACACTTGTAGCTGTAATTGATGTAATTTAATAAATGACTTTGAATTGTTGTGATTGATGCATTCATGTTGTTTTGGTTTTAAAATTAATAAATTATGTGATTTAAAATTTTAATGAATGTTATTATTGAGATATTTCTTCTACATTGTTCGATTTATCAAGATGACGGGACGTCTTGATCTTGTCCTTGTTTCATCTCGATTCTTAAGGGACGGGAAGACTTTTGAAATGGAATGAGATACGTGACAAAAATTCAATTTCAATCTTTTTTTTTTGGATGGGACATGAGACAGAATTGTCCTGATTCGTTTCATCTTGTGAACACCTCTAATCAAAACAACTTGAAATTGTTTCTATTTTTTGTTTTCAAAAACAAAAACAAAAATGGTTCTGAAAACAATTAAATTGAAAACACTTATTCAAATAAATTTTTTTGATTTCAAAAATAAAAAACAAATTTTAAAAACTGAAAACAAACATGCCCTTACCTATTGCCAATTTAGCCAAATCAACTTAAAAATCAAGTTAAAGATAAGTAAAAAATATAAGTTATTTGAGTTAAGATACAACTCATTTCAACTTTTTATGTAAAAAAGATTATGTCAAAAACCAATGAATTAGAAATGAATAGGGACACCCATAAAACGATTTCCATAAAATTTAAACTTTTATGACCTTTGGCTCTTCTTCATGCAGGATAAACCCCAGTCCATGCACTCAATCCCTTGCTTTAATCCACACAATTATGTTTCTCACCTGTCTTCTTGGTAATTGAACTTTTTAGAATCTTTTGATTTATCTTCCTCCTAAATCCTTCTATCCGGCAAACGAATATCCCACTTCCTATCACGTATTCAAATATAGCAGGATCAATTCTGGACAGTAATTCATGTTCCCATCTTTGCACCTTCTTAACCCTCCATATTCTTCACAAACGGAAGTGCTTCATATTTCATACTTGGACCTTCCCCACACCATAAGCTAGCCCAAGTATCTGCCTGGATCTTCGATATCCTTCATCTCCAACCCCTCCATTGCCTCATCCCTGACTTACTTTGAAGTTTGAAGTACTTTTTCTTTTCTTGGAAAAAAATCATGATTTGTCAAGATTCACTTGCTGACTTGAGGTACGGCAATAGGCATCTATGGTACATTTCAATTTTAAACAAATCTCACTCTCACCACTTGCCAAAAAACAAAAAAGAACAAAACAAAATAAAGCATCATGTGAAAAAAAACAATGAAATTCTCTCACCCCACTCCACTTGATGCTTCTCCATTTAGGACAAACACACCTGCAGCTATGATGGCTAGATAAAGTGATATAGGATTACCTTGCCTAATTTCCCTGGTAGGTACAATGTCATTCACATTTCTACCGAAGACTTGAACCCCAAAACTGCTTGAAGATACAGACACACACTCGTCATGATCCACCTCACCAATTGCTCATCAGAGCCGATTTTCAGCATTAAAGCCTTAAAAGAACCACATTCCACCCCATTGTAAGCCTTATTCATCTCAATTTTCAAAGAAAATTCATAGTTCCCGCCCTTCTTCCTACTGCTTAGCTTTCTCTAAACAACACCTATTCTCCCCTCTTCAATCTTTAGTATTTTGTTCCTTTCCCTCCTCAAAATTCTAGCATTCTACTGTCACCAACTTACAACGAATGAATCCTGACCTTCAGTAAATCTCTTCTTTGTCCCAAACAACCTTAATCCTTCACTGATTTCTCAGCTTTGGCTACATTGGCTAGTTGTTCAGTCAACACCCTCTTATTACATTCCTCCAACTGAACCCTATTGTTAAGAGTGTTTTACTCCAAAGCACAAGCTTTATATGCATGGTTATATCATACGGTTTACCTATGATTAAAAAATTGAAGCTAAACAATGATTTAACTGTAGTTTTTATAATTTTGGGCAAGTCAAGGTTTAATCACAATTTTATTCACAATCATGTGGCTAAACTCTGTTGTATTTCCTGTTATTAATGAACTGACAGTCATCGTAAATCTAATTTGTCCTGATCTTTCACTTGCTAATAAATATACAAATTCTCTCTCTCTGTTTTTTTTTTTTCCTGGATCACTTGGACTGGACTTAACATATAGGCTTCGACCTTTTGGTCAAACCCGTTCTGTTTTTGTACAAAATACACAAACTGATTATCTGAACTTCAAGAAACGAAAAGAAAAGGAAACAAAATGTGGTGATCAACACTTGCCATATTTGTGCCAACAAATTAGCATCTTTATGCATCTGCTAGCAATATAGAACCTGGACTTCTGCTCCTTCAACATGACGAAGCACCCTTGTCTTCTTCTGTAAGAAGCACCAGAACTTCCATCCTTGTGATGAGACGCGCATTGGCCCATATTCAAAATGCAACAAGCTAAGCTATATATGGATATCTGAATAACGCTGCTTTCTTCTCCTTCTCTCTGTTAATCAATGTGTGTGTGTGTGTGTGTGAACGTTGCGTATGAATTGATCCTAAAAGATGGTAGTGTCTGTTCTGTGTGAAATTTTCTGACAATTTTTCTTCGTGATGAAGGGTTCTGATGAGAATATTCAAACGCATCATTGCTTGTGATATAGACGCTCTTCTTGCCTTGCCCTCTATTTTTCTTGATTAATCTCTTAATTAGTACAGACCAAGCAAAACTTGGGTGAAAGAATTGAACAAATTTCAATATTGTCCTGACCTTGGAGAAATTTTTGCATTGCCAAGGAATTTTTAGAGGGTTGCGATATTGTTGTTCTATTTTCCAGTTGTATTTTTTTTTTTTTTTGACAATCCCAGTTGTAAATTTTGGTACACAGTTTTCTCGTTTCCCCATTGAAAATTGACCGTAATTATATATATATTATAGATTTACAAGTATTTTCTTAACTAAAAAAATTGAGAGATGAATGAAAGAGAGAAGAAATGTCATCTTTTATTTCTTAAATTCAATTTTATATAATCTGGAAAAAGATTAATTTTATATAAGCATTTTTTATCAAATAAATTAAACTTGTTAAAAAAGGGAAGTTTTTATGCGAGATTTTAGAAGTCAAGAAGATTAAAAATAAATTAATAAAACTAAACAATTAAATTAGTGTAAAATTAAAGGATTGAACAGTACAAAAAAGTTTTTGTCATAAAAAAAATTAAGGAAATTGTTTTTACTTTGAAATGATGAAAATAATTAAGAAATTGAGAGATTATTTTGACGTTTTAAAAATAATACATTTGTGGTGAAAGAGGGATTCTATCTGGTTTAACAGAAAATTAAAGTACAATGTGTTCACAGTCTGCATTTCATTCCTTTATTTTTAATCATTACATTTTTTTTACTATATATTTTGCTTTGCCTCTATATACATAACCTGAACCTGTCTGGACTATATATATATATATATATATATATATATCTGCATCTGAACTCTATATCAAGACACATGCACAAATTAAATATTAGATTTCATGAAAACCGAATCGACCAATAAAGGACAATGATTACTCCAATTGACGAAGCAATTCAATTTGTTAATAAATTTTCAAGATCGATTCTTAATAAAATCCAGCTCCAAATATATGCATACAACTAGTTATGTCATAATATAAAATATTTTTAATTCTTTAATTTTATATAAAGTTTTAATTTAATTTTTTAATTTTATAAAATATTTTTTTAATTTTTAACTCTAACATCATTAATTTTAAATAATTATTTTTTATATTAATTAATATTATTTTTAAAAAAATAAATTTAATATGTCAACATTTGAGAATATTTATTAATATTTAAAAGTTTAATATAAAAATTTATTAAGATACTAACGGTATTAGAGTTCCAAAACTAACAAAAAATTTTATAAAGTTAAGGAATTAAAATAAATTTTTTTATAAAATTAAAGAATTAAATATATATTTTAACCTAATATAATCTAAATTTGATGTTTTGGCTACATGTATATAAATTAATTTCAATTCATGCAAAAAATTTAGTTAGGCAGGATCAATTACAATCCCATGTTTAAAATATATGCTCATAATTAAGCGAAGCAGAATTAATGTAAGATGTAGAAAACATTCATGTGTATATTCTTAAATTTCTGTATAATGATTCTCTATTATTTTCAAATTTTATTCTCCATCCATATGCCAGCTTCATTCACCAATCCAGTCTCGAAGCGATGTCATGACACGAGACACGAGTAAAGGATGGAGTAAAAGGAAGTTAATGTATTGGCCAAAAAGAAAAAGAAATAAAGTGTCAGAAATAATAATGGCGCAGGTGAAATTTTGCTTGAATTAAGAGTGATTTGAATTACCTCTAAAAATCTACAACTTTAGCGTGATTGGTTCAAGTGAAGGAGAGGAATTTCAATGAAAGAAAAAATAAGTGTTTGATGTTAAGAGGATGGAAGAAAAAATAATTATATATGTACAACTTTATCCTCACGTTGTAAGTGTTGAGATGTTGAAAACGTATATTTGTATTTTTAAATTTATTACCAAGAGCATAGTGATTAAAGTATATGATAAATTTTGCCTCTCCCATTCCAATCCCTTCCCTTCCCTCCAACCAAACACCCCATAAGCAAAATTTTTTTGCAAATATTTTGATAAATGCCATTAATTAGAAGTTAATTGGCTATAACTGTTGCTAAAGAATTGAGCTTTTTCCACAACCACAGGTGAAGTAAGGGAAAACTAATTTACAAACCCATGAACGAAAAGTTCTTGCCATTTTGGTTAAAATTTTCCAAAACTACACTAATTAAGTGGTGAGATTTTCAATTTTTATTCCATGCCACAATTTTGTGTCATGTTAATGTCATGCAAATTGTTCATCGTTGGCAAAGCTGCTATATACATGCTAGAAATTTTTACTAGCTTCGCAAATATATTTATTGGTAATTTGAAAAATCAACAACGATGTTCGCGATTCTTAATTATTTTAGTGATTGATGAGAGGTCACCTCTATTATTTTATGCCTTTACAGTGGTTTTTGGAACCGATACTAGATCTCAATTTTGTGGTATTGCATAGATTGTGTGGAGGATGTATCTTGAAACTATATTCTAGAAAAAGTAAGTTGTAAAATATCAGAAGTTGTCTAAATATTACATTATCGCAAAGAAAATTGATCATCCCCTCTTAAAAAGTATAATTTTAATTAGACATTTTGGTGAATGCAAATAAAATATTCACGATAATCACTTCTACTAAAAGAGATTTCTTGTATAAAATACAAGTATGAAATCTAGACTAAATAACGTAACAACAATTATTTTGTTTGATTGTTTATAATCTTTATGTGTCTTTCAAAGAGCTTCATTTCACTCACTCACAGATTCAAAATTTTTAATAATCTCATATTTGAAATTCATTGTTTCATCATAGGAAAATCAACTTCATATCAACAAAAAATTAAAACAATGAAGCAATGGATTTAGCTTCTAATCAACAAATGAATGCTCCTTACGTCCAACAAGGATCAGGGGGGAAGACTGAAAGGTGGCGAACAACTTGATAGTTGTTCTTCTTGTATATATATATATATATATATATATATATATCATATTTTTCAACTTTACTGATCTCTTACGATTTTCATCGATAAACTGTTTTTGAATCAACTTTATTATCATAAACTACATATTTGTGGTTCGATTAACTCATTTATCTCATCTTGATGTTATATGGTCATTCTCGCTTCTCTCTCCCTTACACATCTTATATCTACAACATGTGCAATAAATAATAGTAATTATATATTGAAAGCTCGACTCTCATTTGCTTGAAAAAAATGAAATGAAGCGTGAACACAAGCAACAAGATAAAGAGAGTGAAGCTTCAAAAGGAGCATGAATAGATGCTCCGAAGTTTCAAAATTGTTTTACTTGAGGCCAAAAGCTAATGCCATATTGATGTTTTGGTACCAAGTCATTGTTAATGTGAATTGGCGGCGGTTTTCTTGAAAACCGTTGCAAATGTTTCCTTTAAAATTTTATTCATCAAAATGTTTTTAAATTTTAAATATTTTTATAAAGGTGCGAGATAGTAAATCAAAAACAAAGTCATCTTTGTTAGTTCTGTACATGTTTATTGTCAGTTCAAAAAAAAACCTATCATAATTCTTAATTTAGTTTTTCATATTGTCACTAAAAATGATTGCAATTTTGAAAAAATGTCATTAAGTTTTTTGTTTTAACCGTGGATTTTATAACCATCTCTAATACAATGGTGAAAACCAGAGTTTTTTTTTTTTTTGGTATTCATTGTGTGTGAGATGTACTTTGAAACCATAGAAAAAGTACACAATTAATTTGCAATTTTTTGTCAAAAGTGTGTCTAATATATTACATTATTGACAAACTGAATTTATTCATAATATTGTGCATAATAATCACTTTTACTAAAAGAGACTTCTAGAATAAAATGTATACACGCAATCCATACTAAATGACACGGTGACAGTTACTTTACTTTGCACATAGTCTCTTCATATTTCAAAGAGCTACTTCATTTTCATTCGTTCTCTCTCAGATCTAAAATTTTGAATACTCTGATTCTCTTAACTCACCTTCTCTACGTTACTAGAAGAAATGAATTCAACTTCAGATCTACAAACAAACGATACTCCTGATGATGATCGAGAAAAACAGACAGTAAGTAACTTGCTTAGTGGCTTTTCTTTTATTTTTCCCCAAGATTTTCCAACTATTCTCTTATCTTGAAGATCCTTCATTCTTCCCTTGCGATGTTTTCTTGTCTTCCATTTTTTAAATATTTTGTGTATTTTTTCTAATTTTTTGGAATAATCTTTGTTAAATTCGCTTCTTATGCGTTTATGTACAGTCAGTTAAAAAAATTGATGAGAAGCTTATGGTTTTGATCTAAAACTCAAATGAGTAATTTTCAACTATAAATTGATTTTTCACCCTTCAAAATTAATTATCTGGTAGTAAACATCGAAGAGATTTTATATTTGTGCTATTTTTTTCCATCTCCTTCAAGCCTTCCTAGATTTACTCACTTGTTTTCTTGATATTTCTCTGCATTTTTTTTGTATTTTTACTTTAAATTGAAAATATTTGTAAACATAATTTCGATCCCCATTTTTTTATCAGGGAAGATTCTTCTCGAAAGTAATTTTGAAAGAGAATTAGATTGAAAAATTATGATTTTACAAGTAGATCATTTTCTTTCACAAATTAGTTTTTTGAAGCTTCAAAATCCAAGACCAAGTACATCTTCTCTTTTTTGCATTTTGAAAATTAATTGATATTTGTTTTTTTGGGTAGTTTTGCTAATTACTTATCCACTCGATCTCAAACCTAAATCTATGCCATGACCAGGAGAAAATGAATCTCTTTGTCTAAGAGCCTCATTGCAATATTATTGTCATATATAGTCCAATCAAACATGAATTTTAACTAAGCCAGTTAAACACATACATTGCACATATATATGGTTCCACTGTATTCACAGGTCATCAAGGATTGGTATTTTACATGGGAATACAAAGAGTGAAGTTGAAAACAGATATAAACTTGGGGAGGGAAATTTTAATTTGTTCTGTAAAAGGGAAAAGACCTAGAATAAATTTATGTTTGATCAAATTAGATTTACTTTTAATTATACGATTTGAATGATGAGTTATTGTGTATCTAGGCCTAATAGATGATGGAATGTCGTGCAACCAGTTGTGATTTTTTTTCCCATCAATTTGATATATATGTTGCAATTGGAGAACAAACATTTTCACGAGAATGATTAAAATTTCTTACTCAATGTGCCACACTTGCGGGGGTGCAATGAACCTCAGAAGATAATTAAGAAGAAAACAATAATAGCTATAAAAGAGATTATCTTTGCCACAATATAACCACTTTTATGCCCTAATTAATTGAATCTTCATTTTGGGGGGGGGTTTGTGTTGAGCTCTCTTACTTATTTAAGATTCATTACAACATTAGGAAAACGTATTTCTTTAACATTAGCCATAATTTTTGTTTCCATTGATTATATTATGTTGTTAGATTTAGTGATCATTGAGATGAGATTTACATAGATACGCAATAATGTTTTTGGGTCTTTCTCAATATGTTATGCTTTAAATGTAATTATTTAATGTTGTCTATATAACAAAGTTCGTTTTTATTTTCTGTTAACCATCTTAATAGTATGTTTTCTCTTTACTATAATAGTGATTTTCATCAAAATGTATCTACATTATATTTAATTGCAGCCCAATTCCAAAACAACCTCGCAAGCGATTATTGTATTTCCATTGTCATATAAACGGCCAAGCGATGATGCTATCATCACAGCATCCACTTCTTCAAGGAGAAAGGTATATGTAAATTACTTTTGCTCATAAAATTTATATTCTTAAAAGACTATAGTCGGTGCTCTTCTTCCTTAACTAGTTCATTTGCTGACTCTTTTTTGGAGGAAACTAATAAAAAACCCATGCGATAGTATTTTACAGAAATAGGGTATTTAGCAATGCGATATCATTCTAGTAATCTCAAGAATGTTAGAGTGAATACTTGTTATAAGTCTCACATCAAAAAACATTACAAAATAGGTGTAATTTATAAGTGTGAAGGGCTCTTTCATCTTATAAGTTAGTCTTTTAATATGTACATTCTTTTTAACTTATGCAAAGACTTACTTCTAACCAACAAAAAATATAATTGAATGAACTGTTATGGAGTGGACCACTCGATAAGCTAGTATGTTGGGAAAAGCTATGCATAAATATTAAGCAATATACTCTAATTGTTGTACCCTAATGTCAAATATTTCTAATGTATCAATATTATGGATTTGACATTATACATATTATATTGAAGCAATTATATTTCTTTTGCTTCTTAAATTCATATATGGAGACTCATTCTTCTAATTTGTGCCATTGTCCCACTTAGAGGAGATCATCTGAAACACCTGAAGGATGGATTTGTGAGGCGAGAACTCGAAAAAATGGAGTGGTAGATAAGGTACCATTCTTTGTAATAACACACACATATATTAAGCAACAATATTATCATCGACGTTAATGTTTTTGTTGCAGTTTTACTATCACATAGAGACCAATGTGAGATGCCGTTCACTGAAAGAAGTAGAAAGGTATACGTTACATGGAATTCGTCCTGGAACCAAAGGAAAGGAAAACGAAGAGGAAATCATTGTTGCTGAAAAGAAAGTGAGTTCAATCAGTTATTTCTCCCTAGTACTATTGTATATGTTTGTATATATGTGTGTGCACGTGTGGGGATTTGAAGTTGAAATTGTTTGAAAAATGGAGGCCAAGGAGACAGAAGAAACGAGCCCGAGTATTGAAACTCGTGCAGAGGGATCAGTTGCTGGAAAGAATAACAAAGGGTGAGTTTTACTTGCAAATTTTTACAAATATGTGGTTTGGGTTTATAACTCATTTCTTTCATCTCTATTACTATACATCATGATGTCACATACATTTCAGAAAATCAAAGATTCACATGGCGCCGATGAACAAAAATGAACATAAAATTCTTGTTGAAAAATTCCTAGCTGAAGCCTGGCATAATATGAATCACCCCAATGATATCAGGTCTGAGTCTTGGGAAGGTAACTTTTCAAATTAAAAGATATCTAACTCTCTGCATGTATGTTAGGAATTCTATCCTTGTTAGGTTATTTAATCGTAAATGGACTTGAATTAATATGAAAAATCTCACACCAAATAAAGCTAGATTTAATAATTAATATATATAGTACATGTCTTGAGATTTATAATTAAGATGTGGTGTCATACACTTCTCTTCGCTCCATTGTTCTCTCAACTCGTTTCTGGATAGTCACTCCAGCCGTTCTTCTTAATACTCCTCCTAAAAAACATTGTTAATTACCTTCCACACAAACTTCTACCATTTCTGTTCTATGTTGAAAGACTGAGTCTCATTTGCATGAAGAAATGGAAATGAGGCAGCAAGAAGAGCAGAAATCAATGGAGATGAAACTTGAAGAGGAGCGCGAAGAGATGATTCGGAAATTCCAAGAGGAGCGTGAAGAGTTGGAAAGGAAGTTTGAAAAAGAGAGAGCTCAGCTTCACCTGTGGATGAAAGGTGAGATAGACTACAGGATCCAACTCCAATTGGATGCCATGTTGCCCACTTTTCTAAAGGTACTCTTCACTTACTTGATTGATCATTTTCGAATCGTCAACTTAAATGCATGTCACTATTATTATTTGAGTTGTATATATCATTTCTTAACAGGGAAAAAATATTCCTCCACCTTCTGGCGATTCAGCAGGCGTCTAATTATGCTGCGAGAGAATTTTAAAGACATAATAATGTCATGTTCCTGTTTGCTCCTAAATATGTGTCTGCTGATTAAGGAGCCATAGTTTGTACATCTGATGAACAAGCATTTTTGTTGTTATTTTCTCTGTTTGACCTTGAGATTCGATCGAACCATGTCAGTATTGTTACTCTTTGATTGACAATTTGGCATCTGTTGATAAGTATCCTTTTGAGCTTGAAGACTTGGGTTAATCATGATGCGTTGATGCTTTTGGTTTCATATTCTCTTGAGATGTCGGGTCATACAATTCCCATTGGTTTAAATTTTAATATTGGTGATGAAATTTTGCCAACATATGCCTTACTCCATATATCTAGTTTTGGAATTAGAGCAGGTTAATTCAGAGCATGTATATTAATTTCTAGTATTTTGCATCTTGTTTAAGTGTTAAGTTCATGTTCGGTACTTCGGTTCATGCTAAATTCCTTAGGGTAAGGTATATGTGCTTCAATAAGGAATAGAAGAGATCAATGTTTTACGGTACTCTAGTCCATTTTTATCACTATCTTAGTTACGTTCCGTCTTGCATTGAAATTATGGATCCAAGTGTATTTCGACTTTGGTGGTCTTGCATTTGCATGTATATATAGAATCAAATCCAATTTCACATCAACATGGTAGACCCCTGGTATACTACGTAGAGCGCTTAAAACATATTTAAGCTTTGTATACGTACGCGGTACAATTTTTCCTGCAATGAAATGCGTAATTGATGTTAAATGATTTTGCAGGGTGGGTGTCGAGTTATTAAATGCTTTGGATGAGTGCAATGGCTTGTAGTTAATTGGATTATTGTTTTTCTTTATCGATCTATGTGCTTTGCAGGAATGTTGGAATATATATATTCCTTTCATTTAAAAATATAAGGCATTTTTAACGAATTTTACCCTCCAATAAAATAGTTACTTACTTTCAAAACAACTCTATCTTTTCATATTTATCCCTATTAAACACCCTATAATAAATATAAAGTCATTATTAATAGAAATACTTTTGAGAAAAAAGCAATGATTACACCTCAAAAAATTAAAAATATTTTACATTTTTTTAATTTTAAATTTTAAAAAATGTTTTATATTTTTGAATGGAGGGAATGTGTGTATATATATATATAAGTGCTTTGGAATTGAGAGCTTTTATGTAGCTTTATGGGAGTACGTTGCATGCAGTACTCTTCTTGCCACCAATCATGCTAATTAACTAGGTTTTTAAATTGTTAATTAAGCCAACTTCTAACCTGTTTAGATTTTTATAACGTGTCAAATGAGGACACCATAGTTTTCAAGAACTTAAATTTAAAAAACTGTCTCCTCCTCTTTTTGACCCATATCTGGCTATATATCTTAGTTTGTCGCAACATCACCCACACATTTAGTGGTTACACAAGTCTAAATGGTTGAGATCACCACACTAGTTTCTTGTAGCTGTTGGATTGCAACGCTTAATAGAAAGTAATTAATTCAAATCTTACAACGTGACTTCAAATAAAGTGCGGACAAAGATAAAAAACAAAAAGTTAGATCCAATATTAATGTCGATTCATAGGTTACTTTTTGGAAGATGACTCAAAAATTCCCTGCAACAACTGTAACACCCCAAGTCTCACCAATTTGGGAAAATCATTTCTAAGGACTCATGAAAAAAGTTTTTTACATATAATGACTAATATGGAATAAATTATTATTAAGATGGGAATATAAATATACTTTTTTAAATGATGATTTGTTATTGATCTTTATTTATAAAATAACTTTTTTTACATGTTTTTGAATGCGATTTTCCCTTGTTAAAATTAGTCTATAATTTCAAGGTCTTTAGATGTGAATAACTTTTTAAAAAAATGACAAATTTGCCCTTCTATACCTCCCGGAATCAGCTATCCGTCCTTTGACTTCTTCATCTTCCACATACCTCCCCCAAATTTCAATCTCCTCTCGCCAAATCAGACTCCAGCACCACCATCACCAATTGCACCTTTTAGTTCTCAAGAACCCCACCCCACCTCTCCTCCTTTACTATCTTCCTCCTATCCAATCACTCTCAAGGTACTATATACCCTCAACCATGTTCAAATTACACTCAATGTTATAACATGTAGACCGATTAATGATCCATCCTTTTATATCTCATGCTTCGATTTGGTGTTTGTTCATGCAGTTCATGACGTGGGATATAGGCTAAAGGTGGAGAGAAAGAAAGCAGGGAGCAACATAAAACCAGTGATCTCGTCTGATGTCTAACAAGAGAACTGGTTCGTTTGATGCAAACTCAGCAAACCAGTTCTCCAACGAACCGGGTTTGTGAGCCAAGATGCCATACTCTGCCCTCGTCTCATGGTTTGAGAGATGCTGATCTTCTACGCACTTCTCTGCCTTCTAAGAAGATTAATGGTAACTATGTTGGAGTCTGATTTTTGGAAGAGGAGATTAAGATCTGGATTGAGTCAGTGTGTAGTGGAGGAAGATGAAGAAGTCAAAGGAGAGGCAGTTGATTCAACGAGGTAGAGAAGGACAAATGGGTTATTTTCTTTAAAAGTTATTCACATGTAAGGACTTGGGAGTTGGGATTGCAAAATAATTTTAACAATTATATTGGTGGCATTTTAGGATAATTACAATTGTTGTGGGGTGTTTCGGAGTAATTTTTTTTTGTTTTTATCTTTTATTTCAATTAACCTAACTATCATTTCTACCATGCTTGGTAGGAGAAAAAATTGAGCGAAAAAAATAGGGAGAAAACAACATTTTTTCTTACTTAACTACAGAGAAAAAAGTAAGGAGAAGAAAAAAGTGAAAAAAAAAATATATAGAATTCACATGTTTTTATTTCCAATTTTTTCCTCCAATTATGGGCAAATTTTAAAAGTAAAATATCATTATTAAGTTTACCCACCAATTTTTTCGTTATTGCCTCGCTTTCCTTCATTTTTATGGTGATATTTGTGGTGTGATTACATTTTAATTATAGACCTTTGCTAAACAAGTACTATGTTTAAGTTTTAGATTAATTAGACAAATACTAATTCTAAATTTTCAGTTAAGTACTTTTTATTTAGTTGTAGTTTTAAATTTTAAGATTATTATATTTTAATAATTTAATAAATAAAATTTTAAATTGGATAAAATAATTTTTTGTCAATATTAAATAAAATAATTTTTAATTATATTTTTATTCAATCACTAATAATTTTTCTCTCTCCCTATTTTCTTTCGTTCAGTCAATTGTATAATGAAAAAAATTATATCTCTTCACTTCTTTTTCTGTTCATTTTTTTTATTTTATTTCATTCCTATTTAAATGCAATATTGAGATAGATGTATAGATAGAGATATCAAACATGGTTTAATATTTTATTAAATTGTTTCTATTCTCACTAGTTTCATAATAAATACTTTTATTTTTTATGAGTTTTCTTTATTATACGTATATCTATCTTGTGTAGTTGGATGATGATGGGGCCTGAAATTTTATCTTATGATAAAAGAATCTGTTTGCGGTCCTTTTAATTGGTGGAATATTCCCGTTCAAGCACAACGCGCATGATGAGGACAAACCTTCATATGGATCTAATCGCCCGACATTAGTCATGAGATTATTTCTCATAAATTATATTCTAAAAATTGTCGATTCATTTGTGTAAAAGATGCCATACTTGCAATTGACGGCAAGTTTTTTGTTTTCTTTCCTTTGGGCCTGAACAGTTGATGGCAAGTTGATAACCCATAATTAGGATATTCTATTTTTCTTTTTTTTTTTCCAATAGGATTTTTTTTTTTTTTTTTTTACAATCTGACCAGTGGAATATGCTAATCATGATGTTTACTTTTTATTAATGAAATGTGCACAGACTCGTATGGACCCACATTTTTCAGGAGGGAAGGATGAGTGGATCATTCTGTTGTTCATGATTATTTAAAATCTAACAAAACTTAAAAAATTAATGATAATTTAATAATTTATTGATGTTAAATTATTAATCATTTAATATTTTATTAATAAAATATGACAGGTCAATAGTTATTTATAAACGACTTATAGTTTACTAATTTTTTACAGAACTTAAAAATTAATAAAATTATGTTTTGATAAGATTAAGAAGACTATTTTTTATCAAAAGATAAACTTAAAATTTAATTATTTTGTAATTTTTTTCTCACCATAACTAAATTAAAAGATTAACAAGTGACAATATAAGTATATGTACAAATTTAAAATTTTTTCCAATTATCATTAAATTTTAAATATTATTACAAGGTTATTGAACATGTACTCACTCCTATAATAGAACATTTACTTATCAGTGGTTTTGGTATATAGTTTAAAAAAAGCTCTGCATTTTTTTAAAAATATTTAATTTTCTTATTAACATACTTCGATACTTCATTCAAAAATATGTAAAAAATATTTTAATTAAGAATATATGTGGCAAAATAAAAATATCCAGTTTATTCCAGAACTAATCTGGTGATTATTTGTACAATTATTATTATCCTCCGCGCAACGAGCAAATTCTAATCTCTTTTTTTCGGTCACATACTCACATTCATCCCGCAACGCGGGCCCGAGTCTGACGTGGATAGGTGGGATCAAATCCCGTCGCTTTTGCAGTACAGCAGTACTGCTATTACCGGGTTGATGCTTTTGTCACCGAAAAAAAAAAAAAAAAATCAAGTACCTGGTAAAGAAAACGTAACCGGGGGAAAAAATGAAAAGAGGCTTTTAAGATTCAAGAGTTGAATCTCGTGTTCTTTTGGCGTTTCTTTCGCTTTTGCATGATCCATTTACTTGATTGGAGTTGAATCTCTTGGTCGTCTTCCTCCTTCTCCTCCTCTTCTGCTGCGTGAGAGTGTGGAGAAACGTAATCCGCAAGAGTTGCTGATTGTGCTTTGCTTTGGCACTGATGGTGATCGAGGAGGACGTGGAGAGCTGCGCGAGTCGAGCCGTGCAGTCACAGCAAGCTCATCCTCGTCATCACAGCCAGAAATTGGAAGTGTACAATGAGGTGCTCCGTCGAATTCGAGAGTTCAATTATGAGGAGGCCAATATTCCAGATTTTGATGATCAACTATGGCTTCATTTCAATCGTCTTCCTGCTAGGTATTGGATATTTCTGCTTTAGTCTACGTTTCCTTTCCCGAATTGTTTTGATATTATTTTTTTTCCCGCGCGACAACTACTGCTGAGAAAACCATGGAAAAACCGAAAGATTGCGGCGCAATTATAACAGGAATTGAGTGTACTCATGCCTGGATGTTTTCTTTACGCATTAAAAGTTCTCTCTTGATAATTTGAAATACATAGATTATGAAGAGGGGAGAAGAAAGAGAACAGCTTAGTTTGGCTCCTTTAATTTAGCTCTTTTAAGTGGAATTGCCAAAGCGTTTGTTCTCGGCGGCAACTTTTTTGTCGTTCTGACTGTTACTATGCAGGTACGCATTTGATGTGAATGTGGAGAGGGCAGAAGATGTTCTTGCTCATATGAAACTACTGAAGTTAGCAGAGGACCCGGCTAATCGACCCGCATTTCAAGTTCGCTTAGTACAGGTAAAAACAGCTAAAACTTGCTTGCCTTCCAGATATTACCTACAATAATCACTCCCTTCGGTCATAGGATACTTTTAAAAGTAATTTTTGATTCAAAATGTAAATTTTATAATAATTTTATCCTTTTTTTTATTAATATAGAAGTATTTAATATAATTGTATTATTATTTAAAATTAAGGATAATAATAAAAGCATATCTTTTTTTTTTGTGCTATCGAAGAAAAAACTAACTTTTATAAAATACATGAAATGGTTGAAAATGTTTGACAAGAGTGAGTATTTAATTAGAGTTCAATTAATTTTTGTTAAGTCTCATATTTATAACGCTCTGACTATCTTACAATTCACAACAAAATCGTGTTGAAAGTTCAGTAATATGACAGTTTTGATTTTCTTTTCTCAATCTTCCCATGGTGTACATGAAATTGAATGAGTTTATCTAGATTGCCATTTCAGGAAAAAAATTATATCTTAATTTGCAAACTTTACAAGAGGAGATTCTATCATCTTTGTTTTCTTAGCATATTTGTTTTCTTAGAAACTCCGTTACCGAACTAATGCTACTTTCTTAGCCCACTGGGAAAACCATCACTTGCTATTTCAAATTTCACTGGTTATTGTGCTGTAAATTATCACTCTGACACGAGGAATTCGAGATTTTGAAGGATGCACTCAACTTGGCTTCCTCAGAGCATACTTAATGGCTCAACCTCACATTAGGAAGCTCATGTTTTCCATTTTCAACTCTCCTATGTGATGATTTACCTTTTTGTTTTTGGTGAAAATTAAAAAAGAATTTCTAAAAGCTTAATAAATGCACAATAATCCTCTTATCAGCACTAATCATTTTGGATCTCCGTAATTCATAGCATCTTTGTAAGTGCCTAAATGCCCCAATCAATGCTATCGTCCTTAGTGCAGGTACAAAGCTTTGGGAGTGCAAATAACGCTGACTCTATGCACTCAGATCCATCTGAGAATGAAGATGCGCAGAGCTCTTATAACTATTCTTTTAAGCAGGGGTATGGTTCATACATTATCCCATTTACTTGTACTTTCCAATTTTGCTGCTGATCAATAGGCACGCGGAGAACATCTCGCCCTTTTTTTATTCTAGTTATTGTCCACATTGTTATTATGCCATTTGTTAATTTCTGATGTTTTCTCTCTGTCTCTCTTTTGGGCAAAAAACATAAATAAATAAATAAAGAATTCACCTGCCACCTACTTTCGGTTCATCATCAAATCTTGAAGCTCTTTCACGTAAAGCAATTAAAAATAATATTGAAGATGGGAACAGTGCTATGGATGTGATACCGCATTCTTTCCGGTAAGCATTTTGGTCACCTTACTTTGGACTGTTATTTTTCTAGCAGAATATTGTGAAAGACCATAATTCTTTCCTCTTTCACTACTTTTATGAGGTGACTATGTTGGAATTGCTGAAAGAGGCATTACATTTATCAAGTGGCTGCATTCTCTTAGTAGGAGATTGATGAAATTAGATCAAATCTGTTATCATTTGAACATTATACCTGCCATATGCAATTCTCTTTGTTTCATGCATTTCATCGACAAAGAAGAAGGATAAGATTATTTTTACACGTGCTGATCTTACCATAAACATGTGAAATTGTTAAATTACAAAATATGTAGAATGTTCTGTATGCTCAATCAAGTGGAAGACTTTGTTAAAGAGGTTTATTTATTTATTTTATTTTTGCCAATGTTGTGGGTGCAGACACTTCAGGTAATAAGGCTCTGATTTCAGTTCATTGTAGTTAGGGCATGCAGTCCTAGTTTCCTCTCCGTATTTTAGTTTTTTTGAAGGGAATATGTATTTTTATGTCTATTAAGCTTATGGCAGTTAACAATTGCATTTCCTTTAGTACTCAAATTTTTAACTAGTTATCCTATTCTCTGCTAACTTCTAGGCCCATGCATGAGATTACTTTTTCAACTGTTGACAAGCCTAAACTCCTTAGTCAGGTAATTAATTCTTTTATTTTCTAAACAAAATTCTCTTCTACTCACTTAAATTGGTTGTTTTTATTTTATTGGGTGAAATTGATGTCAATAATCCTACTTTTATTTCTTATCCAGTATACTCTTTATCATCTGACATGTTTTGATCCCTCTTTTCTTGCCAATTGGTTTGGCTAGCGCACTTCTACCAACTGTTGTCATGGCAGTTTTACTATATATGTCTAGCTTGTTGCCTTCTGCATTAGCTACTGACATTTTTCATGCTATTTGCTATTGATACTATTACACGTCTACCATGAAGGCCATGATGTTCTGATCTGTTAATGTTTTATCTGGAATCATAAAACTAACCTTATCATACACAACTCATGTAAACATATAATCTATTATTGACTGAAAAGAAGAAAAGAGGAGGGCTTTCTTCAAACCATGCCAGTTCTTTATAAATTGAAAAAGAGGAAAATATAATTATCTTCTACCTGTACTTACTACTTGTGCTCATCTTATATCTAATAACTTCCACAGAAAATCCCCCCAAGGTTTCATTTCTGAGATGACTGCTTCCTTGTTTATTTTACATTCTACTAATTGTGGTTAACTTAATTGAATATTTGCTCAAGCTTTAACAAGTCTCAAACTTTTTTAGTTACAATAGAATATTTAAATTTCATACTCAATGCTTCTCTCTACTTTACTGATAATCTCATTATTTATTCATATTTTAGTTAACTGCATTACTCAGCGAGATTGGATTGAACATTCAAGAAGCCCATGCATTTTCCACCAATGATGGCTTCTCTCTTGATGTCTTTGTCGTTGAGGGTTGGCCTAATGAGGTAAGATGAAAATGGCTAAGTGAATCTGATTTGATACAAAAACAAAATTGTTAACGTTATTTTTCTAGCAGGAAGTTTCACTATTGTACTTCAATATCCTACTATTAATGCATGGGTATGGTGCGTAATTTAATAAAACAAAGCATAATTAATATATTATTGATTAACGTTGAATTAGTGTAAATAGAACTACCAGAAAAATGACCATTCCATAAGTGATCATAAAAAGAAGATAGACATTGCAAACCATGATCTGCATGTAAAACTGTGCAACATTCCATTTCAACTAATTTAAGCAATCCCAGGTTACATCCATTCCAATTTATAACTTAAAACGAAGTTACAATCATTCAGTTATGCCTTCTGAAATTTCTGTTATTCTCTCTTCTTAGTCCCCTTTTATCACTGTATCCATAGCATATTTCCATATCCAATTATTCGTGGACTGGAATATTGTTAGTTTTATTTCATAAATAATACAAGAATTCTTCAGGTTTCCTTCAAAGGCTCACCAAGAACGGTTATGTTATTTCAAATATGTGGGCACAGAGGGATTGAAACATTTACTAATGCAGATTGGGAAATTTGATCCCCCGGAGGAGTTAAAAAGATTAGTTGTAGCTTGGAGTAGTGCTAAAGCTGAATTTAGAGCCTTTTCTCAAAGAACATGCAAATAGATGTAGCTAGCATGGCTGATGGAAGAACTAAATTCCCCTAGCACACTGCCAGGGAAACATTTTTGCGATAATAAGGAAGCAATTAGCCTAGCTCACTATTTAGTTCATCATGATAGAACAAAAGATTTTGGAGGTCAATACTCAATAGACACTTCATCAAAGAGAGAATTCATTCAGGAATATGTTAATGGCTTGTATCCATACCACTCAACAAATTACATACATTTCGACCAAATGGTTGCTGAGACCCATCTTAAATATCTTTGTGGACAAGATGAAAATGATGAATATCTGTTCCACCATGATGAGGAGTGTTGAACATTGGAATCAATGCCATCATTTCTGGAATTCATTGACGTTTGTCTAAGCTATGGTTGTTACCTTTCCTATTTCCTATTTCTTCCTCTGTCCCTTGTATCTTGGGATATTACTGAATCTAGTGTCGCGCTTCCTATTTGTTCTTTCATTGGTGTTGTGTATATCCCTGTATTACAGAATGCATGCACAGTGAGAGAGACAATTTGATCTCATTTTTTAGTTTCAAAGCCATATTCTGAAATGCTTCAAACAAAATAAATTTACAAAAGGATGTTATGCCTCTAATATGTATTTCGGAGTTTGTACATAGATGGATATATAATCAATACAAGTACTACATCCAAAACGATGATGCTGTGCGCTTATGTGAACTGATTCTGAGATTGATGTCATGGTCTAAAAGTTATCCGTCTTTCTTTAACGTCAAGATAAGTTGTATAGTATTACTTCTTTTGATTTTTGTAGTTTCTTTTTCAAACTTATATCTTATATTTCCCAGGATATATTGGCTTTCAACTTCTAATGCTTCATACGCCCAGCAATTTGAAAATCTGTTAGTAATAATGTAATCCTTATCTCTTGCAGAACTTGAAACTTCCTGTTGCTAGTTTAATTTAATTGCCATTCTGAACTAGCTGATGAATTTTCTACGAGAGCTTTGCTTATGATCATGATTGCTAATGAAAGATGGTTACAACTTATAACAATATCTAAAAGAGAAGAGTTTGAAGAAAATAAGAACTTTTTAGTCAACCTCGTGTATAACAAAACAACTTTTTAAAGCTATTTTTTCCCCATTTCTGGCAATCCTAATTTGTTAACAGTCTTACTTTCTTCCTCATATTCTGAACAATTTTTTATGGTCATTTATCAGTTGACTGTTTTATTTTTTGAGAAGTTGAAATGTTTAATTCTCTTCTTCTGCAACTTTTTTTGTTTTACATGCTTGGCTAACATATTGATATAACCTGTTGAAATTTAACCACTTAACCTTTTTTTTTTTTTTTGGTCTTTCTCTTTGCATCTGGATCGATAGGATACTGAGGAGCTCAGAGCTATATTGGAAAAGGAAATTTTTAAATTTAAGGTAAAGTATTTCATGTTAATGTTTTTTTAATATTTTAAATTCCAGATTTTTCTAGAAAGGTATTTTAAATATTTTTTTTAATGTTTCAGTAGAATGGAATCTTCAAGATTAAGGATGGGTGATAGGATTATGGTGATAGATTCATAAAACAGGAATGCCTTGTATTGAGAAGGCAACTGTTGATATTGGTTGTTATCTGCTTTAACACTGATTATAGTAACTGAAACGTATCGAGCATAAAAATGCTAGCAGGCTATGGCATGTCACGTGACAAGCCCAACTCTCAATGATGATACAAAAATAACAATAACCCTTATTTCACTAGGTAGGGTCAGCTACATAAATTGCACAACGTCATTGTGCCCTATCATTAGCCAAACTTTTAGTAATATTATTAACTAAGAGATCTCGTTCAACAATCTTCATGAGTATTTACTTTGGTCTTCCTCTACCCCTCTTTACAAAACTGAAAATTATTTGCTCTACTCTTGTCACCAATGCCTTCTACGGTCTTCTCTGTACATGTTTAAATCATCTCAAATGATTGTCTAACATTTTTTCCTTAATAGATGTTACACCCACATTTTTTTGCACATGCCCATTTTGGATTTTATTTTTACATGTATGCCTGCATACTCATCTCAACATTCTCATTTCTACTACTCCAACTTTATGCGCCTACTGCCCCTTTAAAGCCAGACGTTCACTACCATGTAACGTAATTGGTCATATAGCAGTTCTACTTCCCTTGAAGTTTATTAGATACCTTTTGATCATAAATAATTCTTTTAGCCTTTCTCTAATTAAACCACTCAACTTGTATCCTATATACAACATCCCTATCAATTTCCCTATCATGCTAGATAACAGCTCCTAAATATCTAAACTTTTTCGTTTGAGGTATAATTTAATATCCTAATCTTACTTCCAAATTACTATTGACTAACCTCTTATCAAAATTATAATACAAATATTCTATCTTACTCCTACTTAGGCAGAAATCCTTCGACTTCGAGGTCCCCCTTCATAACTTAAGTTTGCAGTTAATCTCTTCTCTTATCTCCGCAATAAGAACTATATCATCCGCAAAAAGCTTGTATTTGGAAATTTCCTCTTAAATCTACTCAGTTAAAACATCAAGGACCAGCTTAAACAAATAAGAACTCAAAAATGATCATTGATGCCTAAGAAGCACCGATACGGGTACGAGTGTCGGGTACGATACGATACGATACGCGGACACGGCTATTTTTCAAAATTTTAGGATACGGGTACGGCTATATAAATAATTAAATATTAAATATTTGAATGTTTAAAAATACAATTTCAAGATGTCTAATGCCATCATAAAATATAATACAACAAATAGCTAAGTACTTAAATACTATCAAGTGGCAAAAAATAATTATCAACTTAAAATAATTCTAATAAAAATTTTAACATAAAGAGAGTCAATAAAAATTAAAAATAAATCAATGTTTAACTCAATAAAATAATCTATCAAAATAAAAAAAATTTAATAATTCAGTATTAAATTTAAAAAACTGATTAGTTGTTCTGCCTCTCTCGGTTCAGCAGTGAAGAATTGAGCAATAAATATTCATTGTCCAGCAATGCAATAATCCCAATAAATATCCATCAGGCAGCAGCACAACATTGAACAATAAAAAAGTGAAAAGCAGAAGAGATAGAGATGAGGTCAAAGACGCTGAGGCAGAGCTCAGATTGAAGCTGAATGAATTATCAAGATTGAAGCTGAAGACTGAAGACTGAAGAATGATGAGGTCGAAGACGTGAGAGTGAGGCAGCGTGCGAAGTGAGAAGTGAAAACGCGTCTGACTCAGAGCGATACAGCGGTCGACACAGGCAATGAGCGACAGAGTGAAAAACACGAGAAGGGGGTCGATTGGAGCTGAAAATCTTAGGGCATCGGGTTTCTGGAGTTGGGACTGAGTAAAAAGAGGTGAAAAATGCAGAGTTTTGCGTCAGCCCGCGTCCGACCCGCGTCAACCCGTCTCGACCCGCATCTGCCCGCGTCCGCCAGAAACTGGGAAAAGGGACGCGCCGTTCCCCCGTCCTGAACGCGTGTCCGTGTCGGATACGTATCCGATACGGACACGCCGGCCATTTTCGCGTATCGGTGCTTCTGAGATTGATGCAGTCCAATCTTTGTAGGAAAGTCTTTTGTTTCACTGCCAAATATTCTTATAATGGTTGTTGTCCCTTCATACATATCTTATACAGCTCTAATATAGATAATTCAAACTCCTTTCTTTTTCAAGACTTTCCAAAGTACTTCTCTTGATACTCAGTAGTAAACTTTTTTTCAAACCAATAAAAACCATGTGTAAATCTTTGCTTTTGCTTTGATAGTTTTTCATTAATTTCCTTAATCAATAAATCACTTGTGTAGCTACCTTACCTGACATGAAGTCAAATTGATTCTTAAAATTAGTAGTCTCCAATCTCAATCTATATTTAATCACTTTCTTCCTTAATTTCATTGTATAGATCATAAGTTTAATCCTTCTGTAGTTTGTACAATTCTGAATATCCCCTTTATTTTTGCAAATAGAAACTAAGGTGTTTTTTCTTCATTTGTCAGTCATTTTCTTGGATCGTAAAATCTCATTAAATAACTTAGTTAGCTATTGTATCCCTTCTTCACCTAAACATTTCTACACTTTAACAAAGATACAATCAGGTCCATTGACTCTACTATTTGCCTTTTTTTCAAGAGCTTCCTTTACCTCACTATCACGTATCCTTTATAGAAGGGCAAATTTTGTTCTCCTTCATGAGTTACTAAATCCTCCAAGTTATTAGACGAGTCCTCTCCATCATTAAAAAGTTTGTAAAAGTAGGTCTCTTATCTTTCTTTAATATCGCCATTTGTAACCAAAACTCTTTCTTCTCCATCCTTTATGTACCTTACGTATTTCAGATCTCTTGGTTTTCTTTCCTTGCTCTTAGCAATCCTATCAATTTTTTGGTCTCCATCTTTTGTCCTAAGACCTTTGTAGAACTCTTCAAATGCTTAAGAACAAGCTTCACTAAGTCTTCTTAGTTTTCTTCTTAGTCATACAATACCTTTCACAATTTTTATCATTATTGCATAAATGGATGGCTTTAAAATACTCTTTCTTATGTTTTACTTTTTCCTATACATTATCATTTCACCATTAAGACTTTTTATCTCTCAGACCAAAACCTTTTAATTCTCTCAAAACTTCTATAACAATCTTCCTTATCTTCTTAGCTATATCCTCCCACAAGATGTTAGTACTTCCCTGAGACTCCTAAATTCCTTTAGCCAAAAGATTTTGCTTAAAAATTTTTCACTTCTCGCCTTTTAACTGTCACTGCCTAATCCACGAGTTTACCACTTGTCAGCACTTTTGATATTTACTCTTAATACATACATCAAGGACAAGGACCCTATGTTGTATTATTATGCCATCCCTGGAAATCACCTTACAATTTTTACAAAATCTTCGATCCGTGTTCCTTACTAAAAAAAAATAATAATAATCTGCGACCTTGAGGCTCCACTTTTGTAAGTGATGGAATATCCATCCCTTTTCTTGAAATAAGTGTTGACAATTTTGAAATCACACGCCAAAGAGAAATCAAGAATAGGTTGTCTTTCATTGTTTAGCTCTCCAAAACTAAAACCACCATGCACCTTCACATAATTACCTGCCTCTCTCTTGACATGACCATTGAAATCTCTCCAATAAAGATCTTTTCACTTTGTGGCATGCTTTGAAACAACCCCTCCAAGTATTCTCAAAACAATTCCTTAAGACTGGCTTTTGCCCCAACTTGAGGTGCATAATCATTGATGATATTGACAGTCTCATGTCCAACAATTATTTTTAAGGAAATATTTTTGTCTCCAATTCTGCTAAATTCTACCATGTTCTTCTTCCACTCCTCATCAACAATGATATCCACTTCATTCCGTGTGCTTACTTTCCTTGTATATCGAAGTTTGAAATCTTGAATATCTGTAGCTTGTTCATCGGCCTATTTAGTGTTCTGTAAGTACAAGACATTAATTCTTTTAGGAATCATAACTCCTACCACCTTTATGGATTTACAAGTTAAGGTCCTAATGTTTCAAATATCAAATCTAATCTTGCTCACATGAACAAATTTCTTTAGCCATGCTCATCTAGAATAATGCGGTAGCTCTTGCTCATTTAGCACTACATCCGAGCATCAATACAGCTGCTCTAACTCATTTGTCACTACACTCAAGTCATATAGCGCATTACTTATGAGCAACGACTTAGCATTGGCACAAAAGCATCTATTGTCCTTATCCAAGTGAGATTCGACAAAGTTTTACATTGACTGTTGAGGGTTTAACAACCCTCCTCCTTTACCCAGACTTGAGATCAGCTGTCAACAATGATGCAATCTACCTTATTTGTTTTAACCAAAGAATTTCCCACATCAAGATCAATCTATATGTTCTGATGATCATTCCCTTAATCTGTTGAAAATGTGCCTAAAATAGATCACATTGATGTTCATGATTGATTATTCTACTATGCATGGTTTGATATATTACTTTTATAATGTTTCAAATCACTGCTGAATCTCATTTATTAGTTTTTTTGACCGTGGAGTACATATTTTCTGTTACATAGCCATGGTCAGATATCTGTCTTTAGTTTTCATTTCTCTTTGGATTTAAATATTCTGATATATGGAATGTATTGTTGGCCCAACAGGAGCAATATCTGTCAAAACAGGGAACACATTATGCTGCCAAGGACGATCATCAGGAAAGGATGGAACCCTTTCCTCCTTGCATAGAAATACCGTCTGATGGAACTGATGTCTGGGAAATTAATACCAACCTGTTGAAATTTGAAAACAAAGTTGGCTCTGGATCATTTGGTGACTTGTGAGTTATCTCTTGTGAAATCCACTGGACCTCTATGTAGCTTCTTAGCTGATCTCTCTTTTCCTCTTTCCTTGATCTTCCTTAGGTACAAAGGCACATATTGCAGTCAAATTGTGGCTATCAAGGTCCTCAAACCTGAGCGCACAAATACAGATATGTTGAGAGAGTTCGCACAGGAAGTTTATATCATGAGGTTTATTAACATACCTGAATGTGATTGATAGAGATATCATTCCTTGTGACACTCTTTTTCTTCCTCCACTTTTTCTTCCCTTCCTTCATTAGTTTCTTTTATGATGATTTCTATAACCAATAATTAACTGATAATCTTGGAAGGAAAAAGATGGATTTGATGCTTGTATTTGAATGGATTTGAGAAGGTAATAGCTTCTCATAAAGCTGATGCACTTTTTAGCAAACCTGTGTCTTCTCCAATGTTCAGAAGCAGAGCTTCCTGTTTTTGTGTTATGAAAAATTAAAAGGAATATTGAGCAGCCATTTTTGTGTCCAGGACACAATCTGGCTGCACAAACCAGTGAAATTGAAGCTGCTACACAGACTAATGCAAATTAAATCACTGCATAAGCCAACAAAACCATCTTTCCATGTTGTTCTTGATGATGGAGAATCAATTACTGAGAATTCTTATTAAGTCTTGACATGGCATCCTTATAAGTTTTGTCTGAGAATTCTTCCTTTGTCTATGATAACTTGCGTTGCAGGAAGATTCGACACCGGAATGTTGTCCAATTCATTGGAGCATGTACTAGACCACCAAATCTGTGTATTGTTACTGGTAAAGAACAGAGATCCCTGAGAACTTATGATGCCATGTATTCATATTGTTAGCTTTTACCAACAGAAATTTTTGTAGGAATATCAAGTTCTATTGTCTATGCGTGATGATATATTAGTTTCAAAATTTTGCATGAAATCTTTAATTAAATGATCATGATGTGTCATGTAATATTATTTCTAAGATGATTTGGCTTCCCCTTTCAGTCACCTCATGATTCCAGTTTGAATCTTTGCTTATGTTTATGCCTTCATCAGAGTTTATGTCTAGGGGAAGCCTATATGACTTTCTGCACAAACAGAGAGGTGTATTTAAGCTTCCAACTTTGCTAAAAGTGGCAATTGATGTTTCCAAGGGAATGAACTATTTGCACCAAAATAATATCCTCCACAGGGACCTCAAGACTGCCAATCTGCTTATGGATGAAAATGAAGTAAGAGGACTCCTTGAATTTGTTCACATTGATTAACTGTTTCGTTTCATCATTTGGTCAGCCTGTGTCTTGCCACTCTTTATAACATGGTCTATGAAGGCTGCCCTGTGAATGAAAATCATATTGGTCTTTTGATGCCAATTTCAAGTAAATCTTTCATGTACAATTAATGCCAAATGTCTTTTCTTTTTTGACTTGGTATAATCAATACATACTATCCTGTTCTTCTATCAGAATTCAGATCAGTGCATTGAAATTTAGTTGTAGAATTTCCCTGAATAAATGCATGACTGAGTGGCAGTGTGGTTATACATTTGTTGTGTTCACAAAGCTTAGGTGCAGCTGATGGGAAACAGAATTAGTGTTACTTTATCTTTATTTTAAGATAATTAGAATTTTTAGACAAAATTATTTTTATTAGGATTTCTAGATTATCTTTTAGGTTTAATTTAGTTTGTTTTGAATTTAGTTGATTATCTTATTTTAAAATTTATGATTTATTTTATTTTTATATTTGAATAAAGTTTATTCCATCCTTTAAAATTATAGTTGTTCATATTAACTAGGATCAGGGCTCTATAAATAGCTCTAGGATTATTCATATTTAGGCTAGCATGTTGAGTGATTTGAGTATTTGTTTTTCTACCTCTCCCTCGATTTCTCTTTCTTGTCTTCTCTTTCCATCCCTTTTCCTTCTTCCCTTTGCTTTGTCCGGCATCAATTTCTCTCTATGGTATGCTTGACTACCACAATCAAGAAATTCTGGATTGATGTGGTATATGATGGATTTGAAGGGCTGCTTCTAGTCTAGTGCCTATCTCCTAGGTTTGTAGCTGTGTAATGTAGGAACTTTCATGCATATAATTGAAAGGAAGAGTAGTTGATTTTCTCTTAATGCTTTTCTAGAAGTAAAGCATCTCCAACATGATTATCTCATCTGTACTAAAATCTCATATTCTTCTTCAATAGGTAGTGAAGGTTGCTGATTTTGGGGTTGCCAGAGTGAAGATGCAATCCGGAGTGATGACAGCTGAAACTGGAACGTACCGTTGGATGGCTCCGGAGGTATGGATTTTCTTCTTGTGCGTGTGTACAGTTTCTAAGTTTTTAGGATATCAGGATGTCTGTCTACTTATTGGTATGGAAAAGGGGGAAATAGGAAGGGCAGGAAAAATGGAGAATATAATTAAATGCTCCTCAGGCCTAAGCTGGTGGTGCGTGCGTGATTGAGACAGGGAAGTGATTGAATGGTTATCTGGTAGATTCTCCCGAAAATACCAATCATTATAAAATATTAAATCTATAACAAGCAACATGATTCATAAGCCTTCAAGAATGCCCAATGCATTGCATCTAATTATTCTATAATCAAGAATTCTGACAGAGGGCAAGTCCTTCAGGAAGACATTATGCAAAAATGTAGAAAACAGAATTACAAATCCAGAGAACCCAGCGATCCTAGCTATTTGATTATAAATTCCACCGTTTGCTGATACTCCAAATCCCTTATCACTGATTTGTTTTTACTCGAAGGTCATCGAGCACAAACCGTATGACCAAAAAGCAGATGTCTTTAGTTTTGCAATAACTCTTTGGGAGCTTCTAACCGGAGAAGTAAGTCCTTTCCATTTTTCTGTATCTCAGACAGTGGTCCTGGATTTTACTCTTACTGTGTTTACTATTTTTTATGACCAGCTGCCTTACTCTTACTTGACTCCATTACAAGCAGCAGTAGGCGTGGTGCAAAAGGTTTTCATTCTGTGTCCTCTTCATTGATCATCTTACCGAACCAATTATCTTATCCATGCGTGATGATGCTGTGCTTATCGTTTCAATTAGGATCTAAGACCTACAATCCACAAGAGCACGCACCCAAGAATTTCTGAACTTCTCCAACGTTGCTGGCAACAAGATCCAAAAGATAGACCAGAATTCTCCGAGATAATAGAGATTCTTCAGCTGATAGCTAAAGAGGTAAAACATAATTCTCACTCGTACAAAAAGCTGAACCAAGTCTTAAAATTTTGATATGATATGTTTCAAACAGGTTATTGATGAAAAAGGCGATCGGCACAAAGATAAATCGTCCCATGGCTTTCTCTCAGCACTTAGATGGGGCCATCACTGATTTGGATCTATTATGAATGACTGTATATATCTTCTTATATCCTCTCATAGTCTGATTTGATATTTTTATTTTTAACAAAATATACAAAATGATAAGTTAACCAACTTACCTTACTACTTGGGAGTTGGTGGACGATGATAGGTTTGGATATGTACATTACAAACCCTTTTGTTTGTTCCAATTTTTGAATGATAGTTGCTTTTTCTATTTAAAAGATGTAAAAAAAAAAAAAAAAACTAGTTTTTTCTTCAAACAAATGAAAAGTTCAGTTTTTTTTTTTTTTTTTAAACAACAACGAAGTTCTGGACATGCAGGAGGCGGCACATTTAAAATCTAATTGAACAAGCTGAATCCTATATTCAGAATGTCGAAAATAAAAACAATGCCGCTAGTTTAGGGTTTAGACTGGAAACAAGTTGTGAAGGCCATCATGAATGTTTGAGGTACCGGTCCTTAGTAGATAGATTTTTTTTTTCCTTTTTTTTTTAAAAAAAAAAGATAGCATCAGAAAACAAAACAAAGAGATGGAAAAAAGGATTAAAACAACCAACAAGAATGAGCCTAATAGACTAGTCACTTACAAAGTCGCAGAAAAATAAAACAAGAAGGAGCAGGGAGGTGAAACTGAGCACTCGCAGAATATTAGTTATTAAACATGCAGAAAATAGCTCCAAATAGAAAGAATCGTAGTGAGAGCTGAGAAATGAGAATCAGAAGCTCAAATGCCTCAAACTCCCTCGGTCTTAAACAAGGATCTCCTGTATGTTTCCTAATATAAAATATTTTGTCAAAAATATCATTTTTTTCACTAACTTTTTTAATTTACGCATTGTTAATAAGTGCTTTTCAGGGAGGGAGTATTCATTATTTTTTATTTGAGAAATAACTCTGTCATGCGTGTGGACTAAGAAATAATTGTCATACTTCTGTTTTTTTCTGTGACATTGCAAACTTTTATTTTATTAATATATTAAAGACAGTGAGTAAACCTCTCCCAATATTTAAGAAGAGAATCACATCTGCTACTCATCAAAACAACAAAGGCACTTCTATTTGGGACTGAAAACAATTGAGGTATTTTATTTATATATTTACCCGTTATTATCGACAAACATATACATGGCCATGATTTATCCTTCTTCGTCACGTTTCAAGTATTTAATTTTCACTGGAATCAAAGTTGTTACTGCCTCGGGGAAGTGTTCGAATCACGAATTCATGGAACTCCCAACAGGAAACCTCATTATTCACAGTTGTAAGTCCCACCCTGACACTTCACTGTTCTGTTGGAAGGCCATTTTGAGTCCAAGCAGCATATCCACCAGCTATGTCTGTAATTCCAGAAAATCCCTGCACAATTAGAAAATTACAATCACTGAAAGTTACTCCGTAATTTTTAATCATCAGGATTGTAACTTGTAAGTGAAATTGGCGCTAAGTATGTATTCAGTTCCGGATGATGCCTTTTTGTGGAAGAACAAAATTGATTCTGACGTTCAACCAAATTCAACTAAAATTAAACATTGAGGATTGCCAAAAAAATTAGGTTAAGGTGTTGAAGAAGAAGCTCACAGCAGCTAACAAGTCAGTAGCAGCCATCGTAGACCTTTTACCAAGTTGACAACCCTGTAAAATCACAATATCAACATCGGGACAAAACTTCTCAAAACATGAATATATCATACAGAGTCTAAACCTAGCAAATGAAAATTTAAGAGATTATGCACTTACAACAATAATCTCATCATCTTTCCTAAAATGTGATGAGACTTCTGCAACAAAGTTGGCGTTCTTTGTCATACCTGCATCAATGATCATTAAATCAATATCGATCAGCATAACTGAAGACATTAATATTTAGAGAAAGCATTCCCGTTTTCCTGTGATCAGGAGACTCTGGTAAGAGATAATATTCATCCTGAGGTTTAGAATTAAGGCAGGACAAATTGTCAGGACTTAAATTTTTGCGGCATTTACTATATGAAATGAACCAATTTTACCTTACATAGAACCACAAGCAAGAAAAAGTATTCCACATTCCCTTACATCCAAATCAGATATTTTAAATATTATTTAAAGAAATGTTCAAACTAGACATTGCTGCTATTAGCTGAATCGAGAGTGAGTTGGAAATAACAGAAAGTGATCAATGAACAATAAACACAAAGTGACAGGGGAATCAAATTCTAGATAACTAGCAAAATGATTCTCTCTTTACTATTTTTCTTTGATGCCGAATCAAAAAAATAAATTTTGAACGGAATGCGGGAACTTCGACATTGGGAATCAATTAAAATAGAGTGGCCAATACCGCTACCAAACCTCTAAATTAATTTAATATTTTTTTACTTCTAAAGGGATACAGCAGAGAAAATTTCTTACGAGCCACACACTGCAATTGCTCATTTGGAAAGAAAAAGCGAGAGAACCTGATCCAACTCTGTACATGTAAGGTATATTAATTGCGCCTGGAACGTGTCCTGCGTTGAATTCTTCGGGAGTTCTACAATCAAGCAAGCAAGGAACGGTGTGTGATTTCGGATTGAATCGGAATTTTCTGGAAACTTCAATTCCATAAGAAAATTACAGAACTGTGTACGTTACAGTTGAGTGTTAACTAACCTCACATCCAAATAGCGATGTCCAGCAAGATGAAGCTCGTGCGCTACACGCACTGGCACCGACGTCGGGACTCCGACGGTCTCCAAATTCCCGTTCAGAGCAGCTTTCGTGCTTGAGAATTCAAACGAACACACAAATACAGTTCAATTAAATAGAAAGAATGAGTAACAAGTCAATTCAATTTCCGTTTTGAATACAAACCAGTAGTTTGGAAAGCCGGACTCAACAACAACGACGCTCCGTGCCTGACGGGAGTTCGCTGATTTGAGAAATGAAATTCTGCATGCAATCGATCATTAACATCAAGAAGAGGAAGTAAAACAGAAACAGAAACATAGAATGATATAAAAATTGTGTGAATAACCTTGGATGACGATGCAGTTTGGGAGAGCAGAGAGACGGAGAGAGAGGGAGGCCAGAGGTGCGAAACGACGTCGTCGTCATGGTTTTGTGATGATGGTGTTTCAGAGAGCTTGACAATGAAAGGGAAGTGCAAGTGAATGGCTTTCAATTGCTGAGCGAAAATGAGAAAGAAAAGAAAGCATGAAGAGGCGGGTTACTTATAACATTGCGAAGATGAGGGCGCGAAGGAGCGGCACTCTTCGCTAATGGCCTCGTGCCACGTCATCAGCAGAGTACTGATTAATAAAATTTACTCTTTCATGAATACCAAAAATAATTACTCTTTTTATTCACTTTCTTAATTTTTTTAATTGAATTCTTTTAACTAGTAAATTCATTCAAATCTTTCTTCTCTCTAACACTACTAATTAATTTAAGAAAAATGTTGATCGAATTAAATGATCAAAGAGCCACGAATTTTTTTAAAAAAAATTACACATAGGTCCTGTAAAACTAATTTATTCAAAAATATATCCTACAAAATTCAAAAACTATAGTTAAATCTTTTAGAATCTAGGTGTAATTGAAAAGTAAATTGTAAAGATAATAATATTCTATTAAGTATGTATTATATCAATTAAATAATTAGTTTATAACTATTTTATCAGCAATTTGTAATTATAATTTTAACTTTTTACAATAATAATTTTATATTTACAATAATTAAGTAATTATGCGTTACTAACAAAGTTTGATATTAATTATTTATAACTATTTCATCAATAATTTATAACTATAATTTTAAATTTTAATAATTGTAATTTCACAAATTTAATAATTAAACTGATCAGTTTAATTGTTGAATATTTGAAGTTACAATTATAAAAAGTTAAAATTATAATTATAAATTATTAATGAAGTATATATAAATTATTTGGTTGATATAATGTATATATGTTGAATAAAAATATTATTATCTTTTTACTTAAATTTTAAATTACACTAAAATTTTAAAAAATTTAGTTGTAATTTTTAAATTTTGTAAAATTTATTTATAAATAGGTCATCTCTATAAAACTTATAGTAACTTTTGTTTGTTTTTATGTGTATTTCTTTGTTCGGGGACGAAATGTTTGAAAATACTATAACAAAAGGGGACAGAAAAAAAGGTTTAGAGTGGAAGAAATTGACATAATGTTAAAAAAAATATGAAATAAAAAATAAGAAAGTAAATATTCTCTGATTTTAACATAATGTAGAAGAAGACTGAAATCTTGATTTTTTAAAATATACAAAGCAAGCACATTAATCAATATCCACAAAGGGGTATACGACTTAGAAAGCGTGGGGACGCATTGGATATGACGTGGAATTCTTGTATGGATAAGCCCAATTTCATTCAAGGTTGAAGTTCAAGAACAAAGGAAGAAACCATGGGTCCCACGCACCACCTGAGTCCAGATTAGTAGTGATCAGCTGCTCGTCTGACACCCAGTCATTTGCATGGTCGTGGATAACCCTTCCGACTCGTCATCCACGTGGCAAGATTCGTTCCACCTACCAACCAGGGCCATCACCATTCTTTAACTTGATATTTTCTTCGCGGCCTCTCCCCATTGGGCTAAGATCAAGTGCAATCAAGCGTAGAGTGATTTTCATCACTATTTTGACTTGATATTTAGCCCCAGTTTGTTTAAAATTCAAATAACGTGATTTTGGTTGAAATTGGAATCCCCTCCGAGAGTGATGGAATGAAAATCCTAACCAGGGACATTTTGAATTGAAAAAATCAATTCCCAAAAAACAAAGCCATTCCTAATCCTATGGTCTATTTATAGAATGGGAATTACCTCAATGAGGTCCAATCCATTCAATTGGAATGATATTTCTGTTACACCAAATGGAGTATGAATCATTCCTTTCTTTATTTTCATTCCATCACCCATTATTTCTCATACCAAACAAAGTCTTAATGCCTAACAATATCTCCAATAATATTATTTTTAATAGGAGAATACATGTGGATAATCAAATTACACCAATTTAATTGAATAAAATATTATATATCATTATTTTTAATAAATTTATTTTTATAAAAAAATGCATATTTAATTTTTTATCTTTACTCTCTCTAATATCATTAATATCATAATTAATTTATATCTAATGTCATATAAATATAATATTTTTATTAGATAAACTATAAATGATGTGATACATCAAATTCATTTAAAAACTTTTCCATAACCAACCAACACCCCTTTTAAAAGAGGAGGCTATGAAGTTTAAGAGCTGGCTTTCCCCATTGCCCTCATTTGCAAAGGAGGAATCACTACAAATATGGACCATTAAATTGAATTTAATGATTTAAAGTTAATAATTTTTTAAATATATAAATTTAATTTGAATAGTTTAAATTTGTAGTGAAAAAATGGTAGAGAGAAAAAACAATGGAGAGAAAGTTTAATGCCACATGCAAAGGGTTAGGTGGGTGTCAATCTTTCGCTGAGAAAAGAGATAGATAGGTAGATGTGTGTGTTTAATTGTTTATATTTCTATAACAAAAAAATGTTTATATTTAATCTGTTAAAAAAGTCCGTCGTACAAAAAAAAATGGAAGGAAGAAAGAAATGGGCCTTTGATTTGCTTACCATATTTCAACGTCATTCTTTGATGCATCGTGGGCTGAAGATTGGTCAATAAATTGGGCCTTCTTGTTTTGCACTAACTGCCCAAATTAAAAAAAAAAAAAAGACAGCCATGGCCTTACGTTGTTCAGTAATAACGCTTTCTTTTTTTATTTTTCCTTTTCTTTTTTTTTTTTTTTTAAAAGTGAAATCAACTAACCCCTCTTTGGGCTTGCTTAACCGGTTTGAAGAGTGCCTGGGAATATGGAGAGCGTGATTTATCTCTTTGTTGTGACTGGGTTGATGTTGTGGATCTGATTCAAGGAGGAGACGTGGAGTTGCATGAGTGCGGAAGTATTATCCTGGAGATTGAAGTAAATCGATTTTTCATAATTTATGAACAACACGGTTTTATATTTGGGAGAATTTTGATAAAGACATCTTAATTACACTTATTTAAATTCAAAGCCTTTAATTTTTTAAAATTATATTTTAATTCAGGGTATTGATTTGATATTAATTTTTTTAAAAAAATAAAACTGCTCCCCGTTTAAATTAATATAAGAACTTTTTTGCTACACTTGTTTCTTGTATTACTTAAATTGTTAATTTACTTATAGAATGTTGTTAATTACTCTATTTAACCTGTTTTTATTTTAGGTGTTTAAATCATCTTAAGACAGTATGTTAATTCTTATACTGTATATTATCCATTTAATTATGAATTGTTGTTCATTATCCTATTTCATGTTCATTGCCATATTTTCATCTGATTTTGTTTCAGGAAAATGAACAGGTAAAGTAGGATAACGAAAAACATTCCGTAAGTGAATGAATAAGTAAAGCAAAACAATATTGATATTAATTTAAATAAAAAATAATTTTATTATTTTTTTTTAAATTTAATATGAAATCAATACTCCTAAACGGCAATAAAATTTTAAAAATTTAGAGGTTTTAAAAATTCTTTCTTTATATTTTATTAGGTTAAGATATAAATATACCTTCAAAGTTTTTAGCCAAACACACATCCAATCCTAAAGTATTTTCTGGCACAACTTTACCTTAACGTTTTTTAATTTGATACAATTTTACCTTGCAGTTAGGGTTTAACAAGATTGAATGTTAAGTTGGATAATTTGACCATTATTTGCTAACTGGAATGCCACATTAAAGTCTACATTGTAACACACCAAAATTTTTTTTTTTAATAATTTAACTCAACCATAGTTGGGTTACAGCCACCCAACACATTTTTATATCAATAATTTCGATATAAAATATTTTATAATTGGTTTCAACTCACATACTATAACATTTCAGATAAATTTTTACCTCCCACATGCCATTAGGCTAAATCACATTTGTCCATCCTTATACTCCCAACAAGTAAACTAAATCACATTTGTCCATCCTTATACTCCCAACAAGTAAAATAAGCAATTTAATAAATTTTCAACACAAACCAGTTATTTGGCCTTATAATTATGCCATTTTAACCAATCCAAAGTAAACCAAATATTAAAATTACAGTCATCCAAATTGTACTAAAAATAGAAATAGTTTGAAAGGCATGATTACATTTATATATTCATATAATTGACAATAAACAAAAAGCCCTAATATTGGCAATATAACACATTATAAATCATAAATTAAATACCCAAAAGAGACAGTGGATCTATACCACTAAGCCTCTGGGACTCCTCCACGTGTCACTCGTGGCTCTTCTCTGAAAATTGTTAACCACATAATGAGACTCAAAAGTCCCAGTAACCAAAGCCAATTTATGATAGTGTATACAAACAGTTAATTGTGTGATTACTAAGTGAGAATTAAAAATAATATAATTCCAACAAATATATGAAATATTACAATACACACAAACAACCATCCTTATATCCCTCCATTAACCTCGAGCCGTAGCCCTCACTCGGTGCTAAATTACCCGGCCAAAGGTAGATTAGCCCGAGCCCTTACAAACCACCTATTGAGCTCCAATAGGGGCATACCACGTGGCACATAAATACAACAACAATAGCAAGTCTCCCAACACCTCCCACAATAATCACACAAATTCATAATAATAATATTGCACAATATACAATAAAAAAAATTCATAATTTTCTCAATAATCACCCAATTAACATGAAGTAACACTAATCATAAATTAAAAGCATGGTTACCTTGTGGCTTTTTCAATAAATTATTCCTTAAAATTTCTCTCTCACCACAATCTTCACCAGTAATACAATCTACAAATAACATATTATTTATAAATATTAGTTTCAATTTTTGAAACTAATAAAATAATTCAAATAATAGAATTAAAAATATAACATAATTTCTAATCTCAATCTTAATACAAATCTATAGTTAATACTATTAAGTAAAATTTTTAACTCCTCTTTTAATTATCAATAAACATTAATAATCTAAAAATCAACTTCTAAATTATTTTCTATTATCAAAATTTTCTTTTTTATTTTATAAATTCGTACCTAAAATACTCAAAAATTAAAAATTAAGTCTCTAGTTTAGAATCATAATCCTATAACCATAATAATTCATTTCTCATCCCAAATAATCATCTAAACCTCAATAAATCAACATATATTTTCAGATCTAGTTTAGAATTTGATCCATAAGCCATAAATTCAAAGATCATTAATAAATTTATACTCTATGACATTTATTATACTACTGACAACCTCAAAAACCATATTTATTCAACATAAATTCATCCCTCTTCAGATCTTAAATTTTCTACCACTACAAACTCAGAAACCAAAGAAGAAGGATGACTAAGAAAAAATTTTAGAACACTTACTTAGTCTTGAAAAGCTTAAAATCACACCCTAAATATCCTATTAAAAACTCTTACCTTAAAAATTTAGATATTTCGCACCGGTGACTCGCGTTCTCTCCGCCTCAGCTCGGGCGCAGGAATGAATGAGGAAATGAAGGAAGGTGAGTTTTTATAAAAATTCAGTGGGTCCCACACATTTTTTTTTATTATTTCTTCTTCTCTCTATCCTTTTTTTTATTATTATTTTATATTTACTATTCATACGGCGCCGAAAACAAATTCGTTTTCTCTTCTTCTTCTTTTTTTTTTTGGCATACCTTTTCCCCTTTTTTTTTATTATAATAATAATTTAATAATTTTTTTAATTAATTTTTTTTAATAAAATTATTTTTTTAAATTTTTTTAATTTAGAATTATATCCTAAATTAGATTTAATAATCATTTTCTACTAATTTTCTTACCTCTAAATATTATTTTTTTAAAAAAAAAATTTCTATTAACTTAAATTAACTATTAAAATTTAAATTGATGTTACACACATCACCTTCTCTGCCATTCCATGTCACATGTTTCCCATCCACCTCATTATTTATTGTTTTTCTCTCAGATTATCAGATTGCCTTCTCATCCATGTCATATATCATTGAGGAAGTTATATGATGTAGTTCCAAATTCGTTATTTTTGCCAGCATTTTTGTGTTCAGAATTCATCAGTGTACCAGTCATTGCTCTTGGCTTTATAAGTTTTTCATAAGTTTTAGATTTTTTTTTCTTTGGGTTTAATTATCAATCAATCACCCAAACGTTTTCAAAGTACTTTGGAAATAAAAGCTTGAAAATATATTAACACTATTTTTCCATCTGGTTTCAAAAGCGTGGCCAATGATAAGGATCACCATGGCACGGCGAACTCCCCGTTGAATTTGGACGACATTTATATATTATCTATGGACTGGGAAGCACGAGTGAAATACAAAAGAGAATAAGAATGGGAGAATTTCAATTAAGGTCTGTCGAAGAGAGATATTCACCGGTGAATTCTTAAAAAATTTGAAATTTCACTACAAGATTTCTGAATTAAATTGAAATAAAATAGGTGGCTGAAAAAATTGAAATGCTCTTTTACAAATGGAAAAAAAAAAAAAGAGCAACAGCCGATATTAATGAATTAACAAGTAAATTATAGAATTAATAATTAATAATTTTATATTTAGGACAAAATGATTAAACTAATATGATTATTAACGAGTCATGTAATTTATAACTGATATTAATAAATTAATAAGTAAAAGCTAGATAATTAACAAATGATATTAGTATGATTATTGACAGGTGAAGTTAAATAATTTACAACTAATATTGATAAATTAACAAGTAAAGTGAGAAAATTAATAACTAGTTATTATGCTTTTCAATCAAATCGAGTAAACTAGTCTTACAAAGAATTCACAAATCAAATCAAGTAGTTAACAAATAAAATTATCAAATTAACAAGCAATGCTTTTAAGATTATAAAGTCATGAAATGAACTAGTTAATTATTTTACAAGTATTGTTAAAAAATTATGACTATAAATAACTAATAAATAAGTAAAGTTAGGTAGTAATCAAGTACTTTTTAATTTTACATAAGGGCATTTCAGTCTTTTTAATCACCCATCTTATTTTTATTTAGTTCAGAAATCCTAAAGTGAATTTTAAAATTTTTTTGAAACCCACTGATAAATATTTCTATTCCATAATCTTTAGTTGAAATTATCTTAGTAAAAGGTGTGTACAAAGCTTGCTTCTACATTTACCGAACCTATATTAATTTATATTTTTCTTGTTTCAAAGAAACTTCACGTCTTCTCCCTTTTTTTCCGCTTTTAAAGATATCTCCATAGCCAACAATTGTAAATCTAGTCTCTTGAAAAACCTAAATACGATTTAAGAGATTGTTCCCCGTTTTATTTGCTTTGTGAAATGAAAAAACATGGATTGATATTACAAACTGTGAAGTTCATTTATCAAGTGAACTAGTTCAAACTTCAAACATCATAAGGCAGTTTTTTTTAGAGTACATGTTAGGTTGCACAACAATTCTTGACAACATTCTCGTATATTCTAAGACTTTTTTTTTATTGATCTTTTTTAAAAGGAAGAAAAAATTACATGATGAAAACAGATGAAGATACAATTCAATAGTTTACTTGATACATGTGGAAAATCAAAAAAAATCTAACAGTTTGCTTTAAAAATTATCTAAAATATATAACACATATCTTTTAACATTACGTCAAATTTTATTCCAGTTTTTAATTTTTTTAATTTCACTTGATATGATCTCTTATTTATTTTAAATTTCATTTCATTCTTAAATTAATCAACCATCACCTGATGTGTGAAAGTGGTGGATGAAGAAAGAAAATTATGTTAATCTTTTTTTTTTATAATTTAAATTAATGGGCTCCTTTTTGTTCGGCCCAATAACATGGGCTCTTTTTATTAAAAAAAATCACAGGTATGAGCAAGTTAGGGAAACTTAAAACTTGTCACAAGCGCAAACGTGATGTTGAACTTTCGATTACTCAACTAGTGCAATTATCTAAGCCACACTAATTCCAATAAAGTGGGGCCTATTAAGCTGCTACTCCCAATCATATTTTCTTCAAATAAAAATAGAATGGGATATGCATATTGGAACATGCCTCTATGACCCGTCATCTCAGTCAAATCCAAATGGTACATCAGCGTCTTCGTTCCGGGCTCTCCACAATGATGAGCACGTGGGGCTTAGCCCATCCAAGTCTCTTATTTTATTTTTAATTAATTTTTATCATTTATTTTTTAATATTTTAAATATTATATTACTAAAATAAAAAATATACAAAAAATATGCAAATTCTAATATTAGATGTACTGTTTAAAATATAATAAGATAATATCTATATAGTTCAAAGCATATTTATAGTCAGTTTATAAAATCGTAATTTGTGATATCAAATTAAATGATCCAAATCAAATCTATTGGTATCAAATATAAAATTAAAATAAAAACTTTTAAATTTAAAAAGTTTAGATCTTGTCACCAGTGATGAGTAAGAAGATAATACAAATTTAATATTAAAATTTTGTATATTTTTCATACAATTTTATTTTAATAATGCAATATTAAAAATATTAAAAAATAAATTTAAAATAAATGAAAAAAATCAATTGAAGATGAAATCAAGAGCTTAAATGAGCCCAAGCCTTAATGAGTATCCTAGAACTTGACATTGGTATATCATTTAATTTTTCTTGTTATATGATTTTTTTAAATTATAGGACAAAAAAGATAAAAGTACTTAGAGTCAAAAAATATTTAACAATAAAAAAAGTATACAAGTTTTCATAAAATTATTTTTTCAATATATCTTTGTCGTTAAAAGTTAAAGACATTGATTGTTGTCTTTTAAATATTAAATTTAACGGTTTAGTTATAGATATACATAAAAAATAAATTTATGAATACTCATATACTTTTTCTCACATTAAGTAATTGCGTATGTTCCTCATCAATGACTTTTAAGATATTGTTACCCTTTTCTTAAATTCTATTAAAATTCATGCCCAATTTTTTTATTAAAATTATTTTAATTTATATTTATGACAACATAAAAAAATTATATTATTTTTTATGAGAGATTATATCTTGGTGTTACAAGTTCACCCAACTTGTCATTTACATTTAGTCCTTATTGTTATATCTTAACAATATTATGCTACATTTTTGGGTTCACTTCGCTATATATATATATATATATATATATATTTTAGTTATTTTTACCTTGCTAAACCATACAAATTTAAGGCATTAAGATATTATATATAGTTATTCTCACCAATAAAATTTACTAAATCTTAAAAAAATATAATAATAGGAGATTTTTTTTGTAAATTATGGTATTTAATGATTGTTTAGTATATATAAACATTTACCTAAAAATAAAACTGAAATAAACTTATTGTTTTCATCTTTATTGAAATGTATTGGCAAAAAAAAAATCTGTATTGAAAAAAAAAATATATATATATATATATATTTATATATAAATTTAATTAATATATTTATAATTTTAATAAAGTTGAAGCTTGAAAGAGAATAGGATTATTTTTATTTTATTTAAGATCAAGATACCAGTTTTCATTCTTCATCAGTTAGTTTTTCAAGCTATCTATCGAAATAATCCAATATCCGTTCTCATCTTCTATTCTCCACTTTTACACGCAAATCCCATTCTATAGCATCTCGCGACCCAATTTCTTCTGTTGCCATCAATTTCCAGAACCGAGGAACAGCTCAGAAGGACAAAATAATGAGGGCTAACATATCAGAACTCGAGAAACTAGAGCTACTCCACAAATCGGAGGTCTTCAAGATCAAAGGCAGGGACAAGCAAGGCCGCAAGATCCTTCGCATCATCGGCAAGTTTTTCCCGGGTAAATTCATTCACCAAGTCATCGCTCTTCGTATTCTTCGCAATCATTCGATCACATCTTTCGTTTTTCTCTTCGTTACAATTTTCTTGATGGATTTCTTTTCTTCGGGCGCCAGCGCGGCTCGTGAGCGTTGACCTTTTGAAGAGGTACTTGGAGCAGAGGATTTTTCCGAAATTGGAGAAGAAGAAATTCTCGGTGGTGTACGTTCACACCGGCGTTCAACGGAGCGAGAATTTCCCAGGAATCTCAAACTTGAGATCAATCTACGATGCGATTCCGTTGAACGCAAAGGAAAATCTGGAGGCTGTGTATTTCGTGCACCCAGGCCTCCAGGCACGGCTTTTCCTCGCCACGTTTGGCCGTTTTGTCTTCAATGCAGGGTGAGGCTTTTCAGATTTTCAAAACGCCTCTTGAGTTTGGCGCAATTTAGTTATGGTACCGTCAGGTTTGCTAACATAAGCATTTATGAGGTTAACGTTTAACGGCAAATTGGATCTTCAGATTTTTCTTTGTAGACTGAAATTTGTTGAAACACCCTTTTTTTTGTCGTTTTAGAAAACCTCTATTTTTGGCTAACTTCAGAAAAATTCAAAGATATGTTAATTAAAATAAAAAAGCAAAGATGATCACGAAAATAGTATCTGAATAAATTTTTGTTACATTATCTTAAAAGATATATTTGGGTATGGTAGGTTGTACGGGAAGGTGAGGTACGTGAGCAGGCTGGACTATCTGTGGGATAAGGTGAGGAGGAATGAGGTGGAAATACCAGAGTTTGTGTACGATCACGATGAAGACTTGGAATATCGTCCCCTGATGGATTATGGATTGGAGAGCGATCACGCTAGGGTGTGCCACCCGTCCTCTATTGATTCCCCTATCTCTACCTTCTCCATGAGGTGCCTCTCATAGGATCATCCCTCTACCCTCCTCCAAAATGGAAACTATCACAACCGGTTACATATGTAACTCGCCAAATACTACCGTTCTTTTCTTGGTTCATACTTGAATTAAAGTTGTTTCCCCACTTAAGTTTTAGGTCTGTTCTTATATTTTTAGCTAGGTAAGCCACGTGTAATCCTGTGAATAGATATTTTTGAATCGTTATCATATATTCAGTCGTTTTGTTCACCGGCGACCGACCTGATTTCAATAGAAGGTTGTGATTCGCATATTTAATTGCTTATTGGACTTAATACAAGTGTGGAGTTTAACAATCTTGTGATTTCATGGGTTTCAATAGACCAATGACCAACTTGCAGTTATTGAAGTGCAACAGAAAAAATATATACAATTTTTGTCTAAAGCAATGACATACAAGCGATGTTTATACATAATCAGAAAGTCTCAACCTTTTGTCATTGAACTTGGGATTTGATGGTCAGAGCATGTTGCTCTCACTAATCAAGTCCCGAGTTCGAATCTGAGAGAGTTTCTACTTCCAACAGTCCGATTTGTACCACAAGGAATCTTTAGTCTGCAGAACTAGGGCCTATTTGTATATTCTTTTAGAATTAATTTTAGGTGTAAAATTATAGTTTTAAAAAATTTTATCCAAACATTTTAATTTTCTCAAACTTCATTTAATTTTTAAAACTCCATTTAAAATAAGTTAAAATTTATTTCATTTTAAAAAATTAATATCATAATCAATTTTTAAAAATTTATTCAAACACCATCACATTTTAATAATCAATTTTTTTAATTAATTTGTTTCAATTAAAATTCAAACACAGCCCAAGTGTAGGAGCCCCGTGTTGAAAATGACAGTTTGGGTACACATTTTAAAGGTGATTTTTTTTTTTGGACCTGATTTTAAAAAAGATTCAAAGACAACCAAATATAAATAACATTGAGTGGCACGCATGATGCCACATCACCGTTAGTATGTGATGATGGGATGGGGATTACATGCTCTTTTATTAGTGAATAGAAGATATGTTATCATAAATCATGAGTTTGGAAATGTGATCAGATATAGCTCATAAAATATTATCAACAATACATTAGTTTTTATCTGCACTTGGTTTGATTTCCTTTATACTCATTTGCAACGAAAAACCTCTTGGCTTAAAATGAGCATGAATATATCAAATGTTTTTTCATAGTAATATTCGAGATTTTACAATGCCCACGGATACAAACTATCATAAATAAAAATAGCAAATCACAATATATTTTGCGTTCAATTCTTGATTAGTAATACTCCCTCCAGTCATTAGTATTGCACAACTTCTGCAAGGTTTCTGTGTCCTAAACACAAGATATTTTTTAAAAAAAAATAATATTTATTTATTTTTTTATAAATTCCCTTATCAAGAAAGAGAATCGATATAACAAAAGAAAATTAAAAATAATCAAGACAAGTTAATTTTAAAAACTATTTATATCTAATTTGTATAATTTTAATTATACAAACTACTTTTAATTATTTTTTATTTATATAAAATATGTTAAAAATATGAAAAAATATAATTTTAAATTCTTATACTTTGCTTGCGTTTTGCTATTAATTATTATTATATATATATATTTTAGTGTTTTTAATCTTTATACTTTTATTTTTTATTATTTTAAATTCTTTTAAGATTCTTATAGTTTATTTATGAAATGATCTAAAATAATAAAAAATAAAAATATTAAAAAAATAAAATATCAATAATCAACCGCGACCAAAATTTAAAATTTAAAATTATATTTTACCTGCAAATAATTTAGAAGTGGAGGAATAATTCCTAGTTGGCCTGCCTGACCGCAACTGAATAAAAGTACTGCTTGATAGGACCCTGACAATGTCGTGCACCAACAAGTCTCTTGTGATGGTTAATTTTATTTTTATATCCAGGAGTCATGACACTGACCCTTCAGAAAAAATTTGTTATTCAAAGAGTTGTTATCTTCTAAGTTATATATATATATATATATATATATATATTTTTTTTATAAATTATTTTTATCAATCTCATCAATATTAATATAATAAAATATATAAAATAAAAGTATGTAAAATTTTAAATATGTCTTTATATAATAAATTTAAAAAATAATGTGATGTTATTTTTTTTAATAAAAGGTAAGTCTATAATTTTTTTAAAAATATTACTTAAAAACATGTACAATAATTTATAAATGAGACTAAATAAATTTTTTAAAAAGTATCTTATAAATAAAATTAAAAAGAGTTTTTTTAAGAATTAAATTTTGAAATGATGTTTAAAAGACCCAACCCTTTTTTATCACATGTGCCACATCCCCTCTACTCATTAATTGAACAGACTCATTGTAACAACAGTTCAACTGGCCCAATCATCCAAAATGCTAGTATAGGGCGAAAATTATTAGTTATATTTTTCCTATATCATATTTTAGACTAATTCTATTATGAATTATTATTATCCAAGAGAGAGACATTTGATAAATAAACCGCATCACCGATTACAGCCGATCTACAGCGCTTAACAGCTTAAACATGTCCAACAAGTAATAGAGAGTCAAGTGACGGAAAAGAGCCCGTACTGTACCTAAATAGTCAAACATGTTCTTACATTCTCAGCCAAGAAGGGGGAGGCCAGAACAGTTTTGAACTACACGGATCAAGTTCAAATGTCTTGATGCTGCCATCACCCAAGTTGTACTTTCCAACATCGAACATATCAGTGAAGAAAATGCAATTTCCTTCGTACCCAGCAAAATCATTCGCTGAAACGGAGAAGCTGCAGCTATCTCCCAGGATGAACACCCTGTCTTCCAAATCTTTCACATCCACCCATGTCCCCCACTCTTCATCCAACCTATAAACCTTAAAATCCACGACCGCTGCTTCATAATTCAGCCTCCTGGGTTCACTATCATAGTACCTGTCAATAACATATAGATTCCCACATAATTCCACCAAATGCTTCTTGTGCCCAACACCACATAATGGAGGCGAATACTGAATCAACTTCAATGAAGATATGTCGACCCAAGATATCGTACCCCACCTATCTGTCACATAAAGCTGACCCTTGTACACAATAACATCATCGTAGTAATAATTCTCATCATCCACGAGCGTCCATTTTTTGTCTCCTCGTTTGAACAACGCCAGCTTACCCTCCAGATAGATACAGCAAGCCACAGAATCCTCGCCGTCAGACCAACACGAGGTCGGGAAGAAGACGACTTTCTTTACGGGGAATCCGAACTGCTGGAAGCAATATGATTTGTATAATTCCAGCACCCGATAGTCCAGCAGATTCAGTATTCTCGGCGAAGAGCTAAGAGGGTTCGAAAATTGCCGGTCGGAAAGCGGGTTTAGGAGACGAAGAGGATGAGAATGCGATGGATTTGATTCTCCTTCTACTTTGATCAACCAGCCCTTTGGAGAAGAAGAGGAGGGTTGGTAGGGCGGTTCGATTCGATAAAAAGTGGACTGAATGAGGAAGACGACGGTGAAGGGATTGATGGGGTGGGGGAGTTGGAGAGGGAAAGAAGGAGAGTTAGGGAGAGAAGGAGGGATTGAGGATCGCCATGAGTTGCAGACGCTGCGAAATCGGAGAAGGTCGATGCGATTGCGGAGAGATTTACCGATCTTCCGCCACAGCTCCGACGGAAGATCGCACCAATTGGGTCGGACACCCATTTGATCGGGCACGTTCGTGAGTTGAATCTCCATGGAAATTTGTTGTTCCGAGTTCCAACACAAAGGCTCCGAGGTACTTGAGGGTGTTACTGTGTTTCGGAAATTACGCAGGAAGTAGAGCTTATGACTTCTGATCTGAAGTCATGCTTTCCGTTCAGGTCCGCCCCGGGGGGGACTTTTATCTCTCAGGAAAATAGCTTTTTTTATTGAAAAACACTTGTAGCTGTACAGCTTTTTGCCTTTTTTCCCCCCACCAAAAAAAAAAAAAAGCAATTGAAGTTGGAACTTGGAACAACCTTAATCGCTAAGTTACAAAACGAATGTTTGACCAAAAGTCAAAAGAGTAAGTTGGCGCTTGGGAAGGAAATAAAACAGTAAATAATACCTGTAGGAAAATGCCATCAACACTAAATGATTCAACCGGTCCAATCGTTTCTTGGGTCCGGTTTCTACAACATCGCAACTTCTTTTTTTGGTTTTTTTACACGATAAAACAGTCCGGCTCCTTGGCATGGCAGGTGTCATGAATTGTGTGTTGCGCGATGCTCACTTCGTCAATATGGAGGATGTCCTTCTCAAAGTTCTCTTGGAGTCAGCAGCCGACATTTATGACTCCTCTCGCAATTTGATGGTGCCATGAACAGCCCCACATACAGTGTCCACTCGCGGCCATTTGGATCTCCACCAGTTGTTTCTCCTTTGATCTCAAAATCCAGATTGATTGATCAATTTCAAAATTTTATTTCTTTTTTAATTAAAAGTTTAAATGGGTTATGAGTTTCAACGACAAAAAAGAAAAAAAAAACGCGTAGCTACTACTTATCATTGGATCGAATTTTGATAGATACTTTTATACTTTATTTTATTATTCAATTTGTCAAAATTATACCACATTATAAACACGGTATCTTTTTTCTTCTCTTTCAGTTTTTTTCCCTCTCTTTTCATATTGTCTCCTTACATCTTCCCCATTACTGTTGTATTTAATTTCTTCCATTCTTCCATCTCTTCTATTCTTCTTCGTATCCAATATTTCTTCCTTCCTTTCCTTCTTCAACTTCTTTCTGTTTTCTTCGGTTTTTCTAAGTTGTTTTCCTTTTTTTTGAAAAAAAAAAATTGTTCTACATCTTTCTCTCCTTTTAATTTCCACTCGATCTAATTTATATTTCTTGTCTTATTTGCTGGTAGATTCACATTCTTCTTCTTCTTTTTTGCCAGAAGGTACATAGATTCACATTTGATTATATACCTATGAGGAGATATATTTCAAGAATTAACTCGATCTAATATAATTGCTCGTGTACAATATGTGAAATGTCCTATATATATTGCAAGGAACGCTGTCGATAATTTTTCAGTGTCGTGACTCATGATAGATCACAGAACCACCCGGATGAAAAAAATGAGTTGAAAAGGTTCACAATATAATTCATAGTTGGATTGAATAATTACACATGATTCTTTAATCTGCACATATCTATGCTTGACTCTTATGTTTATTCCATATAGTTTTTCTCAATTTAATGTTAATTATGAGTATTAATTAATGATATCAACAAAGATTTCTTTTTAGTTGTTAATGTTATTTGCTATATTTCACTCCTATATATGTATAGACTATTCCGAAATTAAATGGACATGTCATGATCATTTATTTATGAAAGTCCAAGAATATTAGTGTGTGTGTGGATTAAAAATTTTGCAAGTGAGGTTCAAATTCAATTAAAGTTAGCAAATTGATATTAAAAAAAAAGTTAGTGAATACAACGCAATTTATATTTGGGGATATATTTTTTTAAAAGACAGTTGCACAAACTAAAATTTATTTAAATGATTTTATTCAAAAGTCAATTAAAATGTATAATGATAAAAATAGACATAATTTTTTTGTATATATTTTTGTGACTAAAAAATGTGAAATAAATTAATAAATTATAAATTAAATGCTAATTTTAATTCATATTCTCACATATTATAATTATAATTATGTTTTATTGTTGTAATTTAGAATATTCAGATTCAAAAAAATTGTAATATGTATTACAATATAAATAAATTATAATATGATATTATAATTAATTCTCTCATCTTTTTGAAATTCCTTTCTTCATCCCATTGCTACCGTAAATCCCTCCTTCTCAACTCACTCCTCGCCTCTTTCCTCTTTTCACCTCCATTGACAACACTCCCTTCCCAGTACTCATATTATTAATAACTTTTTTCACCTCTGAAAATATTAACTAAATTAATAAATTAAATTAAATTAAATTAAATTAAAAAACCAAAAAATTTATTGAAAACCATCATTTATAATTATCAAAAAAGATAAAAGATTTATATATTGTGGATAATGTATATAATTAAATGTATTTAATAATTTTTTTAAAACAAGAGCAGAGAATAAAGACAATTACATATTATGGTGCAAAGAACAAAGAGCAAGAAAATGAAGTGAAAGACGAAATGACAACCGGCCAAAAAAAAAAAAACTATGAAAGGAGAAAAAAAGAGATGATGTAGAACCTAACGCCAACGCTGTAAAATAGTTCCTCCAACTTTTTGTCTACCGAGCTTTTAGGGGCAAAAGCTAATTTTGAAATTTCTTGATCCAAATAAAATTTGAATGAGATTTCTGATTCAAACTAGGTTTGAGGAGGCAAAACCTCATTTTGGATTTTATCCAAATATGCTCTTAATGAACGCTAACAACACACACACACACAAAGCTTCAACTTGAGGCGTTTTATTATTAATAAATTCCAAATAACGTCATCATGAGACCAGGAATATCATCTCATTGCAAATTACATATCCTTCGAACAAAAAAGAAAAAGCAAAACAAACAAATGATTGCCATTCAGCACAACTCATAAGCAGGGAGAAGGGAGAGCCGGAGAGATGAGCCCCATTTCGGTGGGACTCAACAACAGAAGGAGACTCTCCCCATCTCTGCTTCTCTCTGTCGTTGTTTATTCTTGTTAAAAGGCTGCTTCTAATTCTAACGACGATTATTTGAAGGCCTCAGGATTTTGTCGACAAGGATTTGATCCTCCGAGGAATTAATACATGAGAGCAAGCTGACGGAAGTTGATGGGAGTGACGAAGTCAGAGCCTCCGCTATAGAGAGTAGAAGCTGCAAACCAGGAAGCTTTATCAGTTGGATGGAACCAATCCCAAAACAAGAAATCATTACGGTTTCCACACAGCTCCGCATTGTTGGCCTTAAGACACGGACCCTCGCCGTTCAGCTTCCCTTCTCCACAACACGCCTTCTTCGTCTCCTTGATCCCTACAATTAACGCATAGATATATTATCACAGAATTCACTTGACTGATAAAACTAGCCAGCCAGCCATGGCGTTTAGAGATGTTATACCAAAGATCAAGGGGCGTTCCAAGACGGCTGAAGTCATAGCCAAGGAATTGCCGAGTGAATACTTAAAATCCTTCAGCTCATAGCTTAGCCTCTGCAACACAGAAGCAGTTGCGGAGTTGAAGACTGAGGCAAATTGGTTGAGTGACGCTACACATTCTCCTCCATAGTTCATCGTCTTTACTGCAGGACAGCACCCTATGGCTGCTACACTTATTATCCCAAATTTTCTCGCCCCTAACGCGTATAGACTCTGCAAAGATCGAGATTAAATATTATCCACCGCAAATGTATTGTTTTTGAATGAATATAGAAATATATATGTAAACATATACGAACCCTAATACAAGTGTAGTAGTTGGATTGAAGAGCTGACAAGTAGTGTTTCTGGCCCAATCTGACGGCAGTGTCGTTTCTGGAGAACTCGAGGAGGTCGTTGCCTCCAATGCTGATTATAAACAAAGCCTGGGAAACGAAAGTTGCGGCCTCTTTCTCCCCCAATATCTTAGACAAGCTTGCTCGCACCGCTTCAAATTGTAGCACTTGCCTCTCAAGGGATATCACCTCGCCCTATTTCATACATTTCAAATTACTACTTTTTTTATTTAGGATTAGATTACTATCAAAATTCTAAAACGTTCTTAACTAATGTCAGAAGTTAAACGCCGCATTGTAACTTCACATTCTCATATAAATATATATATATATAGGGGTAATATGTAATTTAAACCATAAATTATAAGATCAGGGATGATCTGAACTCTAAATTTTTAAAAGATATATTCTAAATTTAAATAATTGAAGTTAGGGTAATTTTTGCCTCTACTATTAAATTTCAACAAACATCAGTTAATTCTTTTAAAAATTAGGACTTAATATGCGATTTTTATTAAATTTCACTTCCCCCTCTCTCCTACCCTTATTTAAAAAAAAATTGCATATTAGGCTCTATTTTGATGCACATTTGTTTATATTTAATGATAGGAGTGAAATTACCTCAATTTTAATTGATTAAATTTAAAATATACTTTTAAAAGTTTAGGGTTCAAATCATCTCATCAAAATTTAAATTGCACATTAATCCTGTGTGTGTGTAGTTTTATGTCAAACTTTCACCTTAATTATACCAAGGTCATTGAAGAAAGAACAAATATTTAAGATACACTATAACTAACCCATTGTTTTTTGCCAGTGTCTCTGAGAATTCCAGAGCCTCCTGATGCAAAATTCACTCCTCCTATTACATCTCTCTTGAAAGTGTACCGACCGTCATTTAGGAGAGCCAAGTATGGCGGTGGACTCTCCACATATCCGAATAGTTTAGCTTCATTATGATTCACACCACAAACACAAACACAAGAATAAAACAACTTATTACTCGAACTAAAAATCAAATAATTATTATACGTATGGCATGATCTTTAAAAATAGTCGTAATTACCAATGTAGTCAACAGTGTTGAAGCCATTGCTGAACCTTCCTGTGGGCACTGAGTTTGGGTAATCAATCCCATAGTAAGGTACATTGGCCCTTGCTCGAGTATTCAGAAAATTGTTGGTGCCCACATCTGCAGTTGAATCTCCAAATATGAACAGCACTGGCCTATTCTCATGAGTCCCGTATGCTACGTGCATGGCCACGCAGAGAAACACAAAAACAATGGAACTTCTCAGGCCAGAAAATGATGCCATTTTCTGTGCCCTAATTTCACAGTCACAAACTATTTGTTGGTGTTGATTTTGAGATGCCAAATACGAGATTTTGCTCCCTTTATATCATACCAAACGTAAGAGGAAGAAAACCAAAGGGTAGGGTCAAAATTGTAATAAAAGTTGTATGAAACCAAGGGTTGGACATGGCCGACCATGGCCGTGTTGTATTTGGCAGGAAGCAATTAGAATTTAGAACTAGAGGAGAATCCTATGCTTGTGAAATTAATTAGTGATAGTTTTTTCGCATGCTTACGTAGCAATGTTTGGTTATTACTGTGCCGTCTATAATTTATCATTCATTTATATATATATATATACGTATATGTATGTATGTATGCATATATTAAATGTGTAGGAATGTAATGTACCGCATAAGTGACAAATATGGTGGGCAAAGAAAAAGAAGACAAATATAGACCAGGTCATTTTTTAATTGTGTGTGACTCGTGGAGTATGCATTTAATTCACATAAAAATACTTTTTTTATTAAATAAGATATTTTTAATCAAATTTTATTCACTCTTTAATAAAGCAATTACTTATTTTTAAACTAACATCATCTTTTTAAATTTATTTTTATTTAATAGGGTGTTTTACTTTAAAATAAATGTAAAATAATTTATTTATCATGATTATTTTTAAAAAAAGAACATTAACTACACTTTAAAATATTAAAAATAATTTATATTTTTAAATATCCAACCTTTAAAAAATTATTTATATTTTTTAACGGAGTAAATATATTTAATGACAACTTTAATACTTGGAATCATGTCCCTGTGTTATTAGAACATACTGAAGTTTGTAAAATTTATTTGGGCAGCAATATGACTTGGTCATGATGCTAAAATTTACGCTATATAAGTAGCATTGTTTATATATATATATATATATATATATGTTGTGTGTAGTGTGTGTGTTAGGCTAAGAAGTCATATTTTTAATATCCTTTTTAATGGGACATCAATTGTCAACTATTAATCAATCAATCAATCGACTATTAACTATCATCAATTAATTAATCAACTATTAACTATTAACTATATCATATGAATCTCGTGGATGCTCAATATGATTGGTCAATTTTCTTTTTCTCTACTTGGTGGGTGAGTTTTGGTTTAATTTTAATTCTCCTCTCATTTAATTTATGTATTTTCATTAGTTGGTTCTCTTCTGTCTATACGGTATTACATGTTCGCTTCGTTTAAAATTAATGCTAAAGATTTTAACAAGAACAATAACTTCCTTATACTGTGATCTTCCCATTCGTTTTCCCATGCCGCTTCGTTATTCCTGTTTTTCATCCCTGGCCCTGTCAATTCGTTTCGTCTCTCAATCCTTTTTATCTTCAAAATTTAAATTCATTCAAATTTCTAATATGAATATTTAACTAAAATATTATTCAAAGCCATTTTCATCTTCGGATGCCTCGACATATTTTAGATGCTGAGATTACTTGCGCGGGATGTAGATGCAGTGGGCCACGGCCACAAGAATCCTGCTTAAATCGAAGTGGAGGTGTGAAGAGGGAAGGTATGGCACCGAAGCATCGAAATTCATATCAGCCATCGCTGAAATCATTGTTCGTCGGGTAAGGTTTCCATTTAAGATTAGCTTCATCTTCAGTAAGATTTGCCATCGTCGAAATCTACTTTGTTATTCTCATTTTCAATATATTAGATTTGGTTTCTCCTTCTGGTGTTTCGGGTAAGGGTTCCAATCAGCTACCCCTTCTCCATTTCTCTCCTTTCTTTTAATCTCAAGCAACGTAGCATTTCATATATTTACATTTTTACTATAAAGAAGAATTTGGTATACTGATTTTGATTTGTGTTCCCCCTTTGCACTTTCGTTCTTCGTTGGTTGGATGCATCAGATATACATGCTCACGAGGTTCGTATCTGTTATACACCCAATTTGGTTCTTGCATTTCTATTATCTTCTCCTTTTTCCTTGTATTTATATCCATTTCCAATCCTTTTTTCATAATGAGCGAGCGAGCGCGCGCGAAAAAGCCGGGTTGGAGCAGCTGATTTCCAAAATACAAATATTTCTTTTTTATCTAATGTTCTTTTAGCTCAACATATGCTCATTTGATGGAAAAATCAAATGCTTCGTCTTCTTCTCTACATGTATTCACTTTTCATCAATCCGTGATTTGCTTTTTCATGGTGGGTATTAATTATCTCTTCCATGGTGATTCAGATGGACACTTATTCTTCAATTTTCGCTGCTATGTTTTCAAACTGATCCCATTTATTTGACAACTGGGGGATATATGGCATATTTTGCAAGATTGGAAGAGTGCTGATAAAAATCTTATATGCATTAGCTACAGAGGAATCTGAAACAGAGAGTGAGGAGTCAGATGTTCGTGGTTCTGATGAAGATGACACATCTGATAAAAACGTTTTTTTCGTTTGGGCTGTAGGCCCCTTTCTTTACCCCACCCCCCCCCCCCCCAAAAAAAAAACACGTTTCTTTACCTAGCTGGACAATTACGAAAATGATTTTGGGAGATGCCCGAGAGTTTACTGCTCTGGTCAACCCAATCTTCCAGTCGGTCAGTCGAATATTCCTTGATCAAGTACTGTGAAAATATGCTGAAAGTCTACTTCATTTGGATGGGTTTGTCTGGGGTGATGCGTTGCAGATGGTCACTGCTGCTGATTGTCTCTAGCAAGATTACATCAAGGTATACACCTACTAAATAAATCTATTCGGAATAGCTATATTCAATAAGAAATTGATCATATTGTTAGAGAGAATTTGTACATTGTTTAATAGTTAATGCAGAATTCAGTGTTTTCTTTGAATTTAAATTTAATCATGTCACTTTGACAATCTGGTAAATGTAGGATTTTTTTTAATGCATTTTGAGTAATGCATTTCATGCATGATTTTTGGCATCAAGTGTACGTTGGAAGAAGGGTAAGTGGTGGCTTTGATCGGACAGGTCATGATTTTTGGCGTCAAGTGTTTGTTCTCTTTTTCAACGTGTCGATTTACTATTAATAATGCAATATATGATGCCTCGTAAAGAATGATTATGGATTTTTTTTTTTTGTTGCTTTAGATTCTGGATTTGGTTAAAATTTGGGGATGGAATTGAAAGAGAAGCCAACAATAAATTCCTTTTTATATTTGAGGTAAAGTCGTATAATTTTTTATATTTCTGATATGGAAGCTGATTTTCATTCTTTGATATTTTCACCTTTTCTACCCGCTTCAGGAGTTGGTCTAAGAAGGCACCACAATATAAAGGAAAAACAAAGCTTTAAAGTAGAGAGCTCCTTCACGGAATCGGAGCAACTTGAGTGATAGGAAAACATTATATTGAGCACAACTAGAGCTCTCTTCTTGTGTTTTCCTATTCCAAAACTTGAGCAAGATTAGAAGTCAATGATTATATGAGCAAGTGATGAGATGGAAACATTATTACATGAAGATCCAGTTTTAAACGTGACCTGAAATAAAGAAATTAATGTCATAGCTTCCATTTGAGATATTATAGACATAGTGAAACATCATATTTTATTGTAGACAAAGTGGAGCAACATATTTGTGCGGGTAAGTCAAATAACTTTATTTTATCAGTGTCAAGATGGCATGGATGCTGATTTTTGTAGATTTAGCAGACATGATGATTCATCTTATTTGCAACAACTGGTATTTTAGGCTTTAATAAGTTTGGGTCTCTTACTAAATATGTTGTCCCTGATACAAGTATAAAAGTTATATTTCATCTTTTATGTTCTCAACAATACCATAAGTTCTAAATTGAAGAGAGCCAAATGAGCAGACTTACATTTTTGTGGTGTACGTGTAGCTAAGTATTGAATCTTTCCTTCTTTTCTGTCATATCTTTTTGCATTTTGAAACTGCATATTCAAGGAAAGCATGCATGATTTGACAATTAAGGCGGCTAGTTGTTAGCAGTTAGTTGTTTTCTAATCAAAGGATTGGTGCTGGTTTTATACCTGGGGTGCTAGAAGTCAGTCTCTAGACGAATTTGTTCAAGTAAGTCTTTTTGTTTTATCATTTTGGAGTTGTTGAGGCAATGTTGACTTGAGCAAAGCTTATTTTTGTACTAATGGGAAAGGGTCACTCTTCTTCCCAATGAAATTTGATTCTTGATTTGCAAATGTCTATGCAATTTGATTCTCTTTTTTGGTCTGCCTTTGCTAGCACTTGCAGATGGTTACAACAATTGATGAGGGAGTTGAAAACAGAGTGTACATTTCACGGAGCGTACAATATATATTGTGATATAGATATGCTTTTATTTATAAGATTAGGTATTACATTTACCACCCACTATTTTTTAGTACTTTAAGGCAAAATCAAACTCGATAGAAAACGTAATCATCTAGGCAGTAATGAACTGTAGTTAAAAAAAAAAACAGAAAGAAAGAAGCAAAGAACGGAACAAGTACAAGAGAGTGAAGTCCATGGAACATTATTGCCACTTTGAATTGAAATCCAATGCCCAATAATCAACACTTCAATATCAACATGCCATTCTTCCTTCTAAATAAATGAGCTGAATCTAGAAGCCTCAATAGAATGTAGATAAGTTTCATAATTAAAAAAAAATGCTTAAAATACTTATGTATAAGATTCTCACATCAAACTCACTTTAATTTATGAATGAAGAAGAGGGAGTGTTTTTCGAGAGGGATAATATGAGTATTTTGGACATTTAAATTTTTGTGTTTTATTTTTTATTTTTAATTTAATTCATCAATTTTATTTTCATTTCTTTATACCAAACGCCCACGATTCATGGAACCTCCCTTAGAATGTATAATCCTTGAGTTGCATCTCTATAAAGATCTACTCCTTCGGACTTTATATAATATAAGTTAGAGTTAATTAATTTACAGTTTATAAATAATGTTAGTTAAAATTTTAAATTCTTAAATATTTCTATTGATCTTATTTATAAGACACTTTCTAAAAATAATTTTTGATTCAAAATATATGAGACTTTACAATAATTAAATCACTTGTTTCAATTTTATCCTTTCTTGATTAGCATGAACGTATTTAATTTAGTTGTATTATTATTTAAAACTTAAGGTAAAAATGAAAGTGCATATAACCTTTTTATAATATCAAGAAAAAATTAATTTTTTTTTAACATGCGTAACATAGTTAAAAGTATTTTGTAATAAGGACTGAAGGGAGTATGTTCACATCTTTTTATTTATTTTCTTATTAAATACTATTTATAAGAGCATTGACTATAGTAATTAAAATTTTAATACATAATTTTTTTAAAAAGAATAATAAATGAAGTGAGAGTATAGTTGTAAAAATAAATATAAAAGTTATTTAATACCACATATTTTGAACCAAATAAAGTTTTTAAAAGATATCTTATATTATGATTTGAGGGAGTATATGCTCTTAATTAAATGGACTAATTAATTATTAGGATGTTTAGTTAATTAAACGAGGGAGTATATGCTCTTATATTATGAACCAACTAAGGGTACAGTCTTAGACGCATTAGTTACGCAGGAAATAGAATGTTTGACTATGGCATGCTTTTTTTTTTTTTTTTTTGTGGGGGGGGGTTTCATTAATAATGAGAAATGGTAGTTGAGCTTGACGATGTCTATCTGTCATTTCCTTTTAGGACTAAAATATAAATATATTTAATTTTTTTAAAAAAAATATAATTAATATTCTAACGTTTTTAAAAATGCAATGTAATTTCAATATTTTTTAAAATTGAATAGTTTTGTCTTACCATAACAGGACGTTCACGACCACCGTGAACTGTCAAGGAGGAAGATTGGAAATCTCTGTCGAGCTTTCCACCTTTGTCATGGCACAACGATGAAGCGGAGGAAGGGGGCACACCATCAAAGAGGAGAAGTCTCGGTCAAACAGATTGGACTTCTCACTCTTGCAAAAGCTTTAATTAAAAAAAATCGAATGGTGACCATAGCAGTAACTGTCAATGGTGGGTTCTGGGTTTGTGAATCGAATGAACTGATTGGGTTGAGTTTGCCTGACCTTCTTCTTCTCCCATTCACTTGCCCACATCAGAGTCCGCTAGAGGAAAAGATTTCAGCTTTCTCTTCTATCAGAAAATCCCATTTCGTTTTATTGAAGTCTTTTTCCCCAGGTTCTATGCATTATCTATCTTTCGAGTTGTGAAATTTCTCATAATCTTATGCCATTGACAACTATCTTAGCACTAATTTATGTTTTTCCTCTGCTAAAATATCTCGATGCATATTATTCTATCTTTCTCGGAGACCTTTTCTGGTTAATTTAAGGTTTTCTGTTTTGCTACTCAATCTATCTTCCAAAAGCATTATTTTGATGGGTGAATATTGGATTTGGCTGTTTTCAATGATCAGAAGTTGCGGAATTGAGAAGAGAGTTGAGGATAGCATGCACATGGTATTACTGTCTTTCAATTTCTTTATCGAGTTTTGTTCTCCGAATTATGTTTGATTTTCTTTTGGTGATTGTAGTCTTCGTGGCCGAAATTATCCATGGGGAAGTGGCTTCATATAAAGAGCTTCATTACTAAATCTCACTCAGACTTAAATGAATTGGGTAAAGTAAAATGAATTGGGCTTTTCCTCCTTGATTTTGATTTGTGTTATCTAGATTGTGTGTCATGTGCTGGAAAATCAATTATCGAACCCATGGCTTGTTGGTGATTATGAGATATTTATTTCTTGAGTTTCGGGCCCAGATGTGGGATGATTTCTTGAGGTAAGAAAGAGGGTAGGAGGAAGAAAGCAAAACGTGGGTGGTAAAGGGTATGGGACCCACTTAAGCAGAAGTTTGATCTTTAAAAAAATGACATGGACGCCACATGTGCATGCCACATGAGGACAAACGTTCTTCTAATAGTCAATAAGATTAAATTGTCACATTAGGTGATATTGTACTAATTTAAAAAACATCAAGACAACATTATATTTTTTAAAATGTTAGGATATTAATTGTGTCTTTTTTTTTTTTGAAAACTTTGAGGTAGATTTGTATTTGAACCTTTTCTTTTAATATCAATATTAAGTTGGAAATTAAATGAATATTGAGCAAAGCTGACGGCTGGAATTGGAAAGGAAATAACGGTAGGAGAATTCCCATCAACATGAACAGTTCGACTCTTTGGCGCCTATAAATATTTGTCAACCAAGAAATTAGTATGAAAACTTTTTTAAAAAATATGAGCTATAAACATCTATGTAGACAGTTATGTATATAGGTCTTGGTTCAGTATTGGTTGTAAATTTATAAAAAGACAAGGGATAACATTTATCAACACATGACGTCATTGTGCAAGGCTGCAATCTTCTTATTGAAGATAATCCAATACAAGATACCAACAAGTATTAAATATAGACATTTTTTTAATAAGAATTTAAACATTAATTTGTTATATTAGGAGTCATTGTTTTTTTTTTTTTGGTCTTGTCATTTTACTTTGATGAGATAAGTTGTCTGTGACATTTAATTTGTGCTACGGAAAAATTTGTATATAATTCTCTCTGATCTATTTTTTAAAACTTTATTTCGTCACCTCATGTAAATAGACAAGCTACATTGCGAAATTAAATGGATGGGTGTGTTGTGTGTGTGAGGAGTTTTATTGATGACAAATGGCGTCATAATTAATGAGATCATGAACTCCATCTCATTGTAGTTGTTATTCAAATGAAGAAGGACAAAAAGAAACAAAAGATTGCTGACGCGTTCATTACAAGTAATAAGCAAGGTATATGGGACTGAATAACGGAAGTAGCTATACATTATGATGATTCCAGTAGCTATACATTCAAAGGTGTTGTGGTAGTGATTACATGAGAGCAAGCTGACTGAAGTTGATGGGAGTGGCGAATTCAGGACCGCCACCATAAAGTGCGAAAGCTGCGGATAGCGAAGCTTTATCGGTTGGATGGAACCAATCCCAGAACAAGAAATCGTCTCTCTTTCCACAGAGCACCGCATCCTCGGCCTTAAAGCATGGACCCTCTCCATTCAGCTTTCCTTTCCCACAACATGCTCTCTCTGTCTCCTTCATCCCTACAGCATTATATGTTTTCCCACGCTTAACCAATCATGCATGTATACGTCCAAAAAATTAGCCTACCTAGCTAGCTCAAGCATATTTCTGTATTGCATCATCATCAGAAGGCTCGCTCATTCTAATATTTCTAAACCACATTTCTCTTAATTATGATTACGAGGCTTTCCTGCAACGTGATTAATGAAATTAGTTATGATTAAAATACGGTGTCGTTTCGGGATCCATGTTGGAGGCATATATAAACGCACGTACCCTAGCGGGAGGGTTGTTGCAAGACGGAAGAAGCCATGGCGAAGGAGTCGCCGAGGGAGTACTTAAAGTCAGTGAACTCAGAACTAAGCCTCTGCAACACAGCCTCAGAAGCCGAGTAGAAGGCTGTAGCCATTTGGTTGAGTGGTTCCACACATTCTCCTCCATGCCTCCTTGCTCTTGCTGCAGGACAGCACCCAATGGCCGCTACACTTATTATCCCGAATTTTCTTGCCCCTGATGCGTGTAGACTCTGCATTTTTATTGTAATCCACCACCACCACCACGACGTTTGTCATGGCTAGCGATAATATATATTAGTGTTTTAGGATGAAGGATATATACGAACCCTGATGTAAGCGTAGTAGTTGGATTGAAGAGCAGACAAGTAATGTTCCTGTCCTAATCTGACGGCAGTGTGGTTGCTTGAGAACTCGAACAGGTCGTTGCTTCCAGCGCTGATTATGAACAATGCCTTTGAAAGGAATGTTTCTGTCTCTCTCTCCCCCAATGTCTCCGCCATAATTCTTCGCACCTCTGCAAATTGTTCCACTTGCTTCTTAAGGAATATCACCTCACCCTTCATCCATTTCAAACACATTTTTTACTAGCAATCCCTAGAGATTCTTCATCAGTACCAGAAACACCATACTGTGTAACTTTACATTCTTGTGTGTGTGTGTGTGTGTGTAGTTCTCTGTCAAACTCATGACAGACTCACTGAAGAAAGAGCAAATTAATATATATGTTATCACTAACCATCGTTTTTTTCCAGTGTCTCTGAGAATTCCAGACCCCCCTGATGCAAAATTCACTCCTCCTAGTACATTCTTTTCGAAACTGTACGGATCATTTCGCAGAGCCAAGTAAGGTGGTGGACTCTCCGCATATCCGAGTAGTTTAGCTTCATTATATTAACAAATCAATCAAAAACAGATCGACCATGATCAAATGATCATAATTATTGCATTCTTAAAAAATAACTAATTACCAATATGGTCAATAGTGTTGAAGCCATTGCTGAACCTTCCAGTGGCCATCGAGTTTGGAAAATCAATCCCATAATAAGGCACGTTGGCCTTTGCTCGAGTATTCAGAAAATTGTTGGTGCCAACATCTGCGGTTGAATCTCCAAATATGAATAGAACTGGCCTATTCTCCTGAGCCCCATATGCTACGTGCATGGCCGCACAAAGAAACAATAAAACAAGAAAACCACTTAGGCCAGAAAATGATGCCATTTTCTGCACCTTAATTTCACACCCGGAACGTTATTATTGATGTTAATTGAGATGCCAAACACGAGACTCGTGCAGCGTTTATTTATATCAAACATGCGAGGAAGGAAACAAAAGGGTAAGGTCAGATTATTGTAATGAAAATCACCAAAGGTTTCGACAGCGCCGACCATGATGCCATGTTGTATTTGGCAGGAACCAATTATAATTAGAGGAGAATCCTATGTTTGTTTAATTAATGATATCGTTTTCACATGAGCGTCTATGTTGGGATATTATGCTATTGGGAATCTTGAAATTGTGTTATTAGAACTTTAACGATCGAGTTGGTAAAAGTTAATTGGGCATAGAAGGATTTTAGCTCATGCAGTGCTCTCACGCTTACTTGATCCCGCCAATGAAATGAAATTATTATATGTAGGTATAGACTCAATTCATAAAAAATGATGAATCAATAATGTACATATGAGGATTTTAACTCATGCAGTGCACTCTCACGCCTACTTGATCCCCAATAAAATGAAATTATAAGTAGATTCCTCGAAGTATGTATGGTTATATGAAGATATAGACTGATCAATTCATAAAACTTGACGAATCAACGATGTAAATAGACTGATCAATTCATAAAAATTGATGAATCAATAATGTAAAAGGGGGTGTGTATTAGAGAAAAAAAAATCTACTGTCAATTAACCTAATTTGTCTGATCTGCTGGTTTTCGGTAGATTAACTTTATTTAACAATTTCTCGCATATTACATGAATTAATTATGTTCAAGATTTAAATGCTTTTGTTCGTCATAGATAAATTAATTTTCCACGTTCATGAAATGTATATTTACAGAATAAGAGATTAATAGTTACAAAATGAAAATAAAAGAATAAGAGATTAATAGAAAAAGATGGGGATTGGAGACCCTTGTAGGTTGAAAATTTGATACTGTCAAAAGCTAGCAGGGTTATGTGAAAAATGAATTGTTCGGGTAATTAAATGTTTTTTGGGTCTATATTGTGAATGGCTTGTTTTAAACTTTAATTATCATGTTTTAATCTTGTTCTTCTTTGTTTTTTTTAGCCGACAAAAGTTTTAATTTTGTTCATTTAATAAATAAACGAGATTCTGATCTTGGATTCGCTAAATTAAAAGAATCTAATTTAAAGATGTAATATTTGACTCATTAGGTTAATAAAAATGTAAAATTATTACACTGATCTTAATATTAATAATCCCTTTTTTGTTGGATACGCATTGGACTTTGCTATTAACACTCTGAATAGTATCGCCCCCATGCATAATCTAGGCAAATGATCACAAACAAGAAAAGCAGATTGGAACTTTCAAGGCTGGTGATTGATACTACCTCCATTTAAAAATATAAAATATTTTTAATTAAATTTTATTTTTCAATATAGTAATTTTTTATCTTTAAACTAACCCTATCTTTTTATATTTACCCATATTTAATAAAGTATTTTACCTGAAAATAAATATAAAATAATTTATTTAATAGGGGTACTTTTTTTAAAAAATAATAATTATATCTTTAAAGACTAAAAATATTTTATATTTTTTAACATCCAACTCTTCAAAAAATCTATTATATTTTTTAACGGAAGCAATATCATTTATGTGCATAAATTAATTAATTATTGGTTCTTATATAATTTAAATAAATTAATCTCTTTATTTTAAAAAAATTGCGATTAAGTTGTTGTAATGTGTATAATTTTTAAATCATTCTTTATTGTTAATTAACTTTGGAAAGTAGTATTTGTTAAGTTTCTACGGTAGAACTTTTTTTTTTTTTTTTTGCCAACGGTAATAGAACTATTGTGTATCATCTTGATAATTTTATATACGCACGATTAATTTACAATGAAATAACATTAACTTAAATATAGTTTAAATTTTAACAAAAATACGTTGGGAAAAAATAAATTGAAATATGTTTAAATTATAAATAAGTAGCTCACGTTTATCAATTGCAAGAAAAAAATTAATAAAAATTAAATACGATTACAAGGATAAAAAATAAAAAATTTTCTGCTTAAACTTTTAGTATTTGTATGGCATGGATCCACTGAAGGTAATTCCTTATGGAAATTTGATCTAATTAATCAATGAGGGTTGGGTCTAGCAAAAAAGGCTAATCCCTCACAATATAATGAATTAAGGTTTGAATTTCACAATAAGAGTTGCCTACATTTAGTACCCGGCTGTGCCTCTCACAAGATTAATTCCAATAAAATGATACATGTGAGCACTCTTGTCAAGCTCAAATTTATTTTTTAAGTTTATCATTTTAATATTTCTAACTTATAAAATCATGTTAATTTGTTCAAAAACTTACAGTATATGCAAATTTAGTTAAACTCACAAGTTAACTTTTCAGATTTACCATTTTTATATTTATAGCTTATAAATTGTGTTAACTCATTTATAAATTTGATTAAACTTGCTAAACTCATCATTTTTTTTTGAAAGTTGAGCAACTTAGATATACACGGTTTAAAACTTAGTTCATAGAAGTTGTGTAACATCCCAATTTAAATTTTAATAGTTAATTTGGGTTAATAAAAATTTGAAAAGTATTATTAAATTATTATTATAAAAAAAAAGGTATGAAAAAAAAATAAAAAAAATAAAAAAAATAAAATTATTAAATTATTATTATTATAATAATAAAAAGAAAGAAAGGAAAAGAAAGGAAGAAGAAGAAGAAAGCGAATTTGCTTCGTCCGCCGCCTCAACAGTAACAATAATAAAATAATAATAAAAGAAAAGAAGAAGAAGAGAGAGAAAATAATTAAAAAAAATGTGGGACCCACTGAATTTTTATAAAAACTCACCTGTTCCTTCATTTCTTCATTCCTTCTTTCGTGCGTGAGCTTCGGCAGAGAGAGCATCTGTGAGCCAAATTCACCGGTGCTGGGTTTTAAGGTAAGAGTTTTTAATAGGATATTTAGGGTGTGATTTTAAGCTTTTCAAGACTAAGTAAGTGTTCTAAAAATTTTTCTTAGTCATCCTTCTTCTTTAGTTTCTGAGTTTGTAGTGGTAGAAAATTTAAGATCTGAAAGAGGGATGAATTTATGTTGAATAAATATGGTTTTTGAGGTTGTCAGTAGTATAATAAATGTTATAGAGTATAAATTTGTTAATGATCTTTGAATTTATGGCTTATGGATCAAATTCTAAACTAGATCTGAAAATATATGTTGATTTATTGAGGTTTAGATGATTATTTGGGATGAGAAATGAATTATTATGGTTATAGGATTATGATTCTAAGCTAGAGACTTAATTTTTAATTTTTGGGTATTTTAGGTACGAATTTATAAAATAAAAAGAAAATTTTGATAATAGAAATTAGTTTAAAATTTGATTTTTAGATTATTAATGTTTATTGATAATTAAAAGAGGAGTTAAAAATTTTACTTAATAGTATTAACTATAGATTTGTATTAAGATTGAGATTAGGAATTATGTTATATTTTTAATTCTATTATTAGAATTATTTTATTAGTTTCAAAAATTGAAACTAATATTTATAAATAATATGTTATTTGTAGATTGTATTACTGGTGAAGATTGTGGTGAGAGAGAAATTTTAAGGAATAATTTATTGAAAAAGCCACAAGGTAACCATGCTTTTAATTTGTGATTAGTGTTACTTCATGTTAATTGGGTGATTATTGAGAAAATTATGAATTTTGTAATATTGTATAATTGTGCAATATTATTATGAATTTGTTTGATTATTGTGGGAGGTGTTGGGAGACTTGCTATTATTGTTGTATTTATGTGCCACGTGGTACGCCCCTATTGGAGCTCAATAGGTGGTTTGTAAGGGCTCGGGCTAATCTACCTTTGGCCGGGTAATTTAGTACCGAGTGAGGGCTACGGCTCGAGGTTAATGGAGGGATATAAGGATGGTTGTTTGTGTTTATTATAATATTTCTTATATTTGTTGGAATTATATTATTTTTAATTCTCACTTAGTAAGCACACACTTAACTGTTTGTATACACTATCATAAATTGGCTTTGGTTACTGGGACTTTTGAGTCTCATTATGTGGTTAACAATTTTCAGGAGAAGAGCCAAGAGTGACACGTGGAGGAGTCCCAGAGGCTTAGTGGTATAGATCCACTGTCTCTTTTGGGTATTTAATTTATGATTTATAATGTATTATATTGCCAATATTAGGGCTTTTTGTTTATTGTCAATTATATGAATATATAAATGTAATCATGCCTTTCAAACTATTTCTATTTTTGGTACAATTTGGATGACTGTAATTTTAATATTTGGTTTACTTTGGATTGGTTAAAATGGCATGATTATAAGGCCAAATAACTGGCTTGTGTTGAAAATTGATTAAATTGCTTATTTTACTTGTTGGGAGTATAAGGATGGACAAATGTGATTTAGTTTACTTGTTGGGAGTATAAGGATGGACAAATGTGATTTAGCCTAATGGCATGTGGGAGGTAAAAATTTATCTGAAATGTTATAGTGTGTGAGTTGAAGCCAATTATAAAATATTTTATATTGAAATTATTGATATAAAAATGTGTTGGGTGGCTGTAACCCAACTATGGTTGAGTTAAATTATTTAAAAAAAAAATTTGGTGTGTTACAAATTTTGGTATCAGAGCTACATGTTTCAAATTCTTATAAATATGAAATTGTTATACATTAACCTAGTTTATTGGCAATATACATTAGTAAATCATAATACTTCTCCATTATTTTTCTTGTCTTGAGATTAGTGTTAATTTAATTATGTGACTTCCATCCTTTAGGAGGGGAGAGATGGTGTCCAAAACTAGGAGAGGTGGCGAAATTGTCGGTGATTCTATAGAGCCAATAGGAAATGACATACCTTCACTGCCACAACCGGAGCCCACACAGCAACAAATTGGGCAGGGCGAGCCCATACAGTCACAACTAAGGCAGGATGAGCCAACCATGAGGCAAATGATGGATCTACTATATAATCTTAGTGACCGCATGAAGAGACAAGAAGAAGAATTGGCCGCTTTAAGACAATATAAGGAGAATGACAACCGAGAGGGAAATGGCCAACAAGAAGGAAGCCATACCAAGGTATTCAATGCGAGCCAATCTGCTGATGAAGGCTTACCTTCCTATTCTCACCATGAGACTAGTCCGAAGAATGTGAGTCTCCACTCTGACCAACAGACATCCACGATCACAAAGATCTGGAGTACTTTTCGTAAGTTTAATCCTCCTACTTTCGATGGAAATCTTAAGCCAGCGGTGGTTGAAGAATGGATAGATCAATTGGAGAGTATTTTTCGTATGGTTGTGTGCACTTCTAATCAAAAGGTGCAGCTGGCAATATTCCTACTACAGAAGAGTGCTAAGAAATGGTGGGAAACATCAGGACCGAAGGATGATTCCTCTCTTACTTGGGAAGATTTTAAAGCCATATTGTTCGAGAATTATTTTCCTACTGCACTGAGAGCAGAAAAGGAGGCTGAGTTTCATGCATTCCGCCAGGGTGATTTAGATGAGGATGAATTTATTGAACAATTCTCAGAATTATCTAAATACTCTACTTACCTCCAGAAACATGAAGACACGGAGTGGATGGCTGAACGATTACTAGAGAAGGCGAGGCCTGATCTAAGGGAACAGTTAGCCCCTTTTGAGATCAAGACATTCAGTGAGATGTGCAATAAGCTTCGAATAGTTTCTCGGAGGAAGAGAGAGGCTAGATTAGAAGCTGATAGAGAGAGGAGGAAAGAACCTCATGGGAAGCCCCCTATCCACACCCGACCCATTGGTGGAGTAGAGAAGAGGAGCAGTCAAATCTTTGGAGGCTTTAGAAATCAGAAGAAGAAGGGCTACTATCATAAGGGCCAGAGCTACAGAGGGAATCAGAGTGGAAGTCAAGGGTCCTATAGGAGCCCAGCTACCTTTAATCCTACTCCTAGTGCTGCTAGTAATCAAGCATGCAGTAAGTGTGGGAAGTTTCATTCTGGTGATTGTTGGGTTTGTTACATCTGTCAGAAGCCTGGTCATATTGCTCGATTCTGCTATCAAACCAAAATAGGGGTAATGATCAGAGACCTACAGTACCAGCACGAGTGTATGCCCTCTCTGGGCCAGAGGCTGCTAATAACCCTAATGCTATCCGAGGTATAATCCGAATCCTTGATAATGATGTTTGTGCTTTGTTTGATTCGGGTGCTACACACTCTTTTGTGTCTGATGAATGTATGAAAAGATGTAAATTGCCTGTGTGTACCTTACCTTTTGATGTGAAGATTTCTACTCCTGCTGGTTTGACTGTAAGGACTGCTAAGGCATGTCTAAATGTAGAGGTTGAGTATGAGGGTCGAAAGACCACCATAGACCTCATTTGTTTGTCTTTGTCTGGGATTGATGTTATTGTGGGGATGGATTGGTTGTCTGCAAATGGAGCTGTACTTAATTGTCAGAAAAAGAGTGTGTCACTCTCAGTTCTTACTGTAACCCCTGTAGAGTCCCAAAGTCCTATGTTGTTGTCTGCAGCTCAAGTAGAACAGTGTATAAGAAAGGGCTGTCAAGCTTTTATGATTTTCTTCTCAATCAAGGCAGAGATTGAAGAAGGTGTAGATCAGATTCCAGTAGTGAGAGAATTCCCTGACGTCTTTCCTACTGAAGTGATCGGTTTGCCTCCAGAACGAGAGGTTGAGTTCTCGATTGAACTCGTACCTGGTACGGGGCCTATTTCTAAGGCACCCTATAGGATGTCTCCATCGGAGTTAGCTGAGTTGAAGAGACAAATTGAAGAGTTGTTAGAGAAGGGGTTTATCAGACCGAGTGTATCACCATGGGGGTCACCGGTACTGTTTGTGAAAAAGAAAGATGGAAGCCTTAGATTGTGTATTGATTATAGACAATTGAATAAGGTAACCATCAAGAATAAGTACCCCTTACCTCGAATTGATGATTTGTTAGACCAATTAGTCAATTCAGCGGTGTTTTCTAAGATTGATCTAAGATCAGGGTATCATCAATTGAGGGTTAGAGCAGAGGATATCCCTAAAACTGCTTTTAGGACTAGATATGGGCACTATGAGTTCCTAGTGATGCCGTTTGGGTTAACAAATGCCCCAGCTGTCTTCATGGATTATATGAATCGAATCTTCAGGCCTTATCTCGATGAATTTGTTGTAGTCTTTATTGATGACATACTTATTTATTCTCGAGATGAGGTGGACCATGCTAGACATCTTAAAATTGTTTTGGAGATATTAAGAGAGCACAAGCTCTATGCCAAGTTGAGCAAATGTGATTTTTGGCTTAAAGAAGTTAAATTCTTAGGCCATGTTGTTTCAGAAGAAGGGGTAGCAGTGGACCCTAGTAAGATAGATGCAGTGATGAAATGGGAGCAACCTCGAAGTGTGACAGAGATTAGGAGTTTCTTGGGTCTTGCAGGCTACTATCGTCGTTTCATTAAGGGTTTTTCACAAATTGCAATGCCCTTGACTAAGTTGACCAGGAAAGATGCTCCATTTATTTGGACGAACGAGTGTGAAGTTGCCTTCCAGGAGCTGAAAAAGAGGTTGACCACCACACCGGTGCTCACCTTACCTGTTCCAACTTCTCCTTATACCTTGTATACTGATGCTTCTAAGAAAGGTTTAGGTTGTGTATTGATGCAGGAGGATCGAGTAGTGGCTTATGCCTCTCGACAGTTGAGACCTCATGAGGAAAATTACCCTACTCATGACTTGGAGCTTGCTGCTGTGGTATTTGCCTTGAAGATTTGGAGGCACTATCTTTATGGTTCTTCTTTTGAAGTCTTCAGTGATCATAAAAGTTTAAAATATTTGTTTGATCAAAAGGAGCTCAACATGAGACAGCGCAGATGGATTGAGTTTTTGAAGGATTATGACTTTGAGTTGAAGTATCATCCAGGGAAAGCTAACGTAGTCGCCGACGCTCTGAGCAGGAAGCTTGTACATACTGCTCACATGATGGTCAGAGAACATGAATTATGGAGTAGTTTTCATCATGCAGTAAATGTAGAAGTAGTCGAAAATCGTTTGGCTGCTCTACATATTACTGAATTTGAGAATAATTTTTGGGAAGAAATCAGAATTTCGCAGCAGAAGGACGATTATTTGAATAAGATTAGGGTAGAGATTGGGGCTGGAAAGGCTGAACATTTTGATGTGACCGATGATGATGTCGTAAGATATAAAGGTAGAGTGTGTGTGCCTAATGATGCTCGATTGAAAAATATCTTACTTGAGGAGGCTCATCAGAGTAAATATACCATTCACCCAGGAGCAACTAAGATGTATCATGACTTAAGACGTGGTTGGTGGTGGCCAAGGATGAAGAGAGATGTAACTGAACATGTAACTCGTTGTTTGACTTGTCAGAAAGTCAAAATTGAGCATCAGAAACCAGCCGGGATGCTACAGTCTCTTGATATTCCAGAGTGGAAATGGGACAGCATTTCTATGGACTTCATTACAGGATTGCCTAGAACATCTTCTGGTCATGACACTATATGGGTAATCGTAGATCGACTCACCAAATCAGCTCATTTTCTTGCTACTAATATCAAGTATTCTCTCGAAAAATTAACTGAAATCTACATAAGAGAAGTGGTGAGATTGCATGGAGTGCCGACAAATATTGTATCTGATCGTGATCCGAGATTCACATCAAACTTTTGGAAGTCATTACAGGAAGCCATGGGTACTCGTCTGAGTTTTAGCACCGCTTACCACCCCCAGACCGATGGGCAAACGGAACGAACCATACAAACTCTTGAAGACATGTTAAGAGCGTGTGCCATTGAGCTTAGAGGTAATTGGGATAGTCACTTACCATTAGCTGAATTTGCCTACAATAATAGTTTTCATTCTAGCATTCAGATGGCACCTTATGAGGCATTGTATGGAAGAAAATGTAGATCGCCACTGTGTTGGACAGAATTAAGTGAGAGAACTGTTTTGGGGCCAGACATTGTTGATGAGACTACCCAAAAGATTGCTTTAATCAAGCAAAAATTACTCACAGCTCAAAGTAGACAAAAGAGTTATGCGGATAAGAGGAGAAGACCGCTTGAGTTTGAAGTAGGTGACCATGTATTTTTGAAAATCTCTCCAGTAACTGGTGTTGGAAGAGCTATTAAGGCTAAGAAGTTGACACCAAGGTTTATGGGGCCTTTTGAGATCTTAAAACGAGTTGGACCAGTAGCGTACCAAGTAGCATTACCACCCCAAATTGCTGG